GGAAACTATTGGCTCTACCTGTGAAGCTGTTTCGTCGTCGTTCTTTTCTGTCATTGTATGATACTTTCAACGAACGCGAAACTGTCAGGGGCATGGGTAAACCCATGCGTTTAAATATCCCTCTGTTGTTGAGGGGAGGTTTGCTCTCTGAATCCTTCCAGGTTTTTTCCTTAATTTAAAATCACAGTAAATTAGTGTCCTCGCTATTGTTTTGAGAAGTGTGGCTGCTAATAAGATCGGAATGTCCCGTACAATTATCTCACTTTAATGTGTCTAAAAACTGAAACTTTAATTTGGCAGATCAAAATGTGGCGTCTGTCATTACACGAACAAATGCACGGCAATCGCTTTGGGGTCAATGCAAAGAGCGAATCACTGCTGCAGGATTCTCTTCCTCCTAAAAAAGGTTCAATTTGTCATTGTAACCACTATAGGATAGTGAACTCACGGATTCTCCAGGCCATATATGATGTTAACAATTTTATGAGATAGAAGTAGTTGGGGTGAATTTATTTTGAATTGCGTCTCACTTTACATAAATGTAAGTTAACGTTGTTCTGATCACATCAGATTAATTAGAATTGCGCTATCAATATCCGATATTTTCCTTTTTTTTTTTCTTTTTCGGCTGCAATGGATTTGTGATCCAAAATATATGTGCACGTGATTCCATAAAGGTTATTCTTCTTTCAGCAATTTCATGTAAAACGAGCCAAAAACTCTTTGCTTCTGCTAATGACTGCCAATAGTTTCAATATGCCCATGAAGGCTCTGGTGGTCCTTTATGTAAGGTTAGGGCCACCATTTACATTGCATGGTTACTGCACTGTTTGCTCGCATTAAAGTTTGCTGTTTTATAATGTTCAATGCATAGCTAATTACATTTATAGTTGTTGCAGGAATCCTGTTGAAATATGTGGGGATATATTTTGGTTCAGTTGTCTGTATTGTAATGGATTTAGTTTCCCTTGTAGTCGCCAACAAGAGTCAATGCACGGGCTGCCCACTATGAAACAAGACCGATCTCCTTGTTGAACTGAAGAAGAATCGATATTTAAGCGATGTAGCAACAACAAAATAAATATGGCTCTGTGATTCGCAAAGAAAAAAAAAAAAAGAAAAAAGGTAAACCTTGAAATCAGTGCACAAGATGTTATTTTACAGGGGGGAGGGAGGGGCGAGATGCTGAGCTTAGGTGGATAATAGGTGTTGTCTGTGGAGGGGGGTGCAAAAAAAAGAAAATAAATAAGAACACAAATCTAGATCCTTTAAATTTATTTACTTTTTTTTTTTCGTTCTATTTTGTGTAATGTAAATTGTCTAAATTTTCTATTGTTTTCACTTTGAGTATTCATCATTCGTATGTGATTGTAGTCAGTCAGTCAGTCAGTCAGTTTATATATATNTCACTTTGAGTATTCATCATTCGTATGTGATTGTAGTCAGTCAGTCAGTCAGTCAGTTTATATATATGTATATATATATATATATATATGATAGCAATTCAGTGAATAATCACATATTCAGATTCATACACACTATGGTGCACGGTTGAAAACTCTTCTCGTATTTGTTATTTCGTATAACAAGAGATATATATTGTTATGGGCTTGAATAACTGCCTTATCAGGAACCCTTTTGAATGCGCCATCATTTCTCAAAGATTTGCCTTTTGTAAACAGACATTTCAATGAAATTCCTAAACTTGAAATTTCACTTCCCTTCACACATAAATACTTGTTTGCTCAGTTCTTCCTCTTCTTCTTCTTCTTCTTCTTCTTTTGGTAAAAATCCAACAGAAAAATTCTCTTTTGAGAGAGATCTCTCTCTATTTTGTTTGTATATGTATATTATGTATGCAACTAATTTATAGAGAAAACAATCACAACACAACAACACAAGCACAACACAAGCACAACACAAGCACAACACAATAATAAGCAGCAAAGGAATAACATTAAAAATAAAAATCATAAAAGCAAATATACACACACACACACACAAACCTCCTATCTAGTTTTCATCTTTCCATCCAGGGTCTGTCAATAAACACACAATTTGTAGACACAGGGACACGCACACACACACACACACACACACACACACACACACACACACACACACACACACACATTTATATCCCCCTTACAAAATCTAATGACACCCTTCCCCAATTACATCTGAACATCTCACAACACTTTTTGCACCGTTCATGAGTGTTTACAAGAACAAAGGTAAAGATGACAATCACGCGAGAAGTATCCTGGACACTGTTGCTACTACTACCACGACTACCGAAAAAGAGCAAGAAGAGACATCGAAAGGAGTAGACTCACACCAATTTGAGATTCCATCACAATCTAGTCATTCGCAAACTACTCCAAGTTTTCTACAATCGCCATACAGAGGTAATGCACAACAACCTACTTCAGGCCAACCAACTCCTTCTCAAAAGACTTCTATCCCTTCTCTATCAACATTGAACGAATCTATTCAACGACCGCAGTCCTCCGCAACCGCCCCTTCCTCGCCTCAGAAAACAATAAGCGATCCGGGTTTATTAATGTTGTTGGGTCCTAATGTAAGTTCATTTCCCTTTTGTGAACTGGCCTTCATCGAGGCAATGAAGTTGAGATCAGAACAAGAACGTACTAAACAAGAGTTTTATCGAGCGGAAAGTGCAAACAAAAATTTAAACATTATGCAGTTGGCATTGCAAGCACAATTGCCGCCTAGCCAAATCAGCCAATTGCTTGCCGGTGGAATACCCGGAAGTGCCGATGACATCAAACAAAGGGAAATGAATGCACGGCTGTCGTATCCAGGTCCATCCCAACAAACCTCGCCTTATCCCCAATCTTTTCTATGGGCAAACCAGCCACCGATTCAACCACGACTCCTGCTGGAGCAACAAATTCAAATGATTCAAGCGCAGCAGAGACAGATCCAACTCAACCTTCAACAGCAACAACAGCAACAACAGCAGCAACAACAGCAACAACAACAACTACAACTTCAGCAGCTGCTACAAGCAGCTCCACCCAATGCAATCTCACAAATACCACAAAAGCGTTCCACAACCAATGATCTGAATATGAGTGCAAGCCCTAGGCAACCAAAGGGCTACAAATTTGGGGGCAATATTGCCTCAAATGCGTCACAAGAGAGACCACAGTCGCCCGCAAAGATTGGTGCTAACGCTGTTGCAAACTTGAATGCCCCCACGACCCCATTTCGTGTGCCTAGACCAACAACTTCATCATCGACGGGCAGGCGAGCCAGAGGGCATCAACGGTACAACTCGATGCCCGTGCTGGCAAGTATCACTGAGAGTACTACTCTGGGTTCAAGAACAAGGGGACCACGACATGAATCACAATCTTCCGAAAACCCTTCGCCTTCCTTGCAGTCTCCGTCTGGCGTCACGTCGACAATTCAAGTAAATCCAATACCGGCTCAACCTTTGCACGAGCAAAAGAAGCAATTGTCACAACCACTGCAGGAATCGATGCAATCTTTTCAGCATGTTATTCAATTCCATCACTGGCAACCTGAATACGGTTCTGCAACAGCAACCAGTTCCACTAATAAACCTCCCAGCCATAAACGCCATAAATCAATTACTAGGGACGATTCATCCTCTGCTTTTCATCAACTTGAATCTAGAAGCCTAGCTTTCAAAACTGGGCTTACTGGGGAGAAAGATGACATCACTGAACTGTCGTCGAGAAAGCGCAAGATTGTCGACACCGTTGATGATGATACTGCTGTAGACGAGGCTGACTTGTCAGCGGATACAAGCTTGGTGGAGACTTCATCGAAAAAGGACGAACTGGCACATCCCCCGTCATCTCGGGGACATTCTCGTCAAGAGCTGAATGTGGGCAGATACCCACATGATATTTTGACTGCTAACAAATAGTTCAAGAATCAGTTTGAAGAAAAAGTTAGGTGCTGTTTTGATTGTACAAGTACTGAATTTGTTCGTGGGTCGATAAACCAGGGTTTTTTTTTATAGACAGCGATTATATTTACTGCACACAATAGAATTAGGTTTCATTTCTAGCTCTTTAGAATTGTCGTTTGAAAAGTAACTTCAAGAATGAATAGCTGCAGTTTTACGCGAAGTCACACTTTGAATTGGAGCCATGATAAGCATCTTTTCACAGGGGATTACAATGTGACCCAACTATAATCACATTGAGCAACTCTACACAAGCCATGAATGTGTTTTCGCATTATTGGATTTCACTTTGAAGATCAGATGAGAGCCCACGCTTCCCTTTTCTACCATTACTAAGGTCATTTTTGCTGTAAGTAAGTACCCAAAATACCCAAAAGTAACAGTGTGACTTCTAATGATAAATATTTTTGCAACCATTTCTTACGAATTTTTGAAACCTTCAAAGAAAATTTGAGAATAAACTTACGCCTAAAGAGGTGTACTCCACGGGTCTCTACCTTCAACCTGACTTCTCTAACGAGGCAAATACATTCATCAATATCATGATAGGATTAAAATCAGCGATATAGACTCGAAAAAAAAAAAAAAAATTAATGGAGACAAAAAAAAGATTGCTCCCAGACAGGGAATTGAACCCTGGTCTACCATGCGACAAACGGTAATTCTAGCCACTAAACTATCTGGGAATTTTTATAAGAAATTTGTTGCTAGGTACTTCAAGACAAAAATAAGTACATCACGCTTGCACTTTTTTTCCACTTATATTCCAATTAGTACTGGCTTGATGGCTATATTTCATGATTCTCCTTACTATAGAAGGGAGGCTCCAGTAATCAAGCCCATTTTTATTAATGTTGGAATGCAGTCGGCTACGTTAATAGTCATGTCAACCACGATCGACATTTGCAAAAAAAAATAAAAAACAAAAAAAAAAAATAAATTAAAAACCAAAAACTAAAAAAAAAAAAATCAATTGTGATTGAAATCGGATCCAAAGTCATTGAGTTTTGGTCTCATCAATACTCACGAATCAGTCCTCATGAGCAGCTTTAAATATTTTACCGATGAAATTATAGAGGAATTTTCTGGAGCAGGGAGCATTGAAATATTCGAGGCGTTGGACTCGTATGAAACCTCGAATCCAGAGACCGAGGAAGAAGTTGTGCTACTCTTCACGGAAATGATCCTTTCGTATGAAGAAGGTGTGTTGAAAGTCGAGCACATTGTTGATTTCCTAAGCCAATCGATCAAGAATGATGATGTTGCACGATTGTTTTGTCAAGTGTTGAATTCATTCCCAGTTACTGAGAGTACACGTGACTTGTTAACAACACTCAGTCAGGATGGCAATGTTATAAAATCGCAAACAATTTCGCTGTATATCAACCCAGACTTTATAAAAGAAACTGATATCGTCCCCAGCAAAGTGTTGTCAAAGTCTTTGAACACAAGGTTGAGAGATAAATTGTATACACAGAAAAAGTACAATTTATTACATGAGGAAATTGAGGGATACTCAAAATTCATTATGGAGATACATTACATATTTGCAGCAGATGACACCGATTTGCAAATTGACTACGCGTTACAAGTTGTCGAGAAGTTGATGGGTCACTACAGTCTCGACCCAAACAGATGTTTGGATCTCTTGTTTGAAGTTTTATCTGAAGTTGTAGTGACCAAGGTTGATTCAATTTTGGAATTCTTTAGAAGAAGCCGATGGTGGCCCGCACAAGAAAGTGACAATTCATCAATAAAATCGCTAAGTACTGGGGGAAGTGGCATCGCCGCCCAGTTAATTGGGTTGAAGATATTGAATAATCCCAGGGCCCACGACTTGCCCGAGCTGTTCAAAGTGATGGTGTCAATTTTCGTCAAAGAGGGCTTCATAAGTTTTGGATCGGTTTATAAGTATATGCGTCCAGACGACACCGTCATGAAGGAGCTTGAAGCCAATTACCATCGAAAAATAGAGGAGGAAGTATTGAAAGCTGGTGCGAGTGCTTTGGCTTTAGCTGCTCCACTCGCAGACGATGAAAATGGGGATGCAAAAGAAAACAAAGGACCCAGTACTCCTCTGGGAAGCAACAATAGTATCCAACTACTGCTAAACTACAAGTATCAATTTTTGAAAGCTTTTCTAAGCAATGGTCTATACTGGCCGTCCATTTATATTCTTTCAGAGTACCCGTTTTTGGCAGATATAGATGACGAAATACCAAGGCTTTTGATTCGATTGTTTGGAGCAATGATTGATCCTTTGTACAAGCAGATATACCCATTTCAAGCTGAAGAGATCATTCAATTACAGGCTGCGAAAGGTGTGTATTTTTCACGAGCTGGTAACAACGTTGTCATCGAGCCTGCAAAGAAAGCGCAGTATTATACCTTTAAGCCACTTAAAAGATCACACTCAAGTAGAAGAATGTGTTATTTTTATAAAGGTTGGACCACCGATTTGCCAAATGTGGAGGATTTTGCTTCTTTGTTTTCGGCTTCGCAGGAAATATTGAAGTTCATTGGATGCAATTTTTCAAAAGATGTTGAGGTGTTTATTAAATTGTGTGACATTCTCCACTCATTTCAATCACAAGAAGGATTGAAAGAAGACATATTCCACTACTTCAGGAACTATATATTTCCAGTGATGCCATTGATACTGGAAAATTCGATTGCAATAGACAAGGCATATTCGATTTTAGCTGCTTATCCAGTAGAGGATCGTTTTAGTGTTTATGGTGAATTGTACAACAATTTGAGAAAGAATAACACAGCAATCAAAATTGCTTACGGGAGTGCTGAGAAGGCGACAAAGAATGTTTTGAAACGATTGTCCAAGGAGAATGTTAGACCAATGATGCGAAGGCTAGCTAAGATCAGCTTTTCCAATCCACTTCCTTGCTTGTTGACTATTTTGCAGCAAATTGAGAGTTATGACAATTTGAACACTTTGGTGGTGGAAACAGCGAGATATTTCAACAGTTATGGTTGGGACAATTTGACCATTGCTATTTTGATTAGACTTAGCTCTGATCGAAGATCGATTCACGATAATGGTATGGGAGAAAGACAGTGGCTCCAATCGCTCGCGTCATTTGTGGGGAAGATTTGTCAAAGGTATCAAAAGGCTATTGACACCAAAATGATATTGCTATATTTGATAAAATCATTTTACATGGGTGAAAGAACAGGGTTGCTCGTTTTGAAGGAGATGCTAATCTCAATGGGCGGTATTCAAACCACTTCAGACTTGACTATTCGTCAAATAGACATGATCAATTGTGGATCAGCTTTGCAAAAAGTGGTTTATAAAACCATTGATGACTTGAGGTTTGATAGAGTCGACTCGGGAACGCATTTGTTAAAGTGCATTCTTGATTTGGATGCAGTCAATGAGTTGATCATCTTGCTCTGTACCATGTACACAGATCTAGTCTATGATGCCGATGAAACCCAGTTGAAAGTGTTGGCCAACAGAGTCGATGATCTAGTCTCGGTGATTAAACTATTTGTCACTTTGGTCTGTTTTTTTGGTGATGGCGATATTGAAGTAATGCCAATAACAGAGTTGCAAGTAAAGTACAATGTGCCTGTCGAATGGGGGTTTGATTTGTGGAGGCAAAAAAAAGATGCCTATGGTCTTTTGGAAAACCAGGGCAAGGAATTGTGTCCTCCAAATTTCCCACCTAGCTTGTACACATTATTTTGGTGTTTAAGTTTGAAGGATGTGAACTATTCCGAATTGTTGTACACTGAAGAGTTGAGCAAGTTACAATCTGGTATCAAAGGATTGCGAGATGCAATCAGTATCAATTCGAGAGACAAGGATTTTCCTAGAGCAACAATTGACAAGTATGTGAAGGATATAGAGGACAGCGAGGCTTTCATTAAAAAGCTACCCGAAGACGAGTTGAGACACAAGAGCTTGGATGAAGCTACTAATGAGAAGATAACTGCCTTATCACTGGAGTGGTTCACCTCAACTGATCCTGAAGTGGTTGAAACATTTATAAAATCGTGCATACTACCAAGAGCAGCCCATTCTTCGTTTGACGCCGTGTTTGCAGCAAGATTTATTTTCAAGTTGCAGGAACAAAATGTTGCAAATTACTCCGCTTTTCCCGTGTTGGAGGCATTGACAAAGAACAAGATGTTGTCGTCAAATTTGTTTTCGTCTACACCCACAGAGGCCGAAAATTTGGGCTTCTTCTTTGCTTACATTTTGAAGCGTTTACACGAATACACCGATGCTGATAAAGTCAACGAGTTGCATGTGGAAGATTTTGAAAATTACCGAAACTGGGTCTTTGATTACCATGTTGTGATATTGTCCGAGGTGGAAACCGCATTTGACACACATGAGTATATGTCAAGGAGTAACACTATTACGTTTTTGAAAAACTTGCTTGGCGTTTATCCAGTCGTTGAGGATCATTGCGAGACAATGTTGAGCGTGATTGAGAAAGTGTATACGGAGGAGGACAGGGAGGACATCAAGCTCTCATCTGGAGCATTACTCAATCATCTCAAGTCAAGGGCCAAACTGTGGATACCTATTTGGGAATTTAAATCCATTAGTGAGGAAGAAAAGCAGAAAATAATAGATAGAAAGGATAGGCTCAAAAAGGAGAAAGAAGAGGCACAGACATTAGCTAGAGAAGAGGCGAAACGGAAAGAAAAGGAGGAGCGCGAGGCTCGATTGAATGAAGAAAAGAGGGTGAAGGGAGAAGAGCTTAAGAAAAAGATTGCTGCTATTAATTACGGGTCCCAGTCGAGATTTCCCAGCAGGCCATCTAATAGAATTGCTGAAACGTCAGCCAAGGGTAAATATGATGAGTATCAATCAAACAATGATGATAGAATGGATGTTGACACGAATGGAGAAAAGACAGATGCCGCATCAGGTGATTCCAATGATGTCAAGAATGGTGCTGTGTCAAAGGAGCCGGAAATCAAGAAGGAGCAAGCTGGAGCTGAAAAGGTGAATGAAAGTGACGAAGCTGAGGAGGTAGAATCTAGACCACCAAAGGAAGAAACCGATGAAGACAAAGCAAGGGCAACCAAGACTGACGAGACTGTGAATGAAGAGGAGGTTGTAAATGGAGCACGATCTGGTGTAACGGAAAAGCAAGATATGGATCACAAAGATAGCACTGAGGAAGGGAAGCATGACGAAAATGTTCAGGAAGCAAAGCAGGATGATGCTACTGAACAAAAGCGTGGAGAGACTTCTAAACAAGACACACCCACCAACGAACTTTCAAAAAAGAGACAACCACTTCCACCGCAAAGTGCAGTTACAAAGGGCACTAAAGTTAAGCAGAATCCTATCACTAGGAGAGCTCCATTGCCTCCACAAGAAAAACTTTTACCTGGTGGAGACCGATCACCGCGATTTGGCCCTAAAGCACCTGGCTTAGGGTCGGGACTGGGTCCACGTAGAGTTGGAGAAAGCTTTGGTCTCTCCGGACATAATGCTCCGCCACCACCACCGCCGCCGCCTCCGCCTCCGCCGGCATCTCAATCCCGCTCAAACTCTGGTGTCACTCGTGCGCCATTTGGTCAGAGAGAGCTGCTGCAGCTGCTGCAGCAGTATGTACTGTCGTCAAGGTCGCGTGGTGGCTTTGACAATAGACGTGGAAGAGGGTTTGACGGTCGTCTGCAGATTGGCGAGCGTGGTGGTGCCAATGCTCGCTTCGGAGAAAGACAGGGTAGGAACGACGGGAGTGGATCTGATGGAGCATACGAAAGTAATACTAAAAGAAGAGCTGATGGACAAGGAGGGAGAGGGTTTGAGAAAAGACATAAATATTGAAAACTATTGATATAGAATTGAAGTAGTAATGGAAATACACTTAAAATAATAAAGTTGATTGATTAGTCAACGCCGTCTATTGTAAGGGGGGAATTTAGCTCTTCATCTAGAGCAGCATCAAATTCCGCATCTTCATTACTATAATCTTCAAAACTTGACTCATCATCTTTGGGGTTGAGTTTGGATTTCTTTTGCAGTGGTTGCATTTGCTCTTCCTTTTGCAAGTTATCGAGAAACATCTCTATTCTTTTCAAATTCTCCTCATGCCATTTCAAGTGTCGCTTCAAATCGTATTCGCGCGCAAATACCCGATCACATTTAGTTTTTGGACATTTGATTTTGATGGAGCAGTCATTCAGAATCACGTCAATTATTTCAGATGACTTGGTTGAGTACTCTGATCCATTTGGTTTCAACACGGTGACGGACTGCTGCGCCTCTGCAGTAGTTGTTGACTTTGACTCATGATTGAACAAGCTCTTGATATCGCCACCATTTTCACTACCGGGAGATAAGGCCGTATTGAGCTGTTTCAAACTCGACATTTCAAGTCTATTCTGACCAACTCCGTTGTTCTCTTCTATAGTCTCAGGGTGAGCTTGCAATTCCTCAGGAATATTTCCATCGTGATATTCATTATAATGATCAATTAAAGCCGCCTTTTTATTGAACTTGCCGATATCACAATAGTTGCACTGCCAGACTTTGATCGCTTCATCATGGCTCAACATGTGTGATTTTAAACCTCGTTTACCCACACAGCCTTTGCCACAAACGGGACATTTGACTCTTGGGTGTTCTTGCTTGACATGGAATTGCAAAGCAGACCACGTTTTGCAATTGACAAAACATCCAGGATGGTCACATTGATATGCTGGGGATTCTCCATGGTGCTTCAACTTGTGTTGAGCAAGTTTCGAAGGACGGGTAAAAGTCTTGTCGCAAAGGGTACAAGTTAATGTCTTTTCGTGAACCGAGAGTATATGGTGTCGTAGTGATTGATGCTTGTAAAATGATTCATCACAGCCTTGATGCGTGCATCTGAAGGACTTGGTATGGGTGATTTCGTGCCGTTTCAAGTGTTGCACCGTGTTAACGCCCTTCCCACAAGTCGAACAGTGAAATGGCTTGTCTCTTGAATGTGAAACCAAGTGAGCATCTAAATGCGATTTTCTTAGAAACGACTTGTCGCAGTTTGGGTAAGTGCAGGCAAACGGTCGACTTCCAGTATGTGATCGTAGATGTTGATCTAGTAATGATGGTCTATTGTATGCCTTGTCACAGTTTTCAAACGTACAGTGATATCTCTTTGGTCTGGAACTTCCTGAGGATTTGGAGGCAATAGATAGCGTCTCGTCTTCGCTCATCATGTGTTGAGTTTCGGGATTACAATAAAATTTCTAGATGCAGCTAACAAAGCTATATCCTCATCGCGTAGAGTGACGCGGTGTATTTGTGTGTTTGTGTGTGTGTGTGTGTGTGTGCAAAGTCAGAGTCAAGCCTTCAAGATGAATATTTTTTTTTTTTTCTTCAACCTTCCCGAGATGATTAAGCTGTGGGTTGGGTCACTAGCAAATCGATATCTCTCTTGAGTGTATCGGAGCATCACTAGGGGCTGTAATAAAGAGCTAATTGTTAGAGAGACACTTCACCGTCAGAAAGACCTAAAGATGAAATATCCAAGGGCGCAAAGCATGATGTAGGGTTTACTTAACCGACTTACCAACCGCCGCCGCAAAAAAAAAAAAAAAACCTCATTACTTTACCCGATGTAATTATCTCCGGATTTACACAAACCAAAAGCCTGCACAATGACAGTCGAGAAAAGACTGCTACATGTACACTACATTAAGAAGCAACCCAATTCTTGGCGGCCCCAATTGTAAGTGTAGTCGTGACCCTTTCAAATAGGTTCAGGTCATACAGTCAAGTCCGGTGTCGGTAGTAGAGAAACGGCAACTGTCGGAGTAATGGGAACCGAATATCCGACCCATTATCCGAACGGTGAGAGTGAAATTGTATTATTCAACGACACACCGAGGCAATCCTCATCTGGAAACGGCAAGAATAAAGTTGACTACTTTATTTGGATATAATTAGTCGTCAGATGTGTGTTTAATCTTTCCTGGGCTGTGTTCCAAATGCACTCTGAGTAGTTTTCTTAGCCTTACTGCGCTGGGGAGAAAAGGAAATGCATTGTGATGGACGCAAAAAGGAAAAATGAGAATAACCAAACATCTACTTTGTTGAATGACCTGTGGCACCTTTACTTTGTAGTTACTTGGACCACTAGTCCTTATGCTGTACATCTTATTACATTCTCTGGTCCAGGATGTTTGTGCTACAGTGGAGCACATATTAATATGTGTGTTGATTTGATTAGGTAGTAACACAGACGTAGATTTAGATGTACAAGTAGAAGGGGCTAAAGAAAAAATAACCAAAAATAATAAGGAAAATTAAACAAAGATTTATCTTCAACAAAAAAAAAAAAAAAAAAATAAAAAAAGAGCAAAGAATTCAACCACCCCAAACTTTGTTGAACCACAGCAAATTCCAATTACACCTTTCTAAGATAACCGACGAATCAGAGGCTAAACAATCAACACACCTTCTATCAAGAGAAGCTTACTTTTATAAGATCCGTGCTAATTGTCAACCTAGAACCCAACGTTACTATATCGACCTTGAGATCGCATTACATTAAATTATGGGTATCAGCAATCCAATTCCAAGGAGTTTAAAGAGCGAGTCACGGTATGTACGCACAGAAACACACACACACACACACACACAAGCATTGTAAACTGAAGTATACTAACATTCACCCTTTAGAAAAGCAGCAAAGACGTTGGCGTCGTTTATCAAGCCCAATCAGATCGCCGGGCCTGACCAAATTATCCCCCCTCGGATCTTGAAGAATGCCAAAGGGTTAGCCGTCATCACTGTTTTGAAGGCAGGATTTCTTTTCTCAGGTAGAGCAGGATCGGGCGTTATTGTTGCACGTTTACCCGATGGCTCCTGGTCGCCACCGTCTGCAATTGTTACTGCAGGTGCTGGGGCGGGAGGTATGATTGGTGCTGAATTGACTGATTTTGTGTTTGTTTTAAACACAAAAGCTGCTGTTGACACATTTGCGCAATTGGGTTCAGTCACCTTGGGTACGAATGTTTCAGTTGCAGCTGGGCCTTTAGGAAGAAGTGCAGAAGCAGCAGGAACAGCATCATTGAGTTCAGTTTCTGCCGTTTTCGCATATTCCAAGACAAAAGGTTTGTATGCTGGTATCTCATTGGAAGGATCGGTATTAATGGAGAGAAGAGAAGCCAATAGAAAGTTTTATGGAAACAATTGTAAGGCAAGAAATATTTTAGCGGGACAAGTTGACACACCACCGGCATGTGACTCACTTATGAGAGTGTTGAATTCAAGAGTGTTCAGTAATAGATTGGACTATGATGAGGAGGACTTTTATGACGATGACTACTACGATGACATTCCTGATGAATTTTCCGACACTACATCTGAGTACTCGGAACGCCGTCGTGGAAGTTTAGTTGGAGCACGAGGACCAGGAGGAGGATCAAGAAGAAGAAGGAGATACTCGGATGAATACTCAGACGATGATTATTACTCGGATGAGGACGATCACGGTCGCGGACACAGTAACGGGCGAAGAGAACGGAGATATGACGACTACGATCATGGAAGAAGGGACAAGAACTATGATGATTACGATGGTGGAAGAAGAGGTGGGAGGTCACGTACAAACACTGCCTCGAGTGTGGGAGGAAGTGCCGGTTTGTCATCTGGTGGAAGAACAAGGACACCTTCTACCAGTAAGACTGGCTCTGCGTGGGAAGACGACATATATGATTCAGGCTACAATGGTAAAACGAGATCGAGGGGTAATAGTGATGTCGATAGACTAAATGCTCGCTTGGGAAATACCAGACTATCACCAAATAGAACAAATGGAGAAGCCCCATCAAGACCGCTGACTCTTTCCAAGCCCAATTTTGGTGGTGCACCGAAAACAAATTCAAACCAAGCTATTGCTCTATATTCATTCAAAGGAGAACAAAGCGGTGATTTGCCATTCAAGAAGGGAGATGTTATCGACATATTGAAAAAGACTGATACCGTTGATGATTGGTGGACGGGTAGAAATAATGGAGTAACTGGTATTTTCCCTGCAAACTATGTTGAGCTTATTTAGAGCGGGTGCAGTGAAGTGCTGAAGAACCATAGGATTGGTTTTATCTATGTATATTACAGATTGTACTTTATATAGAAGGGTGAAGAAAAGTAAACATGGATTCTCTCTACTTTGATTGCGGTGTTTGTTGGGGAAGATTGTTAATTTTGATTTTGAATACAACTTTGCACTTTAATTCTTCAATTAACTTCTTGATGCCCTCTCCAATGTTTACTCTATCTTCCCTCTGGGCATATTGTAACTTGACCACATGAAATCGAGTCAGCGGTCCTGTCGGAGCAAATCGGAATGATATCAACTCACCCAATTGACGAAATATTTCAATTAACAGTCTTTTTGGTATAAACAGTGGGATCCCATACAACAGAATTACTTGTTTTTGACGCTTCATCAATTGTGGCTTCTTATACTTTACTAACTGGAAACTGTACTCTTTAAATGCATTTATAATCTCATGATTGGTCACGGAGTAAAGCCATTCGGGCGACGACAAGACAAGTTGAATCCCAATTACTCGATTGACTTGCTGCAAAAACCAATATTGATATTTCTGGTCTTTGAAGTGGACAACAATTCCCTGATAATGGCCAAGAACCTGATAGAAGTCAATGTACGGATCCAACTCTTCCAGTAGCTGGGCCAAGATCAATGTTCCATACTCCAATCTCAAGTATACGAGAACGTATTCGGTCCAGTTGGGAGACAACTTCAACTGCCACTGAGCAGTTGCACATTGCAGAGTGTCAGTGGCAGTGCTCTGATTCAGGTAAGTGCTCACGTCAAGTAAGTGACGGGTGATCGCTATGTTTCTTGTATAGTTGTGTTGAGCGTTGAATGCTTCCTGCTTTGTATTTCCTCCTTTCCTCACTTCTTCAGCCTGACCGGCTAGGTCATCATTCCGGAATCTCAGAGATATCACGGATCCGTCTTGTTTATCTGAAGATACCTCACAACTGGTTGCATTTTTGAACGGAGAGGGTGGTTGCAAACTCGAGAACCGACAACTTAAAGTGACATCTGCAGTTGGAGCAGTTGAAGTTGGAGTAGAAATGGTCAGTGGCGGCTTTTGAGCATCCTTTTTGCGACAACCAAAGATGGCCCTCATGGTTGTGCGAAACACGGCAATCGTGTTCCCGGTTGAAACCATGATATGTGGTTCTTGTTGTTATGGAATATTTTGGTTGTAAAAAAAAAAAAAATAATAATTAAAAATAAATCAATTAAGTGTACACAAATAGAGGAGCAGATCAAAAAAATTTAGAAATTAGAATAAAGCACGAAATGTCGCTTAACTTATCGGTTCCCAAATGAAGGAGCTGGAGCCAGAGTGTACAGGTTTCGCAGACAGTTACAAACAAACAACACTTTAACACAGTCGAATCAAATGGTTTGCATCTATTCTAGTTTAAAAACATTCTCAACAAAGTGACCAACAATGACTTTCCCTTCATCAAAATTTGGATCTGCGTGTCTAACAATAGCCCCAGCATGGGTTGCCGTGGTATGCCTCAAGATTATAGGAAACTTCTGCCATCCCAAAGTGTTTAATTTTTCAACGGCAAACTTTTGTGAATCATCTAATGTAATAGGTGGGAAATTCGAAGATGAATGTGACACTTTCCAGTTCATGGCCCCGTACATGTCCTCAACAATAGTATCTTGCTCATCTTCCAACTTATTCGACAAGTTGGTGAACAACGATGTGTTTTCGTTGTATTCGTACAAATGAGACAAATTGTTTGACTTTTCACTGTGGAAATGGCGAAGTCTATTCAAAGTTTGAATTCGCTGGTAAATTGAAGAAACAACAAATGATAGACCCATTATTGGAGCATATATTGCGATTGTTCCTATCAACTTGCACCAATTCAAGGTTTTCCAGAACAATCCACGACGAGACGACGCTCCATACGTTTGTTCCTTGGATTTTTGTTCAAAGTAAAATGGTTTCGAAGCATCAATGACATTTGGCTCATAGCCCTTGATATATTCAGCAGTGATGTTTTGGGGGAATTTGTTGTAAAGTGAATTGACTGGGTCAGTCAAGGATATCGAAGAAGTAAACCAGCAGCACCGCTTATCATTAACCACGTTAGCATACAAGGATTTGTACTTGAACTGCTTCAACGCCAAGTAGAATACTGAATTTGGGTCAGCCATCCATACCAAAAGTGGCTTGCTAAACTCCCCGACTTTGTCTTTAAGAAAAAATTGGGAGCCGGTGATGGCCAAGAAATGAGGGGCAATATTGTTGTACAACCGTACTGAAAAATTTCGAGTGTGTGGTTTCAGAACACCAATATGAGGAGTGCAAAAGGTTACAAAGTTGACTGGTTCAATTTTGTCAAAGTAACCTTGTTTTAGCAAGACCCCTATGGCATATCGAGATATTAAACCACCTAACGAGTACCCAATAATGGAGAATTTCGTCACTGTATCCCCGTTTTCTCTTACTTGTTGTGTCTGCTCTAATATCTCATCAGTTATTCGTTTCCCATTGACGTCAATACCATCATAAGTAAGGTACCCTGAATGTGATCCCGTTTTGTACACTAGCAATTTGCTTCCGTCATCTGGTTTAACGTTTTCGATAAGCTGTTTCTCAATATAAGCTAAATGTGATGAGTTACCCCAAACACTACACTTGTAGTTAGTAATGCTTGAGCGTGCGAACCACAGGCTGTGAAGCTTTAGCATGTGACAATAATTGAACGTACCCGTGTACTAATATAACCAAATGGTAGTTGACCATCGCGATTGCTGAAGGAGCGAATGACTTGTGGTAAAGTGTTTTGGCAGGGTTGACTATTTAAATATCTTAGAGACAGGGATTCACTGGTGAATCTGTATCAACTACCAAAGTTTAATTCGTCTATTAATTGTCTTATGAAATTATTTACATAATTAACGCCGGTATGATTTTATATTACCCAAAAGAAAAAAAACAAAACAAAAAAACAAAAAAAAAATAGAACTCAAAACGTGCAAACTATTTTTCCTTAACTCCTTTAAACTCCACCGCACTGATATTGATAAGAAAGAGACTGGTGAAGGCAAACATATCAAGCGCCATAAAGTTGTATCTACGTAGGTTGGCCGCGCAAGGTTGACAGAAGCGGTAAATAGGAGTTTGTAGCCCTTTTAACAACTGTTGGGAGGGGGGGGGGGGATGGGTGCACCAAACTGGACCAAAAAGAAACCGTTGTTTCCTTTTTGTGCACTCTCCATAAATAGATAAAAAAGATTGTTGGGGGAGCACGCGATAGACTGGATCTCTACTCAGTTTATGCTCGCAGGGGTGGGGGTTATACGCTATAGCTTGCGTAGACAAAAGTTCAAACGAGCTACTGTTGCTGTAGTAGAGTGGAGTTTACGCAATGATATGAAACCACTCAAGCTCTATATGGTTCCTTTTACTTTGCTAGTCTATATACAAGGTGTAAGAAGTGAGCCATTCGCGACCTCCATCAAGTGGATATATATCATTCACCGCTTGTACACTATTTCACAAGCAGCTTTGGATTATAACACCAGTTGCAACTCCAACGTTTAACGAGTCCACGATGTCATCATTTTCTCTGTACTTTTGTACTCCAACAAGAAAATCACTTCTCAACTTCATATTGGTCCTCACCCCCTTTCCCTCACTACCGATAACCAACATTACTGGAGTTCGCTTCAATACTGTTTTCAAATCCCCTAGGTTAATGAATTTATCCTTCAAGCTCATTTCAACCTTGTAATTCTTATCTTTTAACTCATCAAGATTTGATTCATCAGGTTTTGCACTTGTGCTAATTACATTCCAGCCATTCTCACGTACAGAGTCAATAAACTTTAAGCTTCTATCAGTTTGGTAAATATCAATAAGATCCAACGCCCCGGACGAGGCTTTATTGGCCACAGGGCCCAATTTTGCAGTAGTGTGGTCTGGTATAACAATGAAATCAACACCAAAGAAGTATGCAGTTCTCAAGATAGAACCCATGTTCTGAGGATCTGTGATTTCGTCCAAGTATAAGGCCAATGGAAAAAGCTCATCCTCGTCTTGCTTTCTCAAGACAGATCTTTCTTTTTCCACATCCACCCCATCTTCATCTTCAACCGTGATCTTGTAACTACCATTTTCTACATGGCCACAGCTTTTGATATAAGGAACATCCAAAGCTTTCGTTTTCAATACCAAACCGTTGTGGACTCCGTTCTTGGACAATATATTTAACGCATTCTTGTCCCTCACTTGCTGTACCTTGACACCGTACTCTTTTTTGGCTTGTTTGATGACTCCATTATCATCATCGGCATTGAATGTGTAAAGACCCAAAATTGGTCTTTTGCGAGCTTGCAAGACAGATTTTATAGGATGAGTACCATAGACAAATTCGAAAAAAGTACTCAAACCTCCACTATTTGTGCCACTCTCCATAACCTCCTTAGCACTTGGCCCGTTGTAGTTGATTTCTTCTCTTGACCTTTTGAACCCCTCTGTTGACTCCAACTTTTGTTTTTCATGAGCCTTCTTCATCTCCCTGTACCTTCTTTGCCTTGCAACTTTCTCCTGCAAAGCTTTCCGCCTTTCGTCAGGCATATGTCCATACTTGCGCTTGAAAAACCTATCCTTACTGATTCCCTCTTGTTCCCATGGCTTTAACTCCTTTTTGGCAGCAGGCAAATTCTTTTCAAATGATCGTATTCCATTCTTGGGATTTGCATGATGAGGACGATAAAGCGGCTTAACGTCTTTGCTTTTGTATAGTGTCGTGAATTTCGAAAAGTGTCTTCGTACTTGAAACTGCAAATACATTGTGATCGATCATAAAGAAGACAAACCTCACTCTGTAAGTGATCTATTATGTCATCGGGTAAAAAAAAAAAAGTGTGCGGCGTTTGCCCAAGAGAGAAAATTAGGAATTCTAGCAATCATCAATTTTTCATCATTTTGTTTTTAAATTGAGCAACTGTACGAACTTTGACATTTCTGCTTGCAATTAATTTGAGCTCGTTGTGACTTCTATTTAGAAGAATGCCAGTTTGATGTCGACTACAATGAAGATATTGCGTCCACCTGTTGGTTGGCTACGATGCACCTATCAGTGAGGACCGAATCAGTTTTGCATTTTTGTCGCGTTCATCGAAGTGGGTCGTACACCATCTTCCACTTACCATTCACCAATTGGATAAGCTCATGGGGCACCTTTTATGGAAATGGGTCGAACCCAAATACAGTGTTGACTTATGTTCTGTGGTTGGCTCTTTTTTTTTGTTTTTTTTTTTTTTCTTTTTTTTGCCCTTTTCCATTTGATTGAAAGGCTTTCTCCTTGGGACTGGCTTTTGGGAGTATACAAAGTGTACTCATTATCGAAAAATATTTCGTCCAAGATTAAGATGAGGTGATCCCTCGCGGCCATGAATCTATTGGTGTATTAGTTGGTCTAAACATTTACACGTCAACTTTAGTTTTGACTCTTTTGTATACATTGAGAATCTACAATTTGTAGATTTGTTTGTGTTAATGCTAATCAATTTGTAGGCTCTGTTGAATTGAGTGCTCTATATGATAATTCAAGACTGATAAATATGTCTATATGCTATCTGAATACGTTGCAAAGTAAACACAACTACGATAAAACACCCTTGGTGCTTGGCACGTCATCTTTACCAGTCTTGGAAGTTGCTTCCTTAATGGCAATTGCCAATGCCTTGAAAGCACTTTCAGCTCTGTGATGGTCATTAAAACCCCTCAAGCAATCCACGTGAATGGTGATAGAAGCCAGCTGTGCAAAGCTTTCTAAAATGTGAGGGATCATTTCCGTGGATAAATCACCAATCTTTTCTCTTTTCAAACCCAAATCGATTACAGCGTATGGTCTATTGGACAAGTCAACGACTGCTCTGCTCAATGCCTCATCAAGTGGTGCGTATCCGTGACCAAATCTCTTTACACCTTTGATTGGGCCTAATGCCTTGTTGAATGCAAGCCCCAACGCAATACCAACATCTTCACTTGTGTGGTGGTCATCTATGTGTAAGTCTCCAATACACTCGACAAGTAATGACCAGCCTGAGTGCTTGGCTAATGCATGGAACATATGATCAAGAAACCCAATACCAGTTTGAATGTTGATTTGTTGGCCTCCAGTGTATTGAGCAGCATGTTCCTCCTTTTCATTTTTCTTCGGAAGAATAGAGTGAGCTATACTGACAGGTCCTCCGTCTAAACTAATTGCAACCTGTATTTTTGTTTCATTGGTGTCTCTTTTGATGAAAGCTTCTCGGCGTTGTTCTGACATTTTGGTGTGTTGTTACTAGTTGAAGCGTAAAGAAATTTGGGGAAACAATCATTCACCTAATCAATCGGGGGCTCTAGACTGAAAATAAAATTTTCGGTTCAGTCATTTATTGAGTGCGTCGTAAGTTTTGTAGTTGCGACACTACACTTTACACAATGGTCGCTAACAGAGTACGGCCCAGAACAGCTGTAAACACAATTTCACTTGAGCAGACTTTTACTTGTTTCAATAATGTCTTGAGTTTGAGCTTTGAGACGATCCAATTGCAGACAGAACCATGTACAGCAAAGTTTCAGCGTCAGCAAGTGCGAATCTTTCTCGTTTGGTTGTGTTTTACAAAATATCAACAAAATAAACAATCTCCTCCACCCGAGAAGATCCAATTCTCGGGGAACCCAAACAGAGGCCCATCAAGGTCGCTAACATGTACACATATATGGAATACCTACAGAAGTGCTTTTACAAAACCACCAATTGGAATGAGGATAACATATTTTCCAATGTCACAGCAACCTCCGACGCTCTACTCAATTTCCCCATACCCAATGGCTTGAAGTTGGACTCTTCATCAAAGTCAACTGACTACCTGGCTTCCTCGTTTACGCTATCAAATTTCCGCCAAATAAATGGCTCCCTAGCCTATTTGTACTCTCTGACTCCATTGATCAACACAATGGGTACAAAGGATATATCTTTGCAAGATGCAATAGCAGGATTCAGAATAATAGAACCCACAATGATGCCAAATTATGCACAAGATGAGACAGATTTGACCAACACCCCCAATAAAAAACCCATGCTACTATACGGGCGTATGTACTTCCCTGGTTCAGCGTTGGAGGCCATGATTATCAAAAGACTTAGCGAAAACACCCAGTTTTTGATCAAATGTGTAAGCCATCCACAATTGGAGAAAAATGGAACTGTCATTGTTTATTTGCAAAATAATACTGCAAAGTACCTGAGAGAGCTCATTTACTCAACCAATGAATCCTTGATTGGAGTGAGGTGCCTATACAACTGGGGCACCGCGATATCCAAATCCATCAATCCGCATCTAGTACCAAAGTTTGAAAATTCAGTGGTCTCGCTAGGGACAGAGTTGTGGTTTGCAGCGAGATCTATGAGTCCTGGGCTTTCCACCGCATTAAGATATTCGACAAGATCAACATCCACTGGGAAACCACTTACAATGACGTTGGCAGTTAATCCAATTTTGGGCCATGTGTCTCTGACATACACAGTGAAGACATCGGTTGCGTCCACATTTTGCTCCAAATATGACTTCAACTTCTTCTCCTATGCTAGCAATTTATCCCTTGGGTTCGAGTTGTACAGCTACGCACAGAGAAAAACCCCAACCCCACCTGCCATTTTGAATACTGTTGAAGAAGAAGATTCAACATCTCATTTAAGACATAACATGGATGGTAGCCGACGGATAAGAAAAGGCTCATACAATCTGCGCAACAGGGCGCATTTCGACACGCACACAAGGGACTATCACACTCATGAACCACTTCAACACAAAACCACAAGCAGTACGCCTACCCACAATAGTGTAGTGGTGACTACAGCATTCCAGAACTTGGTGAATGAGAGTGATTTTTCGAGCGTTTTGAAGGTGTCTACAAGCTTACGAGACAACAGCGTCAGATTGTTGTGGGAAGGTCGGTTGAGAGATTTTTTGATCAGTGCTGGAACTAGAGTATCATGGAACCCAGTAACAAATACCCCCGAAGTGAATAAGCTAGGTATCACGTTATCGTATGCTTTCTAGAGATGTTTCTAGATGTCGATTAGATTATTATAGACGTTACGAAATTAAAAGTGCGTGGTAGCATAGTTAGTAGTGAGATTCAAATTTTTTCTTTTTTCTTTTTTCTTTTTTTTTTCATTTTTTCTTGAAAAGTTGGTGAAAGGGCTTTTTCAACTTACACCACGCTTATCAGTCGCTACGAATGTCAACGAGCAAGGAACTTTTTGACTTGGTGAAAAGCTCAAGGCTAGCTCAAGTAGCGAAACCTCATCTGAAGAATATCAGGGTTCAGTCAAATATCCCCACCCACCAGACAATTTTCACACCATCCTCAAGCGCATATAGATCAAACTATGGTTTGAAAACCGCATTACCTTCAAAGATTGGGAAGTCACATATTTCATTCAACGATGTGGACAACTACAAAGGCATGCCTGATGTCGAGAAAAACTCCGGACACCATTATACTCAGTTGATGTTTCAAGAGTTGGGAATGCCATTGAGAACCCACTTCACATCTCAAAACCCATTATTCCCACACCCTTCTAACAAGAGCAGCAAAACACAAAGAGAAGGAAGCTTGACCAATCTTTTGAATTTGAATACCAGAGCAAACACAGAGTCAGTGGTAAAGGTTCTCAATAATAATCCAAAATTGTATCAAAATTTTAGACATTATGTTGCAAAAAACCACCCAAAGGTTTTGCTCACCACCACTCCCCAGTCTGAGATTATAGCGTTGGTAAAAGACTTTTTAAGGAATTCACAACAAGTTTCAAAGAAAGAAAATACCGTGCACGATAGATCGAGAGACAACACTTACAATATTCAAGGTACAGGTGGGTTTTCCTACAATCAAAGAGGACGACTTCAAAATACTCCCAACGGTATCAGAAATAACACAGTTACAACTGGTAGAATTGTGGGAACGAAAGAAGCCGCAATCGGAGGATTCGTTGCCAATGTAATTGATCGTTCTATTGCCTTGCAAACCAATTACGCTAAAAACTACCCTGGAAAACAACCCAGACAATTCACCATGCCTTTCAAGATTAACGAGGCCGAATTATCCGAGGATGGTTCTGTACGATTATTTGCTGAGGGTATCAAGACTGGGAAATGGTCTGATGCTGATGAGAGATATCCTACATCTGGTTCTTCATTTGCCAACTCATCGGAAAGAGTTAAAGCCGACGACGAAAGCTTGGAAAGTTTGCTCAATTTGATCCTTCCTTCCAAGTAAAATAAAAACTAGCCCTGCCATTACTTGTATAAACCATGTAAATAAATGTTAGTCGTGATATAAAACGAGGTTTTTTTTTTTCGTGATCAAGCAGCGACGCCATTGTCGTCGTTTTGCCTGGTCACCGAGCCTTGCGATTCATCTATCTTCACAGCGGGGCTTTCACTCTTTTGAGGCTCTTGGGGTTCAGAAGTACTCCCAACTTCAACTTCAACAACAGCATTTTCTCTTGCAGGTTCTGATTTCACCGCCGAAGGATTTGTATGCTTTTCAACAGATTGATCTGCCTCTTTGGCCCTTTTCTTTTTGGGGTATTTCTTAGGTTCTACTTTTTCTTGAATAGTTGGTATACCAGTCATCTTCTTTTCTTCCTGATTTAAAGACACTCGCGCAGTTTCAGCCAAGGCGGCATCAAGCTTCCCATCTACTTGATACCAAAGTTGGTAAGGGTTTACTCGATTCCCGGTCTCCAATATGTGCTCCATCTTTTTGCGCACCTTGTCAACAGGGTCCAAACTGTTGACAAAAATCGGCACGAACTTATTGGGGACCCCATGAATTGTAAACGATACACTTGAGTAGGAATAGACAGGTTCACTTGGCGGTATGAACGACTTTGGGGCTGCTTTTTTAGGAGGAGGTCCTCTACGTTTCTTTTTACCTCTTCTTGGAGGAGGCGCCCTTCTTTTCACTGGCACCGTGGACTCTTCCTCGAACTTTTCTTCTTGAATAGTAGCATCTCCTTGATCGTTTTCTGCTGCATCCGCCATAGTCGAGCCTTCAATAGCACTGGGACTCTCTTCTTTGATATTAGCATCGTCGTCGTCGTCGTCGTTCGTGGCAAAGAATACCTCTCCATTTACTTCTCCAGCCATTTTATCCTCCTCTTCAGTGACAGCCTTGTTTTTCTCTTTCTCCTCTTCTTCTCTCTTTCTGTCAGCCTCTTGTTTCTCCTTCATCTTCGATTGATATTGGCTAAGCTCAGTCTCGTATTTATCCATAGCCTTTTGGTTATGAATCCATAAAAAGCTTACTAAAATGTCCTTATTGTCGCCGTTATCACCATTATCAGAATTAATTGATGTAGATGGCTCCATCACTTCACAAATTGCAAATTTTGGAAACTGAAATCGGACATTTGGATTCTCAAGAAATTCAAACAACACAGTGGCGTTGACGATATACTTCTCTTGGAATGCTGTCAACTTTTGGTCCTTGGGGATATCCTTCTTCAAGATCTTCTTTTTCTTGTCTTGTTGGCCAATCGCCGATGGTGAAGTTCGAAGGTCTTGCTGAAGGGTCCGAGAGTCGATATTTTCTTGCTTGACTGAGGATTGACCGGAACTCATCTGAGAAGGAGCTTCAACACTCGAATTCGCTCCGACAGCTTCAACTTCATTATTTGAAGGGTGTCCATCTAACGATGGTCCTTGTCTATCATGACTACTAGTCGCGTTTTCTATACCGTTTCCCGTTGTGGATGAATCATTCTCTTGCAGTGCTTGCTGCTTAGAGTCCTCTTTCTGATCGTGGCTCGTATTAACGTTGCTGCGGTTTTCTTCCAAACGACGCTCTTCCACAACTTCATTGTCTATTTTTGCGACAACCTCGTTGATAGTTTCTTCACTATGTGGTGGGTGTCCCAAACACTTAGCTTCTCGGATGTATTTCTGAAATAGCAGAATTTGAGAAGTCGTAGCACGGCCACTGGCCACCTCATTCATCAAATCATTCAAAGCTTTGTTTTTAGACCCGATATAATTAAGATTAGAGATCATTCTTTGGTTATCGGGTGACTGCAAATCTCCGTGAGTTCTTGCGATGGGGGGAGACGGCGTCATCGATATCGTTTTGGATTTGGTATCTTCTTCAACTTTTACAAGGTTCACATCCTTTTTGCCTTTCAAGCTTGCTTTTGAAGCCTTTATCGAACTTTTAGAACCTTCACGCTTTTCGCGCTTTTCGCGCTTCTCCTCATTGGAAGTGTTTGACTTGAGTGGCGCAGCTTGACCCTGTTCCTCTTTCCGTTTAAGTAATTCCTCTCTCTTCTCAATCTCCTTCTGAATCTTTCGCTCTTCCCGCTCCTTCTGTTCTTGCTCACGCTTAATCTTTCTTTCTAGCTTCTCCTGCTCCCTTTGTGCCCTCTTTTCTTCTCGTTCTCGTTTCATCCTTTCCTTTTCTTCTTTGGTATCGCTTCGTTCATCCTTGGCAATGAACACTCTAATTTCGAAAAAGTGTACCCCTATGCTCAAACCACATTCTAGTAGTTTCACCATTATGTCTCTTGCACTAATGTCATTATTTAGAACGCAAGGTCTATTAGCATATATGTCATCCCTCTTCAAATGTTCTGGGATCGGTTTGTCTTGCTCCATCAATTTTTTGATGTAACTGGATTGTTTGACCCAGTACAATTGAAACATAGGACATAGTTTCAAGTAGCTGGATCTTGACTTAATCAACGATAAATAAAGCACAGCAGTGTCTTTGATTGTAAGAGGTTGGTTGAGAAAGCTTGTTTGAGATGATGCAGTGTACGACACGGGTAATCCATGCACGTTCTCAAATGGGCGGATTATCTGCTGGCTTTGCTCCTCCTGCTCTTTCTCAATCTCATCTCTTCTCAGCGAGGTGATTCTTCGTCTAATTCGAGCCGGCATAAGTATTCGAGAGTGAAGATACTTGAGTTGGGTGATGAACTGTATTTGTAAGCGTTGTTTCCACTTTAATTTAATTTTTTTTTTTTTTGTCTACTCACAAGAACATATACAAGCCCATTTTCATCTATCTAAGGAACCAATTCACGTGTGAACTACAAATTGGTTTCCAATGTATCCAATCCATGATTGAATAGTTTTATGATCGAGTCCAATTCACTGACAAGTTTACTCCGGTTAGTTGTAGAGTCAATGAAAAACTCGCTTTTGATGGGTGGGATTGTGGGGAAAGACAAAGAAGATGAACTTGGTGTTGATGTAGAATTCGCCAGGGACAGAGTACTGGCCACAGCTTTTGACGTGTTCACACTTGCATTTTGATGATGATGATGATGTGCGTTAGAACCATTTACCAGTACATTGGAGCTTGAGGGGGAGGGTTGCGGTTTCTTCTGAGCCAGAATACTGTTTTGATGTGGTCGTATTGTAGCTGTAGTTATATTTGTCGGTGGCGCATTGGCGTCTCGTGTACCCGTACTAGCAGGCTTATCTGCATTGTCATCATTCTTCATTGGATATTGGGGTGGTTCTCTCTCGGTAACTGGAGTCATTGAAATGGGCATGTTTGCTACTTGAGCAGGATTTATACCAAACTGATTTACATTTTCATCCTCATGCGTCGTCTCACTTGTCAATGCTGATAAAACATTCAAACTATTCGATGGTGTGGGCATTTGAATGAAGCCTGGCTTATTCCTTTTGGACTTTATATTGGAAGGAGGTGGTGCATTGGATCCTGCAGTTACCGAATGGGCAAGAATTGGCATCGAGTGTTGTTGCGGAAGTGGTGGAGGAGCTTGTCCCGGTGGATTAGAGCCACCTGCATTACTATCCGTGTAACCGTCACCAGAACTATACTTGAAATTGATGGGTTGCAAAAGAGGATCATGGTTGCCCTGAAGTGCTTTCATCTTGGATGGAGAACCGCTTTTGGAGGTAAGGCCAGTTGCATTTAATATGTTTGTGGTAGAGGGAGGCTTCGGCGATGGCGTCCTGGCACTAGAATTGATTGTGTAAGGTGGTGTATGGGGAGTTGCACCAACTGTGGACGGAGATAGCATCGACGACGTACCACTTCCCAAAGTAGTTGAGATGGTTTTTTTCCGTGTTCGATTCTCAGTTGGTGAAGTGCTCATTGGATTGAACCTTGATTCCAAATTTCCTGAGGCCGACTGGGTGTGGTGTAGGGTTGGAGGTTTCGTAAGAGTGGGCACGCTTTGATTGACGTTTAGTAGTGTTCCCGTTGACGGAAAGCTTGAAAGTACATCCATATCAGGTATTTCAATGGTGGGAGATTCAGTTCCTTCACCCGAGCTGAGTAAGCTTGGGGGTTGCAAAATAGATTGATCATTCATCTTTTCCTCTGGATCTTCGAATAGCATCTGGAGGGATTTTGGGACATCTGCTACTGATTTGGTAGTGGGAGTCTGCGCGTTTCCACTGGTCAAAGTATTTGCTTTCAATGTAGGTAAAGTTGAATACGAACCAAGTTCTTTTTCAGTATCAAACTGTTTATTGTAGTCAAGATTTTGCACATCTATATCGTTCTCCATAATATATTCTTTGGACTCCAAAGAATCAAAATCCCATCTGACCTGAAGATGCTCATTATTGTTCTCAAAACTTTCGTGTCCTGGAAGTTTGTTTTGTACCACCTCGTCTACTGTTTCCTCTTGTTCATTCTCCAAGTTTATAAACACCGAATCTCGTGACGAGTTTCTATCTCGCCACAACAAATATCGAGATATGATTTCCTTGAGAATACTGGTGGGATAATGCTTGTAAGCCTTGACGAGCTTGCATTTGAAAAGCTCGTCAGCAGAAGGTCTCTCGTCTGGATTTTCATCCAAACACAAAGCAACACATTCTTTCAATGTCGAAGAATAGTCCCTTCCTTCGAGACGAGGTGGCGTACTTTTGGAAATCAACTGCATTGCCCAAGATGCATCTTTGTCACAATATGGGGGGTTACCAGTGGCAATTTCATAAACGGTTATTCCCAAGGACCAAATGTCAGCTTTACTGTTGTAAGTTTCCCCGGATTTGATAACCTCTGGCGCCATCCAGTATGGGGTTCCTGCCATCGTAAGACGCTTTGAAGAATTTGTCACAACCTTGGCGGCAACACCAAAGTCACATAGTTGGACATTACCCTCTTTTGAAATCAAGACATTGGCCGCTTTCAAGTCTCGATGTATGACTCCCAACTTGTGCACAGCACTCAAGGTCAGTAGCAATTCTCTCACAATCACACCAATGTATTTTTCTTCCATAACTCCAGGCTTTAGAAGCGTCCTAAGGGAGCCCCCTGCACAATAGTCCATCAAGATCCACAATTTTGTATCATTTAGTATTGAGCCATAGTAGTGAGTGATATTGGGAACGCTCTTTAATTCCGTTAAAAACTGTATTTCCTGCTGAACGTCTAGGATATCCTCTTCTTCCGTGTCCAAATTGAGTACTTTGATGGCATAAAGCTGTTTCGTTTGTTTGTGGTAAGCTTTGTAAACAACCCCAAACTTGCCTCGACCAATTACTTCTGTTCTTTTGAATTGAGAAACCGAGCTCATCTTTTTTTTTTTTTTTTCCTTTTTTATAAAGATGGAACTGTGAGTGATGATCCAAAACGGGGGTTTTTAGATGACCCTTTGAATAGCTATAGGAAAGAGAATGGGAACTTGTATTAGGTTAGATGCGACGACGACTCGTATCACAAACCGTGCCTCTTTTTTTTTTCTTTTTTTTTCTTTTTTTTTTTATGTAATGGTGCACGAAATTAACTACAATGAAAAGAAAGTGACAGTTTCCTCATTTACACTCGTTTCGTCAAGTTTTACAATACTTCCCTCTATAAACCAAGTTGTTGCAATAGTTGATTCTGTTCGTAAGTGAGCAGTTTCCCGCGTGGAGAAGCCACCTGCAGATCAGACGCGTTGGAAACATTTGCAACACAATTTACTCCATCGGAGATTTCATTGTCAAGCTCTATTAAATTTCGATTGTCAAGAGAGTCATTCCCGGATGAGTTTTCCGTAAGATCTGTCAGCTCCACGGTATTATCATCCTTAAATTGTTCAAATGATGACTCGGGCGTTATCACATGGTCAATTTCGTTTATCAGTATCACATTATCGTTCCCATCATCTGCGTCTTGGCATGCACTGTCCCAGCTCAAAACCAATACACCACATAAAACACCACTCAACCCAAAAAGTATCCACAAAAATTGGGTGTACGTCATTTTGTGATCTGCCAAAAGTCTGTTGAATTTCAAGTCATTGATCAAGTTGACTAGATTGTAAACCAAAAAACACAATGGGTATAGTATAGTTGTTGAAATTTGTGCCAACCCCAAGTTGAATGCAGTAAGCTGTAGGCCTATGATAGCAAGCATCGTCGCCAAAAGCAAATATGGCACAACATTACTAACTTTAAATATTCCAGAAACCCCCTCTTTCAATATTGTTTCCATAATCACATTTATGATTGATTTTGCAAAAAGAAATGTGTGCGCTGTCAAAGTACCACTGATGATTCCATAGTTGATCCCTTTCCAAAATTGGGCTCTGTCAAGCTGAAGCACGAGCATGTTGTTGCGACCGTCTTTTAAAGTGCAATATCGCCGACACTCCCGAGTTTTCCTCTTCAAGTAGACACAGTTTATGATCAAAAGGCATCCCATAAAAACAAAGGTTCCAATAAACCACTGTAGAAATGATCTACTTAATAACTTGGTCAAAACAATCTTGAAGCTTTCGTTAATGTCTGGCTGAGGCTGATTTGTTGGGTCACTATGCGTAGAGCCATTATATGCAGTAATGCAAGCTCCTAAGGCTATTATTCCGGTGCCAGACCATAACCGACTTGTAAAGTGTTCACCAGGTAGAAGTAGGCAGCTGAATATTGAGTTGAATATTAGACCGATACTCTGTAAGGGGGACAATATAATGAGTGGAAGGGTTGAAATTTGAATAGCTGATCCCAAAACATTAGCGACTATGAATAAGCTGAATCCAAAGTACCACATGTTGCGTCTATACTTTTGTTGTCGATGATGGCTGGTGTGATGAAATGTACTTTCTGCAGCACATTCCCCTGGCATCTCCAAGTGTAGCAAGTGAGATTTTCTTTGAAGGGTGACACCAAAAGATTGAATGGCAGAGGATACTACTGCAACTGAGCATCCAAATAAGATGGCAGAGCCAGATGATTCCGACATCTAAGCTTGTTTGTGTTGAAATCGGATCGATCCTTGGGGGCTGTGTGTGTGGAGGACGGCAAACAAAATTGACCAGCAAACAGTGGTACTTAGTTTGAGTACCAGAGACGGAGTTTGTGTGTTTTTGACGCAGCGGATGTTGAAGATTGCACTGAGAGCAATTTGAACGATTGTGGTGTATGATGGGTTGTCAAGACTCGACTGCAACTTCAAGGACAATATTTTGTTGTGTTGTTACTTAAAATGCAACAGGTCGTGCTCAAAATCAAAAAAAAAAATATATATATCTGTAGATACCCCCGCATATTGTTCTAGATCTGTTGCTAGCCGCACATTATTTCGGTCTTATTCAAATTGAACATGTCTCTTATGGGTGTTCTAAGATGGTGGATAACTCAAATCATGACTGCTCCAGGTTAGTTTCCAGCATGGATGGTTATATGTAAAGTTGCAACCACTCCTCCTTGCCCATCAGCTTGCTCAAAATTGTGTCAACTCACAACACTCAAAATCATGCAGGTTTCCGATCCACTCGTTCCATTTGGTGTGAAGGTACGAACTGATTTCTTGCAAGGAAGGTGTCAATTTTGGACGAAATGATGCAAAAATATTTTACAAGGGCTCACAACTCAAAACTGGGCTTTGAAAACACATTGATGACTTTAACACAAATACGGCAGCAGAAGAGCTGAATCACGTCTATAAATTTCACAATAATAACGTTATGGGCCCATGGTATTTAGTTGAAGTTTGAGAGATTTGTTACAATCTGTCGCACGAATAGACACCACAAAGATATCCCAAAATGGAAATAAGCGCTTATCTTGAAAATCAAATCTAATCGCGATACGATAACAACTACGATCAGATACCAAGCTCAAAAGTCTTGTAGCGCAAAATATGCTTCAATCTGCATTTTGCCTTCTCGAAAGCACCGTGTCCTCCCTGTTCTCTCCTGAAAGATGGCCTTTGTGAAGTGTTTTGCGACGCAATAAGACAACAACCGATGGGCCACGAATGTGCAACGCTGATTCCTGCGAGTATATTCAACCTATAAGCATTTTGGCTACTTTTTATCAATTCACGACCACCGGCCACCGGTCGCCGGTCGCCAAAAGAGTTAGTAATATATTACTTATTGTACTTCTCCACCGTGATTTATTGTGATCCTGCGAAAAAAAGATAACGATCTTGAAAAGAAATTCCGCACTTTTGCGCGCTAAGGATTTCCTCTTACTTCTTTTGGAATAATTTGGAACATACTCCCTTTCCCGGCTCCGGAGTCAGAACAGATAAAAACAATTCAATGAATGCCCTAAATTAAATCATGCTTTTATTGTTCTTAGGAGTTTACTGAACCCTTTTGATACCAGCTGCTATTTCACATAGTCCTACGACAAGGATATTCACTTGAAAGTGTAAGGTAGTTTGCATGAATTTACCATCGCACCGTTCTCAACATGCTTCTCAAACTACCTCAGAGAAGGGAGTGCCAGAAATGATATACAGCTTCCAAGATGAAGAAGTCAGAGTTTGGAAAATCGGATCGAATACCTTCTATGCTAACTTTTATTGTTTGCCTAATTTTGTGTGATGAATTTTAGCAGGGTGTGCATGTATCTTGATCAAGTCCGCCTGATAACAATAGCAAAAATGAGATAATCAGCAATAAGCTGATAATGTTGTCTGTTGGTTATGAATGCTGGTATTTAAACCAGTTGGGTTCCGCTAATTATAGTGAATGGAATACACATACAATTCATCAAGAATTTGCGAAATGACAGAAAAGAACGACGACGAAACAGCTTCACAGGTAGAGCCAATAGTTTCCTTCACGAAAAACGATTTGGAGGACAAGAACCTTCATGTGTTAACCACAATCATATCTCCCCATGGGAAAGAGGTGCAAGTGACGAATAATGTGGACCAAGCTATGAAGTTTGCTTTAGAGCACCAGGGTGAAGTTGTTCAGCTAGATGAGAAAACAGACAGGAGAGTGTTGCGCAAGATAGACCTCTTTTTGCTACCAGTTATGTGTTTGTTATATTGTTTCCAGTTCATGGATAAACTTACAACGAGTTACAGTTCAATTTTGGGATTGCGTTCGGAATTACATATGGTGGGAGACATGTACAGTTGGACCACGACATGTTTTTACTTGGGGTACTTGGCGTTTGAGTTTCCTGCATCGTTACTTCTCCAAAGGTTCCCAGTGGCAAAGACAGTGGGGTGTTTTATTGTTTTGTGGGGGATGATTCTTGCGTTGTGTTCGGTCCCACAATACGCTGGGTTTATTGCTTTACGGACAATCCTTGGTATGCTTGAGCTGGCTGTGACACCCGCGTTTGCCATTATCACATCCCAATGGTACAAGAAGGAGGAACAGTTTCTCAGAACCTCTTGGTGGTTTGCATCAAATGGGATTGGAACAATTCTTGGACTGTCCATTGCATATGGATTATATGAGAACCAATCGTCGTATAGTTTACCAGCATGGAAGTTGGTATTTGTCGTGACGGGCGTGCTCACTATTTTCTTGGGGTTTGTTATCATGTTGCACATCCCTGACTCACCAACCAAAGCATGGTTCCTTTCAGAAGAGGAGAAGGTGTTGGTGGTGGAGAGAATCAGATCCAATCAACAGGGGTTTGGTAATCCAAGATTCAAAAAGAAACAATTTTATGAGGCCTTGACTGATCACCGTACCTGGTTGTTTTTCTTATTTTCCATTTCAAATAACATTCCAAATGGTGGAATTACCAGTTTCGGTACAATTTTGTTGAACGAGCAATTCGGTTACACAACGTCGCAATCGTTATTGATGCAAATGCCATCTGGTGCAGTTGAAATTGTAGGGTGCGTACTATTTGCATGGGCAACGAGGTTTTTGAAATCAAGGATGATGATGGCATGCTTCATATCGGCTGTGGTGGTGATGTCACAGTGTTTGTTGGCTTTTGCACCAACTAACTCCGGAAAGTTAGCTGGATACTACTTGTACACACTTGCCCCTGTTGGCTTCATTTGCATCTTGTCACAAGTATCATCTTCAGTGGCTGGCCACACTAAAAAGATCACGGTCAATGCTATTTTCTTGATTGGGTATTGCGTGGGGAACTTGATTGGTCCACAGACGTTCATTGCGAATCAAGCTCCAGTGTATGCGGGTGCCAAAATAGCTATAGTTGTTTGTGGAAGCGTTGCACTTTGCTGCTTGATAGCTATCTACTTTTCTTACTACACGGAGAACAAGAGACGTGATGCATTACCCCCGGTTGACATGAGCCACATCGAAAACTACGAGTTTGCTGATTTAACCGATAAGGAAAATCCAAACTTCAGATACGCACTTTAGTAGAGAGTTCTAGTAGAATATGTATGAATAAAAAAAAAAAAAAAAAAAGGAAATTAAAAACATAGGGATAAAGCGTGTCGCGTATGTTGGAAATTCTCGTTCTCACATAACATGCTCCACTCTCCGTAGACAAGCAAACACACTCCATGGAGAGCAAGGTTTCGGTCATTATAGATGAGCTAGAGTCTTCCGAATTGCTGAGGGTTTCCAAGGGGTTGTACTTACTAGAGACGCTTTTGTTGGGGTTAGTGCAAGAATTGAAAAATTACAATGATGGTGGTACTGATTCCTCAAATCTTCAGGAGTTTATCAAACTGCAGGACAACTTTGGCTTCAATCTCACGTCATACCTTGCCAAACTAATCAAACGAGACTTGCCCAAGAATGAGATTTTGCTATTGCATAGGGATTTGCAAGGGTTGTTATTACTACATCCACCGTCAAAGACTGTATTCAAACGTGAAGCAAACATGCTGCCGATTTTGAATTTGTTGGATAGAAGAGATGATAAGATCATTACTATTACTACGATAACGACGTTGATACATATATTATTAAAGAACTATGACAACTACCGAAGCTTTGAGAACAGTAATGGGTGTCCGAAATTGATTCAACATCTAAGCCTAGCGTCTGTTCTTAACATAGATGAAAGTGGTGAAATACAACCCCGGTCTAGTGAAGCAAGCAAGAAAAAAGGACGGTCATCTCTCGAGCAACAATTGAACTTTAAAATTATCGAGTTTTTGATGCTTTACATGAGTGAAGAGGTGGGCAATCCTCACCCACATACAATTGAAATGAAAGCTGATTTATTTAGAGACGCGTTTCCATTAATTGATCTATTGATTGAGAGCTTGAGTGAATTGGATAAATTATAGCCGTACATACAACATATGTGTGTATCCCAAGGTTTATTTTATTTATACACCCAGCGACCGTTGGTATACTGGTCCGAAGTCCGTTTTCCAGCATCTCCAAGCAAATAGTCATTCATTGGGTTATACTTGGGTACCGAGTCGTTGGCCAAGTGGTGATTGATGTCGTATTTTCGCTGCGTCAAAATCAAATTTGCTTCATTTTCCTCCTCGTTGTCATTCACCTTTAAGCCAATCAATGTTCTTTGCTTGTTGGTCAACGGTAAATCCCAACATTGATCCTGTCCTTTTAGTAACTTGGCTACAGAAATAACAATATTGATAAGCGGCCAACATGTGACAATTTGTTCGGCAATGATAAAATAAACACTGTTTACCAATGTTTCGAAATCAAAGCGACTATTGTACATCATTTGCTTGTATAGTGGCTGTGCTTTCAAGTTTATTTCGTACAATATTATTACTTTTTTTATGAGTGATTTGAATAGCAACAAAATGATCAAATATAGCACATTTCGTAACAATAATTTTGTATAATGTTCAAGATCCACTTGTCGTGAGAGTGCTTGTTTGACAATGGGATTTTCCCAATGGCCAGTGGGGGAAGCACTAGTATAGTCATCCAAATCCACTTCGTCGTCCTCGAAATTAATGGTACTGAGTTTGCTTGGTGAGTTGTCCCTTGCACTGAGTCTATTGCGGTGCAATTGGGGCAAGAAGTTTGCTGTTGACTTTTGCCCACCGAGGCTCACGTTTGGTGGAAGGAAATCTTTGATCTCTTTGTAAAAATCTTTAACTCCTGAACTGGGTAGTTGATAGTACAGAGGACGATCATGACTTTTAATTCCGGCAAGTTTCCTCTGCTCGGTTTCCCGTTCTGCTTTTAAAGCAAGTTTGGTTTGTAGAATCTTCAAATGGATATCGCTAAGAGAAGTTTCATCCGAGAATTTGCCTGATTGTAAATTTTGGGTCCCCATTAGCTCCTTTGGTTGGGTCGCTTTGAATTCGATTCGTGATGATGCATTGTTTGGGAGTCTGGATAAAGTGTGATCCACATTAGGAATGTTTCCATCAATCAGTGGTCGTGGGCGTGTAAATGAATCAAACTTAATCAACGCATCATCAAACAACTCGTCAGTGGCGGCAGGTGCTGACATTAGTAGAATTGTGTGTGTGTGTGTGTGTGTGTGTGTGTGTGTGGGTAATGAATCGATCTTCGCAACAGCTGTCTCAACCAAGTTCCTTCGTTGTGTGTATGCTTTGAATTGATCACGTGAAACACCTTACATTGCATCTTATGCAAAGAGAATTTTTTTTTCTTTTTAAATTTTCTCAGAAATATGTACTTTAAAAATTTCAGACTGTTTGACACCACATTCTTCCTTGCAGTCAGTCGATTTATGCAGATATTGTATGTATAAAGCTATAGACACATTTACATGATGAACAAAATGTTTACACAGACCTGTACCGAGTGAATTGGTCACCACCTTTTCTACTCTGAAGGATAACGACATGCCTCTTCTGAAAAATTTGAAATTTGAAGCACTTAATACTAACGAATTTAACTAGTGAGGATTTTAGCAGGCCTAAAGTTTATAGAATCGAATAAATGTTTCTTTGACTGAATTGTTGCATGTAGATGTGATGTAAAGGACTCTTTGATGCGCAAACGATAACCCATGAATGAACTAAGGATTGTCAGCATATACCTGGACACTTACTGCACCAACCTCGTCTTCTCCGTCACAACATCTCTACGACTCTACGTCAATCGAATAACGTTACTTTTTATATATATTAACAGTTTAAAACCTGAAAAGAATGCTACATTACCCAATATAAATGAAAATGACCCTTCAGCACAAAAATCATTTACTTCTTAGCAGTCAATCTTCTCAAGTAGAATGCCAATTCTTCACCTTCCAAGATGTAACCATCACATCTTCCTGATTGACCTGGTCTCGATGAGATAACAGCGTATAATCTACCGGCACCGAATTGTGAGTCAACGGCAGCTTCAATGGTGGCGTTACCTGATCTGTTGGCCAATTTTCTCTCCAATTTTCTAGACTTCTTGACGTCAGCTACATCAGAAGCAACTGGTTGGTTCTTCTTCTTACCCAAAGTACCACCATAGTGGTTTTCGTACCATTGTCTGAATGGGGTAGCATCAATTTGGACAACAGCAGACTTGGTCAAAGTGTTGGTTCTAACCAATTCGTTATTGGATGGGTGGTAAACAACACCAGCAATTCTGGTCTTTCTTGAAACACCTTCGGAAGCCCATGAAAAGTTTCCGGTTTCAACTCTCAAAGCTCTGAATTTTTGGTTACCACCTCTGGTTCTAACGGTGTGGATTCTCTTTGGTCCAATCTTGGTGTTGGCGGATTGTCTTCCTAATTCGAACTTTCTCTTCTTTCTGAATTGAGCTCTTTTGGCACCAGTGGCGCTTCTCTTGTGACGTGAATCTCTAGAAATACCCATGTTTAACTAAGAAAATTGTTTTGTTAGTATTCGAGTAAAATTGAAATTGAGAAGGACTAGGCGATGAAGATGATGAGGTGGTGGTGGCAATGATAAACCTCTTTTGTTGTTCTCATTGGCTGGTGAAATTTCAAATGGATTAGCTTCATGTCATGAGAGTCTGTTCACCACAACTTTGCTTATCTCTTAACTGCCCACTAGTTGCACATCCTCCTTTATCACTCTCTTATGCCTAGTATAGTCTCCTCTGATAGGTGTGAGGTATTCACATACGTTTCTATATCACTGATGTATCTGAGTAGAAAGAAGAAATCAAAGCGGTCTCTAAGAATTGATAAAGCGAAAAATTTTTAATAAAGCTGAAAATTTGATTGTTAGTGCGCGGTTGCTTTAGTGCAGAAGAATGAAAAAGACTTTTTTGTTTTTTTTCGCACTCTATTGTGGAAAATCAACTGGTAGCGATACCAAATGGTACGGGTAGTGCGATAATCAAAACTTTTTTCAAGCAGTAATGTATACCAGGGCTTAGCCCTAATCAGATGACACCTGCTCCAAAATTTCTTTTTGTTTTCATTGCGCGCGATGATATAATAAATTGTGTCATCTCGTGTGATTTCGGAGTGGATCCGATACCAGTTGATGATTTTATAGAAAGATCAACAACGAGTTGAAGTCTCGGTTCAGCACTTAATCGTCAAAGGACAGAACATGGAAACCATATACGATGAAATAGAGATAGAAGATTTCACATTTGATCCCGTAACTCAGTTGTTTCAATACCCTTGTCCGTGTGGTGATCGATTTGCCATTAGTATTGATGATCTACAAGATGGAGAGGATATAGCTGTTTGTCCAAGTTGTTCATTGATGGTGAAGGTTATATTTGAACCTGAGGATTTGAAAGAGTATTTGAATGAACTAAGCTGATTAAGGACAAGGGTGAATAGAGGAAAAGGGAACCACTGGTGCAACAAAATTACCATCACACAGGAAGGAAGAGCCGCGGTACTAGATGATCGCCACCACCACAACCAAATACCAGTGAGCTTCAACAACTTGCTCAATAGTAGTCACAACTGTAGTGATGTATTTTGGCTCACAAAAGTTACTAAAGTGGGAAGAACGCGCCTTTGAACCTATCGTGAAATCGAATCAGGACAGAGGCAACGCTCGTAATCAATATTGTTGAGGCTGCATTTCAAAACGTTGCAAAAGGATAAGCTACAATCTAACACGATATTTTCATCCAGTTCGATATTGAACAGGTGGACTTTCCAGCTAACAAAGCTCACAGTCAATACGATTGTGCTCTGGTGTTTGTGGAAGTGGCAGATCGGAGAGGGCCCATGACTAATGGGTATATGCAGAAGGATGGAGCGAGAGAGCAACACAGTGTAAATGTATGAAGTTGCCCAATGCCTCTCATTTACGTCATTGTCAATTGCAATGCAAATATTCACCGATATGAGTGATTTTGATTTAAGCTTCTTCATCAAGGAAATAAATACGCTATTACCGGGCGTTTCAGAGGATGTTTCTATAGTCCAGCAAATTGGGGCCAATTTAAAACTAGCTTACGTTTAAAAAAACCTTAAAATTTGAGATTATTTTGAGTAATCTGTGTTATTAAACTTCCTCTTGCTCAAACTCTTGTACTTTTAGTTTTAAACGGTTAAACGTTTCTTGAACTTTGAATCTTGTAGAGTCTAGAGAACATACCAATCCTGTGCTGTCCTTGTCATGTGAAAATTTCAAGAATAGAATCTTTATGCAACGGTTTTGCAAATTTCTTGTAAGGTATTGATTTCCGAAAAAAAAAAATGGAAGTCTTTGATGAGGGCAACTTTTGCGTTTTATTATTCTCCTTCCTTCAGTCTGTACAGCTTTTTTGCTTGCAGTTTGATTCCATCTGACCAGGATTGGTTGGTATAGTTGTTACGTCATGTTCAGAGTAACTAAAATATAAAATAATTCAGAGTTTTGAAGTTATTAAGAAAAAAAAAAAAAATTAATAAAGGATAAAGATTTGTGTAACAGAAATAGTTGAATGCGGGGAAAAGTTTCAAGGCAAAACTAAAAAGAAAAAAAAAGAAAAAAAAACAGAAACAAAAAAATTAATTTGGAGCGAGAGGGAAAGAGAGAGGGGCAAAAGATTGTAGCACACTTTCGCTTTTCTACCTAATTAGGAAACGTTGTTCAAAATAGAGAACAACAAACGAAACAAAATATAAAACGCAAAGTGGACAGTTTTCACTTGCGCTTAGCTTAGTGACTAGGGAAGTGAAAGAGCAACCAAACAGCAAAGGGGTATAGTTTGAAATCCCAAGGCACCAACAGTACGGAGCTGCAACGGTTCACTAGTTTACTGTCTTTTGGCTCACCCACTTTTTCCCTTTTCAAGCACTACATTGTTGAACTTTTCATGCCATCAAAATCTCTTTTTTTTTTTATTTGTTTTTTTTTATTTTTTTCATGCCAATACAGAGACATTGAATTTTTAGCACTAGAATTTTTGCCCAAAATTCACATACACCTTCTGATTGTTATCGAGTAGTGCATTCATATCCAAAATATCCAGAAAGCAAAGGCTCTTAAAATAACTGATAGTGGGGGATTCATCAAGAGGGGCAAAACCTAAAGTACAATAGGATTCTTGCTAAGTTTGCTTTTATTGTTTTCCAGGGTAATAGAATAATTTATTGCTACGCGGAGTTAGCAATTATTTTAGAAGAAACCCTTTTGAAGTAGCTTTTATCTCTTTGAATTGGGAAGTAGGGATTCAAGGTGCTAGAGAAAACAGGACACCATTTGAAAGACAAGTCCAACAGAATGTGATAAATGTATTACATTCTGTTGTTGGTACTGCATTGGTTATGAGTCTAAAATACATCGTTTCGAATGTGAACGTTTTATGTTAAAGATTAAAGCCGATGCATTTGTTTCTTCTAAAACAATATTAAGAACTAGAAGAAAAAAAAAACCCCCCCCGATGAAAAGGTGGGCAGGGCTCATAACCGGAATGTACTGGATATAAGACATGCTATTAATCGACGACACGAGAGTTCCTGGGTATGTTATGCCTGTATGAGCCCATGCAAGCAAAGATACGACGTCATGGTCATTACATAAGATGTATAAGCACATCTAATTCTTTATGCATGATGCATTTATTAGAGAAAGCTTGATAATATCATACCATTTTACATTTCACTTTTAACTAATGATCTGTTTGTCCAATGTCCTTCTACACGTGGTAAATACTAGTTAAGAACGGGTTTACGGAAATTTGAGCAGCGGAATTTGTAAAATTGTAAAAAAAAGCGTTGCTCAAAAGTAAAAGTAACGAATGTTTTTACTCTTATAACCGACGATTAAAGAACAAACTTACAAAAGCGAAAGAGAGACAAACAAAAAAAAAAAAACACCAAAAAACCAACAATTGAAGCCATAAACAGAAATAGTAAAGTGCAGATGATACATACAATGGTTCCACAAGGATTCCATCCTGAATGAGTCAAACAAGACAATAAAGATCGTCCAAACAAAAAGGACTTTGAATCAGGCCACATGTAAAAATATTTTTTTTTGTCTTTTTTTTTTTTTTGTTTTTTCTCTTTTCGTTTCTTGAATGTTATCATTCTCATTTACGAACTTTTGAAGTTTGTTAGGAAATTGACTTTTTAATCTTTGTTTCGAAGTTCATCGAATATGACGAAAACGCCTTGAACTTGCTTACTCTGCCTAGGTTATTCCAAACTTAATATTAACATGTCTATGCGCACCAGCAAGGCTTTGAATGACAAATGTGAACAAAGTCAAAGTCTCTAAAAAACTCTAAACGTACTGGCAACGTCTCCTCAACGCAAATTGATTTAAGACATTTTTTTTTTTTATTTTTCTTTTTTTTTTTTTTTCGTGACTTTAAAAATATTATTATTATTATTCTACTCTATTTTTGTTTCATTTCGGCTTGAATATAAGGAAAATCTTTATATGTGATGTTTCAGAAGTGAACGTTAAAGACAACATGAAACGGTTTTGAGAGGTGCAACGTTGAAGTTGGGGAAATAGAGTTCCGACCATGTCTGTACGATTGGTACTTCAATATAGCATTTCAGCGAGCTGTGAAACAATATCACACATGGGGCGGTACTCTGCTTCATCCCTTTTTATTTATTTCTTTTTTTTTTTGTAATATCTTCTATAGCCTTCACACTGTGTCGTTTCTCATGTTTCTAACATACTCTTTTGAAACAAGAAACGACCTTGTATTGGTGAAATGCACAAACAAACTGAAAGCGGAAACCAGTTGTCCAGATGCAAGAATAGAAGCAACACCCAACAGAAAGCGAAGCACACAAATAAAAAAAGCTGTAACAATTTATATGAACAATAGAGAGTGTCTGAGGAATAAGATCATCTTCATATTGTGTGCGTTTATTACAGTGGTTGGTGGCTTATATAGAATGTTGGGTGCTTGCGTTTGTGCTTGTATTACATTACATAAGCGCAAACGTTTGACTCTTATACAAAGACAAAAAAAAAAAAAATGTTTATATTGGTAGCACAGTTAACTGTTGAGACTTTTTTTTTTTTTTTTTAAAAAGAGATGTTATATTTGTGCTTGCTTTTATTGCTAACCATAATATTAATTTAGATTTTATTTTTGTTTCGGTGGTTGTTACACACACATGCATGCTGTGATAAAATCTAACAGAGAGCCTAAAAAAAACAACAAGAATTTAGGCAAAGATCTGTTCGTTTTTTCTTTTAACCGAAAATCAAACAAAACAAAATAACCTGAAACTGTTGTATTAGAATTGGGCAGTAAGCAAAATATTACCCTTTCATACATACCCGTGGCAAAGTTTAAAGAGAGGGGAACAGGGCGTGTATCTACTTTTGATATTTGTATTATCAACAAAGCGATGTATGGATGCATCTTGATCCATCGTGTCACATAGTTTCTCTCTAAATCCGACATTTCGTATATCAAGAGCCAAAAATAGAAATAGTATGCTTCGCCTGGAAAGTTGCAACGCAAGAAATATGCATACACAACTGCAGTTTTGAACTGTTTCCCATTGAAAGTAAGGCACGCAGGTGATCCTCTTCTGGTGATGCTTTAGGAAACAGTTCCAAATCAGAACATGATCTGGGGATTGTATAGAACTCTCGTCTGCCAAGAAGAGGCGGGAGTTTTCTTTCTCACCCCACGCGACGATCCACAATCAAAGAAGAGAAGAACTAATCTCTCACAATTGAATAACACCTCTTTCTCTTTGAATATCACCGAAACCCTGTTTTTGCCCCACTTGGCAGGACTCTGAGATCGTTGATGCAGGCTTCAGATCTTCACTTCTTTTCCTTCTCTTCCTTTGAATGTGTTTTTTTTTTTTTTTCTCTAACATACGAGAATTCTATTGTCTTTGGATTGAGGAGAGGTCCAGACTACTTACGCGGAAACGGATCTATTTTCAAATGGTTAATTTCACCTTCTACACTATTTGACCCTCATACAAATCAGCCAACTGAGTTCAAGTGAAAGTAGAGTAAACGCTGTAGTAACAAGGAATTTCCTTTTTTTTTGCACCCTACCCTACATCCTGTTTTGTCTGTTGTTGGGAAAAAAAAAAAGTAGGAACGGCTAATAATTGTATAAAATCATCCGCACCCTACCCTACCCCCTGCCTTTGCGACCATGTATTTTATTTTATTTTAATTTACCCTTCGTATGTTCGCCAAGAAATTGAACTATGAATTACCATCGGACAAAGAATCAGCCCGAGGAATTCCTCGAATAATAATAGAAGACTGTATCAAGGTGGTTTGTTTATTGTTCTTCTTCTGTGCTACAGATACTGAAGAGACACTCAAAAACAAAGGCAAAGGTGGATATCGTGTATGGTGAGTGTGCTCTGCTTGTATGCATGGTGTCAAACTGGACAAAAGACTACAAAACAAAAAGGAGCAATATATAGCAATAACCATATATACAAACGATATGATGTATTGTTGTTTTCTGTTTGTGGCATTGTGGGAGATTGGTGCATGATCACACTTTTTGCATATTGCACTAGCTCTATTATATACGAACTTTTTCAGAGTGTATGTCATTTTGGTAGCTTTTAGCGTCTATTGGTATGTCCATTAGAAAGGTAGATGCGCCCCTTCTCTCTCTCTCTCTCTCTCTCTTGCGACAGACTTTTGAGAGTATGTATGTATCCACCTATCTTAAACCCTACTTCTCCCGCTTGGCCGTTTTTGATCATATCACATCTTTGTCCACTTTTTATTGTTTTTTATGTCTCTCGTTTTGCTTTTCCTTTTCAATTTCACTTTTTGGGTTACCGTTTGGTTTGTATATAGCCGCTGGTAACAGCACACTCTCTCTATATGTCTCGTTTAGAAGTTGTTAATTAGTTGGGTTTTTTGCTTTTGTCTCATACAAGTGCCCCCTCCCCCTCCCCCCCAAAAAAAACAAAAAACAGAAATGTGACAAAACGTTTGAAGAGGGTCTTTTCTTGTCTCGGTACCATCTTTGAAAATTGATGTATAGATACAGCTGAGAAGGCTATTGTGGGTTGAACGCGTAGCATGCAGCAGAAAAATGTTGGGCTATGAGTGATGAGGAAGGCGGGATTTACTTTTGCTCCTGAGTTACGTTCAAATTTGCCGCTTTATCTCAGCTTTGCTATTTCATGCTGTGCAATAGTATATATGCGCTTGGAGAGCTAGTAAATAGTTCTGCAGAACTATCCGTTACACAAGCAGTTCTGCATAACTAAAGACAGTGAGTGTGAGAGAGACAGTGAGTGCGTACGCCTGAAAGGGTGAGAGTAAGTGTATGCATGTGAGTAAGCATGTTTTCCTGAGTGAGTGACTAATATTCGATTAGTGTGTATTGTTCTCAAAAAGAATCTCTGGCTTGTGTGCAAGATTAAAGTTGTTGTTTTCTGATATGTTTTGTACTATATTTTCCTGACAATACAATAGTCTAAAATTTTATAGAGCACTAAAAAGTTTTAAATATTATTTTATTTTATTTTATTTTATTTTATTTTATTTTTATTTTATTTTTATTTTATTTTTATTTTATTTTTATTTTATTTTATTTTATTTTTCTATTGTTTATTTATTTATTAAAATTGTTTTCTAAAAATTTGCACGGATTTAACAACCCGGTGGATTAGAATATTATGAATATATATATATATATATATAGATGTACGTTTCACTGTCGCCAAAGGATTTCATTATACAAACAAACTGCAATCCAAAACCTATATGCACACATAAACAAGACTACACCCATACAAATACTCTATATTCTTTCACAGGAGCAGGTCTCTAACTCTACAGCATACTACACTCAACACCGCAGTTCTCAAGAAAACTACCACTAATTTATAATACTTCACGTTTACTAATCAATTTTATTTTCTTATCATCATTTATTATATTTATTCCGTATTGAGGAACTTATTAATCCAATAATTGCAAAAATTAACGTCATTCATCACCCACACACAATTCGCCAATGAACATGATGTACGATAGACCAAGTCAATATCATCACTACCTACCACCACCTAATAACCATCTGCACTCGCCGCCACAAAACGAGGCCCAACACCAACAGCAGCAACAGCAAGCGCAATATGGACAAGCAGCTCCTGTTGCGGCAAACGCAAGCTATTTACCGGGAATGGCTCATCATAATCAGAGTACTTTCCCTCCCTATCAAGTGGAGCATCCCCAATTTACCCAGCAAGTGGCTCCTTATGGCTATCAACAACATCCAAGTCCTTACTATGGGGCTCCACAGGGACCCACTGCCTGCAAATATGCATCAACTTTTGCAAACACGCCATCAAATATACACCTTTCCTATACAGCCAACACTACGAGCCAGGAAAATAACAGTAACAGTCATAACACACCCAATAGGCGCGGGCCATGGTCTCCGATGGAAGACAAGAAATTGCTTGAGCTTATATCTTTATATGGAGCAACTAACTGGGTGAGAATTGCCAATACTTTGGAAACGAGGACTCCCAAGCAATGTCGAGAGAGATACCATCAAAATTTGAAACCTAGTTTGAATAGAGCCCCAATATCAGCTGAAGAAGGAGAATTGATTGAAAAATTGGTGGCTCAATATGGGAAGAAATGGGCAGAAATATCTCGTCATTTGAATGGAAGATCAGATAATGCTATCAAAAACTGGTGGAATGGCGGTGCTAACAGGAGGAGAAGAGCCAGTTTGGCCACCACAACAGCAACCAAAACAACAGGTACAGATACAGGTACAGACACAGGTACAGACACAGGCACAGACACAAGTGCATACACAAACACGACTGACGGATTGATTAAACCTCATGACTCGATTCTGCAACAGGAACAGAAGCAACTACAAGAACCCAATCTCAACTTCACCGATAAAAAACCAAAAGCTGCTTCGATTTTACCACAACCACCACAGCCGAACTCTCTACATCAGAGGCACTACATGCCTTCTGCAATGCAAGTATCATCTAGCGCATCCAGCATGACTAACGCATACTCATCGACAAACAACACTCCCAACAAGTTACTCAATTCAAGCTCTGTTAGTGATATACACATACCGCAAATTTCATTCAACACTTCAATGTTTGGCGGTGAGGGTGAGACAGAAGCAAGTGATGTCAAAAAGCTACCTAGTATAACCGATTTCGCCGCTGGTAAATCACCGCTTATACCTGGTCTAATGAAATCAAACGAGATCAGATCAGCCAGTTTTGACGTCGGTTCGATTTCTAGAGAATCTGTAGCTGGTGCTGCCTCGGGTGGCGGCGCCAAGTTGTTGATGCCGTCGTCGGCCACTGCCTTTGCTACTGGTGCCGGTACAGCTACCACTACATTACCACCCATTTCACATAGCAACAAGAGACGCTTAATAGATGACGCGACAAGTAACACCGGTCGCCGGCACTCAAGTGCACATTCCATGTTAGTTCAAGCACATGTCAATGGATCGCATTCACACCTACCTCACAACTTGCTTCACCATTCACCAGTACATGGACTTGGACATGGCCGCAGTCGTGGTCAAAGTCAAAGTGGTAACGTCCTGCCATCGTATCGTGGGTCTCCATTGAACACAGCTACACATGTCTCAAGAAATAACTCAGTGACCCATTTTGACTTGCTGAACAACACCCATAATGGGATTTCAGCACCCAATAGCGACCACCATAATAATTCTGCATTGAGGGGAGTCCCATCATCACCCGGCTCAACAGCAAACAGTTTGTCGTCTAGACGCTCGAGCTTATTTGTTTCCGACATGGCACATTCGTCGTCAGTGGGTACTAAAACCAGCATGGATTACTTGTACAACAGCAGCTTCAGCAATTCCACTTCACACAAACGAAACTCCTCGCAAAACTCATCATTCAATTCGCCTTTGTTTACTCCGTCCACAAGATTTTCCGTCTCGTCAACCACATCCTTAATGAATCCTCCTTTGGGAAGTACCACTAGTACCTCGCCCAAACAGAAGCACAATGAGTACAGCAAGAATAAAAGTGGCAACAGCGCAAGCGCTAGCGGTCATCATGCATTTGATCCAAAAGAGACAAATGCCAGCAGTGAGATTGCAGGAAATGCAACTGACCACGGTGCCACTACTCCTGGTGGCGATGTGGAAATGAGTACCGAAGGCGCGGAGCAATATAAAGATGGCCAAGTTAGCGACAACAATTCCACACCAAAGACTTCCTATCATCAACATGTCAGTGCTGGCCCTGAAACGAGCAAGTCTCCTGAATCTTTGGAGAATAGGAAAATGTCAGTAGCTGCGCTACTTGATTAAAGAAAGAGTTAACCGATGGAAAGGAGTACACCAGTCGTCACAGATTGTACTCCTTTCAATTGAGTTCCGGTTTGTCCCACTCGAAAAATGGAGTGAACGACAGCCTTGCACATAAAAAGTATTGATTACTTTCATGAAAGACACACACACACACACTTAGATATTTTTATGTAATATACCACTTTAATTTTGATCTATTTTTACTTCAATGATTGATGGTAGATTCTGATATATGGATGTAGATTCCCTGAATTGATGGAGCAAGAGGTAAAAATATGTAGAGCTCATGTGAACTTCTCACACTCTTTAAGCGAGGGGGGGGGACAAAAAAAATAATCAACGTCCAAATGGAGTTGTTGCAAAGCGCACACTTTACATAGCACCGTCAACCCACCACACCATGGTCGCCATCAGCAAATCAGAACAGGAAGCCATTCTTAACAAATGTATTAACAACATCAAACATCAACTGAAGTTGATGAAGTCAAACCTCGACGAATGCAAGTTATTGCCGGCACTAAAGAATTGTTCAAATTTCTTGAACGAATTGCGTGTCAGCCAATTGAGTCCCAAACAGTACTATGAAATATACATTATGGTGTTTGACACTTTGGAAGTACTTAGCGGACACTTGGTTAGTAGTGCTCCACAACTTAAGAGCAAGAAAAAGAAGAGCAAGAGTGTCGATGAAGAGTCAGAAACAGGCAACACTGCATCATCCACCGACAATGGTGCCACCGAGAATGATGACAGTGTATCTGTAGCCAAAACAAACGCATTTCTTGCTGATCTATACGAAATTGTGCAGTATTCTGGAAACATTGTCCCTCGATTGTACATGATGATTGTGGTTGGAACCGCTTACATGACATTACCAGGAGCACCAACCAAGGATCTAATGAAGGACATGATTGAAATGTGTCATGGGGTTCAGCATCCCATTCGAGGATTATTTTTACGATACTACTTGTCACAACGCACCAAAAACTCCCTTCCCTTCAAGAGCAAGGCTGATCTTAATGAGACGGTTGAATTTTTGATCACCAACTTTATCGAAATGAACAAGTTATGGGTAAGATTGCAACACCAGGGACATTCTTCTGAACGTGAGCTTCGGTATAACGAACGGAAAGAGTTGAAAATCCTTGTTGGATCGAATTTAGTCCGATTGAGTCAAATCATCGATGACTATGACTCTGAAGCTACTGGTGATAAAGAGTATTCAGCAATTGAATTTTATCAAGATAAGGTGTTTACCGCAATTACTGAACAAATCATTCAATGCCGTGACCATTTAGCTCAGACTTATTTGATTGACGTATTGATTCAAATCTTCCCCGATGAGTTTCATTTCGCCACTTTGGAAAACCTATTGAATCAAGTGTTTGTAAATTTGCATCCGTTGTTGAACAAGAGTGAATTGGTGAACACATTGATAGAAAAGTTTATTACAGATAATAGGTTTGTCATTGACTCAACAACGATAGATGCGAATGGTGGTGCGGGTGATGCTGCCGTTGCGATTGAGAATAAACAACTGACTGTTGATGTAAAGTCATTGTTTAACACTTGTTGGCAATTTTATCTCAACTTGAACGAATCAGAGTCGGATTTGTCCTTACAAGAACATGCAAAGTTACTTGAATCCTTTATCAAGTTATCTTTGACGTTTGACCCTTCAAGTTTTGAGAACTTGGATGTCATTTATAAGTACGTGGCTGAGAATTTGATCAATGATGATGAGGAAAATGAGCAACAGCAACAAGTGTTGGTACAGTTGCTTGGTGAATCAATTGGTCACTTTACGTCAATAAAGACGATATTGACATTGCAAAACTATTTTAATTTCTTCAACAAATTGAATTCAAACTTGCAAAGGAAAATTGCCTTGATTATGATTGACCAAGTATTGTTGATACGGGAAGAGGAAGAGGAGGTGAAACCGAGTGATGAATGTGAATTTTACTCATCTGTGCAAGAGATTGACGGCATTTTCAAATACATCTTGGTGTTAATTAAAGAAGCGCCAGCTAATCTTGATACGGCACAAGACTTGGGGATCACGAAAACAATAAAAATCAAGAACGGAGAGCAATTGGTTACGTTGGAATTTCTTGAAGTACAAGAGAAATTGAACAAGTTGATACAATTGGTTGATAATCCGCAAAACCCCAAATTGGCTATTGCTAACTTGTTTTATTTACGGAAAAAGTATTTGAATAAGAATTTCCAAAGTTTGGTCTTTACTTATCCTACATTGATTGATAGGATTTTATTCAAATTGAAACTAGTTGGGTATATCCATTTACAGAAGCAAAGACAAAAGCGAAAGCTGTTCAAATCGAAGCAGAAAAGGAAGAGTGTTGATGTTTCTACTAGTGCAGATGACAACAGCACTGATGAAGAAGATGAGGTGAATCGATTCCTTGTGTCCAATTTCAAGAACTTATCTGTGGTAATTGAAGAGATGTATCAAATCCATGGTGAATATTCATCTGAATTGATACTTCGAAAGTATCTTGATGTAGCTATGGTCTCGGATCAATTGAAGTTGAACTCAATCACGTTGGAAATCTTCAATCAATGCTTTATCATTTACGAAGAGCACTTGATTGTGTTATCGCAACCCTACAAATTCGGTGAACCGAGAGTTGGAGGAGGTGGTGGTGGTACTGGTGGTGGTGCTGGTGGATTTAGTGGAGGAGGATTTTCAGTCGCTTTGCAATCGATTTTGTCCATTGCGAATACGTTACTAAGAACGAGGTATTTACCAAGAGGTGATTATGAAGAGTTGATTGTCAAGTTGACATTGTATGGAAGCAAGTTGTTGAAGAAACAAGATGGGTGTCGTGCCATTTATTCCTGTGCCCACTTGTTTTGGTGGAATGAAAACTTGTTGCCACTGGATGAAGAGTCTCCAACTGTAAAGGACGTAGAAGCTGAAACTGAGAATGAGAAAGAACAAGATTCGAGGAAAAAAGATGGAGAGAAAGAAGGCAGCGACAACAACAACAACAACAACAACAACAACAACAACAACAACAAGGGCAAAGAAGAAAGTGCAAGTGCAGAAGCACCTCAATTGTATCGAGAGTCCAAAAGAGTATTGGAATGCATTCAAAAATCACTTCGACTTGCAGATTCAATCATTGATCCATACATTAGTCTTCAATTATTCATTGAGATTTTGAATCAAGCTTTGATTTTCAATACTTATGGCAATGAATTGATTGATAACAAATTCATCAGTGGATTGATTAATCTCGTAAGAACCAATATGGATAACCTTCGTGATCAAAATGGAGGAGAAAAAACAGGAGGCGATGTTAGTGAAGAAGATGTTGAGACTAGAATGTTTAGGCAGAGCCAATTGTTTTTCAACCACACTTTGCAACAGATTAGTCTATAGAACAGGTGCATAGAAAAGTAATTCAGTGGCTCTATTTTAAAGAATGTTTTACATTTCTATGTCTTGAAAGAGACAGCTTTCAACATTTGCCAGTTTGCCTCTGTCACAAGGTCTACGAGTTTGTCAGTGACATGACTCCTTTTTTTTTTTTTTTTTTTTATTTTGAGTGTTTTTCACGATTTAAAAACAAATGCCGAACTATATCCGAGAGCGGAATTATGACGTAACGCGCTCAAATACTTTCGGTGATTGAAAAAACATTGAGCAAGGCTTTTGTGTTTCACGATACAACTCAATCTCAATCCGAGTAAGCCTTGTCAAGAAAATTCTCTCTAGGGTAGTATACTTTTATAAGTCATTATTGATACTCATTTTGGAACGACAACTTGGAAGTAAAGTGGTAGCCAAGCAAGAGGGATTGTGGTGTGTAGTTCACAAAAGTTTACGTAGAAGTGTAATAAATTACAATCTTGCTGTTGCAATGTGTGTGCTAATTTTAATGATATTCAGCTGTAATTTAAATATTACAAGGCTTAGAGATTGGTGTGTGAAGTATACTTTGGTAAGAAGGCTTATTTGGTGATTTGTTTCTATCTTTTCTTACCTACAAGTATGATCCATTAGTGGTTATTCCTAAAGTGCATTAGTAGTGGCGTTGTATGGTAGACGTGTATCTAAGGTGTAATGTAATATAATATTAGTGTTAGTCAAGTGTACACGACTGCCACTACTGCCACTACTACTATTATTGAGAGAGCAACAGCAACTGTTACACAGAGAAGAAAGAAGAAAATAAAAAAACTGTGGTGGCTTATTGCTCTATATATTCTTTTAGTGTACTGCATATAAATCTATACTAGTGTACTCCTTGTTATATAATAAATCTGCAATATACAATATATACATATATATATATATATGCATGGGTATGTCACGTTGATCATTCTACTAAATAACAGTCCATACTTTTGAGATTAACTGGCAGACTTTGTTAACTGACTTAGTATGCTGGACAATACTAATCGAAAGATGTCAACTGATGACTCCCATGAGGAGTCATTACCCAGATACTCTTATGATGATGATACCGCTACTGCTACTCCTTATGGACAAGAAGAGAAACAACACTTGTTGAACGATGATGAAGTATTGACTGACACTGATTCGTATGCTGATGAAAAGAAGTTGTTGCAAAACAGGGATGAGATTGTTGATTTGGAGGCAAACACTACAGAGAAGCCGCAATCTACCTCGCAAAAGCTTCCAATTGATCTTATTGCTTTACTTTTGATTATCAGTTGGACATTGTTTCAAACTTTTGCATCGCATTACTTGAGAGATACAGCCACTTCAGTCACTAGTCCAGAAGATATAGTTGAGCTGATGAACGGAGACAAAATCCCACATCCTCATTCGTACTTTAGAAATATTTTAGACTTTGTCCAAACTGAACAGGAAAATGGAGAAGCTGACTCTGTTTTGAAGAAACCAAAGCCAAAAGAGATTATTGAAGTCACAAACCCATTTGTTCCCAGTCCAAGATATGGCAAGCCGGTGTACAAAACAGTTTTACTCAATCACACCTTTGCTAATTCCTATAACCACCCCAAAACAGTCAAGTTTTCCATTCCAAAGAAACACAAGTTCAATAAGGTTGTTCTCACTTTATTCACTGAAGTAGATGGTGTACAATATGACAGATTGGGTAACATTTTCATCAATGGCGCACAAGTTTGGAGAACATCAACTATTGAACCTGGTAAACAAAAAGTGTTTAGTGTCTTCAACAAAGACGTCTCGAAATATGCAAAATTGTTTGAAGGAGAAGACAATGAAGTATTGTTTGAATTGAATAATCTTGTCAATGACAGGTTAACTGGCGCTTTCAATGTCACTTTGGGTGCACAGTTCTACAATGTTGAGCACAAGAAGCATCATAAACAACAACAACATGATGATGATTATGATAATGACAATGTTGGCAAATCGGATGCGGCTGAGCAGTTTTCGGATGGAGAGGTTGGGCTGTTCGAGTTTGTGCACTCAGCGGGTTCAAACTGTCATGGCAAGGATGGCTCATTAATTGGAAGAGTTGGAACTACCAAGCCTTTAAAGGGTAAAGATCACCAATCTCACAAGGGTGCACATGCAGAATCTGACTCCGATTCGGATTCCGACTCAGATGATGAACTTGAGAAGCAACATACATCGAAGAAGCATGGCAAACACCACAAATTCGATGCCAGCCACGACACAAAGGAATGGAAACACAAGTTTAGAAAAGGAGGTGTAAAACATCATGAATTGGAAGGGCACAATAGTCACGGTCTGAAACATGATGGTCAAGTTCACTTGGACGACGAGCAGAAACATAAAGAGACTGAGCCTAAACCATCTGATGAGCCTAAAAAACCGAAACATCCAAAGCTTCCAAAACATCCAAAGCTTCCAAAACATCCAAAACATCCCAAGAAGCCTGAACCACCGCATGAGTCCCCAATACGACCTCCTAACAGATATGGCCATCTTTTCAAAATCAACAAACCCGCTGACTCGATCCATCCATTGACTGTTACTCATGAAAAAGGTGAGGCGCCTGTTGAGTACCTTTCTTCAAAGAGGCTTGCGGTCAAACTACCCAAAGTTGCTAAAAACACTACTCGTTTACAACTTTCCGTTTTCACTTCAGGTAATGCTGCTGAAGAGTTTTGGTACACCAATGTGCTTGACAAATTTAAGGACATTTTCGAAGACGAAGGTAATGAATTTATCGGCAAGGGACCACTTCGAATTATCAATGTCTACTTCAATGGAGAAAAAATTGCTGCTCAAACACCAGAGCCGGTGATATTCACTGGTGGCATTTCTCCAGCATTGTGGAGTCCAATTGTTTCCAATTCAGCATTTGATGTACCATCCATTGATATTGATGTGACTCCCTTGTTACCGTTCCTTTGGGAGCATCAAGGATTGGGAGAACAAACTTTGGAGCTCGAAGTTAGCAATGGATTGGGTGAAGTTGGCATCACCAATTACACTTCTGTCAATAGTGATTGGATCACATCTGCCAACTTGTTGGGTTTCCAGCACCCTGATGTTGTTGATTCTTCGGGAGCATTGATTAATGTTGACCATCAGAATAGGGCACATGCTGTTCCAATTGCAATTCCATTCACACATTCCTTCCAACAACTTGTTAGCGGTATCTTTTCAGCTCAAATTGTTAGTACATTGAGCTTCAAATTGAAAGGTGACAAGACATTGAATACCACATTCAGCTCGTATTCAAAGGGTGAAATTTCAAACATACAACACTATGGAAGGGATGGAGATTCGCAGGCACTTGTTCATGTTGGTCATTCGTCAAGTTCTTTTATTGTAACAAACAATGACGAGCCTGACGTTCCTGCTCCAGAGTCGCTTCACCACTCCAAGCACGGTGCAATCAAGCACCATCACAGGAAACATGAGTTGCCATTCAACACCATCCACACGGTAAACACATCGTACAGCTACCCATTGATTCTATCAACACATTTGAAGCACAAGGAAGTTGGTAATGATGGTGATTATGAAATTGAGTATGACGTTGGACTTGTTGATACTAAACATGTGGATGTGCATTTTGATGGAAAATTTGGTCACATTGAGTTGAAACAAAAACAAAATGGTACTTCAACATTTGTTTTGTCAGGCAAAGGTAATCATGGATTTGGTAGTTTGACTGCCAAGTTTAAGGAGCAAGTTCAATTTGGATCTTTCAAGAAGGGGTTGAGTAGAAGAGTCGATGCTATTAATGGAACCATTGTTTACGAAGGGATACATGTTGATCCTAAAGGAAAGCATGGAGAGAATGGTAAACATGGTAAGCATGGTAAGCATAACGAACATGATAATGGAAAGAAGCACCATCCAAAGTCAATTTTGGACATCATTCATGCTTTTGTTGCTCGCTTGAAGTCATGTCGTCGTGGCGCCACAAAGGCTGTTGTCGATCCCGTACATGAGTTGATTGCCACTTACAAGCAAAGTGGATTCAAGGACAATCTTTCCAGCTTAGTTGATCAAGCCCTTTTCTCTTTGGCCAAGTATGAACCAACTGGGCTTGGCGTTGATACTAAAAAAGAAAAAGAAAAACTCTAGCCACCACGGCCACAAGTACCACCACCATGGTTGTCAAACACGTAAGACTACTAACCGTGGATAATTCTAAAATTTTGAGAGAGTTTCATTTTGATATTGCTGATACTTTTCGTTTCTTTTACAGTAGCCAATTTTTATAGTTTTCTTTTTTTATTTCATAGGTTTTTACACAAGGTTTATTGATCATAATAACATTAGATTTCTACAAAGTGATTGATCACACATCAACTTATAAAATGTTGCAAATCATGTAGAACCATTCCTGCAATTGCTGCCGAAGTCAATGTTGCAACAAACCCACAGAACAATGCCGACATTATACTTTGCGAGATATCTTTAGCTCTTGAATTGTTTGTCAATGTGTTTAAAACACCCAACGTGATTCCCAAACTTCCCAAGTTGGCAAATCCACAACATGCATACGTTGCAATCAATTTACCCCTAGCTGATAGTAAATTATATGGAGCTTCGTTGATTAACAAGTTGTAAGCGACGTATTCATTTTGAACAAATTTGTAAGCTAATAATTTGGTCACCAACAATATCTCATCTCTTGGTGTACCTAGAAGAAATCCAACTGGGTAAAGCAAATATGACAACATGAGTTCCAACGACAATTCATTAATGTTCCAGTAATTTCCGAACCACGTGAGGATCCCATTACACAATGCAACAAGGGCAATGATACACATACATTGAATCAACATAGTTCCAGCAATTCTCAACCCCAAGGTAGCACCATTAGAAAATGCTTGCAATACATTTTGTGGTTTATCCTTATCATCCTCAACACCATCTTTTTTGCTATCATTGGTGATCATGACTTTACCATTGGTTACAGGGACATCAGTTTCGGGGTATCTCATCTTGGAGACTGCCAACGAAGCTGGGATAGACATGACACAAGAACTAACCAATGCTTGTGGGTTCAATCCCAATCCAATATACCCCACCAAAACGGCACCAGAAATTGTTGAAAACCCAGAGGTCATAACTTGATGCAATTCCGCCTTGGTCAAATACGGCATCAAGTCTTTAATCAAAATTGCTGATTCACCAATGCCGATAAATGGCGAAGCTGCTGCAGTCATTGCTTCAGCTCCCGAAACCCTCAATGACCAGAAGAAAAAGTATGCAAATTTCCTAATTCCCCATTGAATTACTCCGTAATAGTACCAAATGTGAACAAATGCGACAAAGAATGCCACCGATGGTAACACTGTGAAAAAGAACCATGGCTTATTGGCGATTTCTTGCGTCGTCAAGAATGCAACTCCATCTTTAGCAAATCCCAATAATTCTCTAGCCAATGTTGAAATGAAATTGAATACATCAAACCCACATTTCGTTCGCAACACAAATAATGCCACGATATACTGCATCAAGAACCCACCAATCACAGTGTTCCATTGGATTCGCTTGGGGTTTTTCGAAGTGACAAACAATCCGAAAATCGCAACAAGACATCCAAAGAATGAAATTGCCCTATCGGGTCTCTTTGAAAAATCGGTTTCTGTAGGGATAAAAGTTCCCAACAAAACAGCGGCAATGACAATGGTTGCACCAGCTAACAATCGCTGGTACCGCTGTACAAACAATTTGGTATAAACAACATCACAACAGCGGTCCCATACGCATTTAGCGTGTTTCAAGCACCAGGGTAAGATGCGACGATAGTGCCATGTGATTAAGCGAACCATAATCATTCCCCATAGTACGGTGGGGATCAACCACTGATGACGATGTTTGGGCTGAATTATAATCGATAACCACCACGCAGTAAAGAAACAAGCCAAGATGATGTGAAATGCTGTCTTATACCAAGGGCATTTCAATTTGAAACGTTGCCAATACGATAAATGAGCTTGTGGTTCCGCAGTTGGGTACTGAGTTGTGTTTTCCAAACTGCTGACTTCTTTGGATAATTCGTCAGTAGTCGTGTGGTCTTCGGTACTGACTTTCAAGGCCTTTTCATTGTTGTACTCGAGATTCGGTGTTGACTGGGCGTAGTTGGAATTACTTGGTTCAACTGAATGCACTTCAACTATGGAGCTAGTGGGGCGGATTCCATCATCATTGCCAGCACCATTAGTATGTGGATTTGACATTTGCAAAAAAATAAAAGAAAAGCCTTCAGAAAATAAGTGAGGAGAGTGGGGCCAGATATATATATATTTCACTTTGATCCTCTTTGCACGGAGTCTTAAAGTTTAATGGACTGATTGTAAATATGATTTATGGTTGTGGCTTAACAAGTAATATGACATGAACGTTTATCAAGTTTGATATATACTCTTCAAAGCTGTCTCGTCAAGAGAGTGAAATAAAAAGAGACAAGAAATAAAAAGAAGAAATAGATGGGGCAAATTTTTTTTTTTTTCAATTTATTGTTTTTAAATTGAAATTGAAAAGATAAGAGATGAAGTTTAGTCTTGTTTGATGTAAAGATGTTGTCTTTCCGATCCAATTGTATTTCAAAGACAATGTACTACGGCGTTGTAATCTGTAAAAGTAGAAAAGAAAATAAAAAAATTTCTAATGCAATGCAATGCAATTCATATTCTTCTTCTTCTTGGAACTCACCCAGTTACAAAAGTCTAAGTGAAGTATGGACACAAAACAAATAACTTAAAAAAAGTTTCTTTTTTTCTTTTGCCAATCTTATATGGTGTTCCGAAAACTTCAACAAGCGCCGAATAAACAAAAAAAAAAAAACATTATACGGGAGAGATGCATTAAGATATCTGCAGCCAGTTATTCCAGAATCACACGTCCGCTCTTCCAGTAGCTGTAAAAATAAACCCCATGTCTCAACACCACTATACGTTCCACCTTCTTTCTTCTTCCTTATCTCCCAACCCTAATCTCCTATCTTTTTTTTGTTTTCTTGCTCATTCACACTGTCGGAGCCGCCAAGATTTACTCCTGCTATATCAATTTCACTTTTGGTTTGGGAAAAAGACTTTTTGCCTTAAATTTCAGATGCATCTAGTCTTAAATAATAAACTTAGTGTCGCTATTGACGTAACTAATTTTCCACTACAAAATTAATAGTGAGCAACCTGAATTTTGTAACGACATACGGCATCATGAGTTTGTACTCTCCTCATCTCTCCAAGACCAAAATGCCTTTCTTGTTTTGTTTTTTTCTTTTCTTTTTTTTTTTTCTAATTAATCTGTCGTGGCGGTGATCTGCTTGACGTCGCGTTATTTCTTTTTTTCTTTTTTTTTTCTTTTTTTTTTTTGTTTTCTGTTTTGCCTCTGTTAGGGCAATAACTCCGATGTTTTTAGGTAATATCTCCTTTATTCAAATGGGGTGAACCAATGGCAACTACACTGCGCACAATGAGAAGCAAAAGTATACCCTCACTTGACTTGCAACGAAGATCTCTCGGTGGAAATCTCAACTTTCAAACTTTTGTTATCTATAACAATTAATACATCAATCTTTGAATTTTGGTTGTTCCATTTGACTTGGCACAACCGAAAATTCTTTCACTTTGAATTTGCTTTGCCGTGTTTATGTTGAGCCGGTTTTGTGCAATGTCTCCAGAGAGAAGCTAACAGAGAGATAGGACCATACACCAAAAATCCTGGGGTACATGCTTTCGATCCACAGCCCTCCCCAACCTCAACAGGTATGTATCATTTACTGATAACTGCTGCTGTAAAATGACATGCAGGGGCTAGCTTCTGCACAACTGGTTCAACGGGATTCGAATTGTGATCACTTCTTCACCACGAACTATTAAGTCTTCTGCCACAGACTGCCAAGCCAAGAGATACACCAAACAACGCAAAAATTTATTACCTAGATATGCAAAACTATAGATACTAAAATGCAAACAAAAACGAACCGGAATGAAACATAGCAAATGGTCCGCGTAACATCCTTGGACTTTGCTCTGATCCCTTCTTCTCATCTTCCCTCATCGCTACCTTCGCTTCGATACTTGTCCTTGATTTCAACCATATGCTTGGGATCTATAACATTCCCGATCCCCATCAATGCTTTAGATAGTGCTTCTGTGGTTCCAATCATTGGTCTAATCAATATAACTGGTGAATTTTTCAAAACCGTCATAACGGAGTCTTGCATCGTTTCTTGTTTGTGCAATTCTTTCTTCAATTTCTTCAACTGCTTACCAGTTAACTTAAAGTTTTTACCAAGTGACTTGTATGCAGATACAAGACCTTGTTGGAATGTTTCCGGCTGGTTGGAATACAAGCTAACCATTTTCTCCTTCAATTCATCCTCGTTACTTTCTTCAAGGGCATAGACATCGTATTCGTTGTCATCATCTTCAGTACCGTCTGCAATAGTTGCCAAGCCATCAGCAGTTGTCACCAGATGTCCATCTTCGTCACTCTCATTGATACTGTCAAGCTTCTTGATATCACGCTCATCTGACCCTGGAAGCAAAAAGATTGACTTGTTCAAAAATTCCTTATCGACTCCGAAATTGACATCTCCTTCATCGTCAAACTCAAAATTGGAATACATCTTCTTCTGTCCATTGAATTGTAAATCATTTCCATATTTTTCTGCAGCCTGCTTACTCAAGATTTGTGAACTCAAAAGAATATTACCGCCAGCGCCAACATTCTCTCCCCTACTCTTAGCTTCATTCAAATCGATCGAAGTGTCTGACCCATCATCCGACCCACGACGAGCTGCAACTTGATTTGCTCTCGACAAAGAGCCTTCTCCACCCAACATTTCTTCTCCTTGTTCCAACAAAACCTGTGTGCCAGAAGCAAGCTTCACACCCATGTTGACCAACTCGTACCCCGTAGTCTTGGCAAACGAGCTCGTTCCCTTTTGAAGACTTCTCCAAAACCGACCATCCTTCTGGTACTCCTTACGTGACACAACGTACAAATCCTTGAATCCACCACCAATGTTGACTACTGATCGCAAGGAAGATACCCCAGACACAATACCCAACACCTGGGTCAGTTGGAAAACTGGTGCCCACGCTTTACCCAAGCCACGCATCAATTCCGGTACGCCCAGCAAGCCAAATAAATGAGCTCTCGGTAAAGTAATTTTCGAACCATCCAAGATGAAAAAGTTGGCAAACTCGGCAGTTCTGCCTGACCTAAGCCCAACAAAATCCACTTTTTTGGGCTTGTAATCAACTTTTAATTTGATAGGGCTAATCTCAAATTTTTGAATGTACAAAATCTCATCTAGTGGGAGCTCAAATCTTGAATCTTTGAAATCAAAGAAACGTGTAATAAAGTCCAACGTATCTTGGTCAATATGAAGCCTCAACGGCAAAATGGAAACCTTCATGATTGCTTCAACTGCAACTAAATTTGGCTTGGGCCTTACGTTGAGTATGCTTACTTTTGCCATGCTTGTTCCAACCTCTCTCTCTCCTAGTATGTTCATATATGAAAGAAGTTTGTTCCAAGTAGAGGATTGAACATTGTCATACACGTCCACATTCCCCAAGCTTAACTCAACTAAATTCAAAAGCTCAACTTTCATGCTTGGATCAGTCTTGTCACGTCTGGGGTCTCTAGTGGAATACACCACAACACCAATATCAATGCTTTTCAAATCAGTCACCACCTTGTGAGAAGCAGACCTTCTCAACTTGAGGTTCTTGTAATTTTTACCTCTTTTTATATTAGCGTCAATTTTATCTTTCTGATCATCAGACACCCCTTCATCATTTTGAAGACCAAGATTAATGCTTTTGGTTAAATCATTACCTTTCGCAGTCTTTGGAGCACTAACGTGTATGGACTTGTACAAAGTTTCTTCAAATACCAGTTGCGTGTCCAGTTCGGCGGCAGCTGAGTCAGCAGCCTGTGTTCCTTCGATAGTGTCTGGTTGACTGACACTACTGCCGCCTCCTTCCTCTCCCCTTTTTTGTTCTGCTTCAATTTTTTTGACAGCGCCTCGAATCGCCCTTCTTGTATCTTTCCAATCATAACCATCATATAAGAAAACCTGCACTCTAGATAAGTTGATGCTAACTTTTAAAGGATCTATCCCTTCGACGTCGGATTTGTAACTTGAAACATAATCAAAATGTTCATCTTCAAACTCTAAACCCGAGCTAGAGGCAGAAGTTGCCTCTACAGATACTGGCTCTTCATTTAAATCCATTTCGGCAAACGATTCTGTAATGTTTTTGAACATGCTGCTGTCAATGCCACTCAAGACATTCACGTCTTCATTGACATCGATCTTCATTTTGTCCTTGTCATCGAAATCATAAGGCAATTTTAAATCACTAATCATCTGTGTGAATGTATTCGCCGAATCTGCACACAAGTCCAATCGGACCTCATCGGAGTTGATTTTGAACTCAATAATAGACAACCCATCCCTAATTTGTAACTCGTGATTTTTGCGTCTGATTTCATCTATATTAGTGTTGAAAGTTAAACCAATATGCGCCAAGTTGACTGACCCAATTTGGACATATCCTTGATTTATCAAAATGTCAGTTGCCGTTGTTTGGTCTCTTGAGCCATCAATCTTGGGGTCCTCACTCAATGCCACATTTTTCAAATCATCAACCAAAAGTATAGCAATATCACGGATAGAACTTTTAATGTGAGACTGGTAGACCCCAAACACAAAGTCAACATTGGCCTTGGATACTGTCAAATAGCCCTTGCACTTTAACCGGCCAGCGTTTAGCCCCAACAAGCAATTGTACAAAGTTAGCCTAATGTCAAAACGATGCAAAGAGGGCTGCTTCTTGGATGGTGCTGTGTCAATCAACTCTTCCTCTACATGTTCAATTATCGATTCATCTTTACCAAACAACGTGAGCCAGTGTGTATAATATTCCAAAGCAAAATCTTGAGCATGAACCTCCAAAGTCGAGCTTCTTTCCAACGACTTGTACTTTAAAGTCACCAATGGCACCTCTATCGAAGATGCATCTAGGTCTAAATAGTGATAAAGGACATCCTCCTCAACATTGTCCCTCATCCGCACAGTTTTCAAAGCATGTATAGAGCCAAGGATATCATTCTTCAATTTGAAGAGCTTAATGTCAGTCACGTCGGTTCTAATGCTTCCAAATTTGGGCAAAATGTCATCTACTTGAATGCTGATACTTGCCACATCAATACAGTAGTTTGCCTGACTCGAGCGATGACTTCCAGGCATTTGTAAAAGACTTCTGGTGAGACCAATCCCAGCTCTTCTGTTCCCACTGATATTGCTTGTGGAAGACAACATATAGTTTGATTGATCAAGCTTCACGCGCTTCTCGGGCTTAGACAAGAAGGTCTGCGTATCTGCCAATTTGTCCAGCAAAGAGCCAACTAGTCTCTGTAATTCCTTCGTCAAAAGCTTGAGGTGATTCAATTTTGAAACAAACTCAATATTCAGAATTGACACGCTCAAAGAAGTATTCAAATTTGACGCACGCAAAAACGGGGACCCGCTTGCGTTTACAGTGCTGGGTTGGATGAATGCTCGGAACTCCCTTGCTTCATGGAGTACATTTATGTTGTCGACATTGAAATATGACTCAATTTTATGGTCGTCAAGCGTTAAATTTCCAGTAATGGATGCAATATTCAATCCGTCCTTTATAGAGTCATAGCAAACAGGAAGGATCCCAATTTCAAGCTTCAAATCACTAGCCACTGAAACTGACACATTAATAGCGGCAGTCTGCACAATTAAATGCTCATGCTTCATCTCATCATTGGTTGAAAGGGCACCTGTTGTATTTCGAAGCTTCTTAATTTTATGCAAAATATCCGTGAATTTTTTGTAACAATCAAAGACATGTGTGACTTCATTAGCGGTTTTGAGCATGGACCCTAAATTCTCCTCATCCAAGTTGAAAAAAGCAGCTTTCGCAAACAAAAGCGTAATTTCAAGATTCTCCGTATCATCTTCATTCTGGAAAACCTCAAAACGAAAATCACCTGTCGAGACTTCGCCGTCCTGTGATGTATATGACAGGTTCCCCTGCGGAGAAGCGGACCTTTCGTATCCTGGATTTGGCGAGTTCTCAAAATAGAAAACTTTGGAACCAATGTGTTTCGAGGAACGTATAACTTCCACGGTTTCAACACCGCCAAACAATAGCAACTCATTTTTCTGCTTGGCTGTGATATTTTCGAGATTAATTATGAGCCCATTCAGGTCAACAAATGATCCATCCCGTTGTATTGCCGCGCTCAATGCAACCTGCAAGCTTGCTATGGTGACACTATTAAATAACGGTTCAGATTCATTTGCATCCTCTGTTGAAGACTCACTATCCACTCCGTCATCTTCATTAGAATATTGTGGAAACCTGTCATTCTTTTTATGCCCTTTCGACAAAGACTTTCTCTTCATTTGATAAAGCTTGACTTTTAAAGTTTTAGCAATGCCCTCGAATATAGATACTAGTGTCGCGGTTGTCGGGGTTGATGCAAGCTTCACTTTACCGACCTTGACCTCCAAATTCGATATGGCCTTGAGTCCATCAAATTCAATATCACACAGGTTCATATGGAACAAAATTGGTGGTTCATCCACAGTTTCGTCGTCTTGTTTGTTGTCAACCGGACCGTCAGAAGCAACTGACTTTCCAAAGGATTGAGATGTTGCACTCATGTATATCGAGCTTGCCTCTTCGTGAGTAAATACCATACTATTCATCAACGCTTCGTCTCCATAGTCGGAGGAGTTTTCGTTCTCCTCATCCTCTGACTTGTTTGCAGTTTCAGCGCCACCTTTTTGAGTCTCACTTTCTCCTCGAGGTACCACTGGTCGTAAAGTTTTGATTGTGACACCATCTACAGTGATATTTCGTGTTCCATTTACGGTAGTTATTTTGACCTGCTTCACTTCAACCAACAAATCTGTCAGCTCCGTAATCAACTTGATTCTTAAATTTGAAATGAGTATTTGTAGTCTCAGTAATGCCATTTCCATTGCTCTTTGCATAACATTTCCTATAGTTGAATTATTTGAAATTGCTGAGCTTCGCCTTCTGGTGGATGGAACAATAGGCGTAGAGTCCTCCGAGTCACTCTCACTATCAATGGCATATTCGCTCTTGTCCACTTCGTAGTTGTCGGTCTCCAACATGATGGTGTTGGCCAAGTCGGCAGTGGTTTGCGCCAAGAGGAACTGGGAATGGCTAGCAGTGGTTTCGTCATCATAATCTGGGGACAAAACAAGCTCGACTCCCTTTGCGTCAATTTTCACTCCACTGATCCCAGAGATCGTTGATACCTCTAAAAGTCCCACTTTACCATGCCGAAGATTGAAACCTGGGAGTTTGCCCGCCTTTTCAGGATCAATACTTATATCCCTTAGCGTGATGTTATTGAGCGATACTTCTTCGAGGTTTGGCAAGTCTACTTCTGAGAATAGAGATAGTTGGTTGAGTACGTATAGTAGTAGTCTCTTTTGTATATTCTGTGGTATCCATTGAGGGCTCATTTATGAATCAAGTGGGGGGGTTTTTTTTCAAGAATAAGTTGATGCAAGTATATTTTGAATTTTTATGCATGCAGAATCACTAAAAGGCACCGATGACTGTGTTAGATGACACTTCTGTGTATATTCTGATTACTGATTGGTGAACTTATATTCTCTATTAAGGATGAGGTTGACTTGAGTGCTTTGAGCCACTCTTTTTTTTTTTTATTTTTTTTTTTTAGATAACATCATGACTCGTTGATAAAAGCGAGAAAAGATATAGAGATGACACAAAATCAGAAGGACTAACTACGAGTATACAATCTCCTTTCAAGTACATCCAATCACATTCAAATTCTTACTGCTTCCCCTTGTTAGACTGTCGTTCCAAAAGGTGTTGGAGTCCAGTTCTCGTGGGGCTCCATAAGATACACTGTTTCGCTCTTATAGCCAGCATTTTTTGACTTTTTCTTGGTTGAACTTGTGGCCACATCTTCCAGTTTTCTCTTTCCCCCATCTTCTGCTAGTATCTCGTCCAAGGAAGGAGGTAGCTCTAAAGCTTTCCTGTTCGCTCTCTGTGCCGCCTTGTCGAGCTTGACGCTAATCTCACGCATCAAGTCTGAATCAGCATTAGTGAACGACTCCTTCACCACCAGCAACATTTTTACCAACAACAAATCGTCATTTTTGCAGATTGACTCTAAATTGTCACAAACAAACTTAATGAGATCCATTTTGCTGGTGAGCTCAATTTGGGGGAGTTTTTTCACAGGAAGTGGTCGCCATAGAAGCGATTTGGTTATGAAGGGCAACCACTCAATTAACTGTGATACCTCTATTTCCAGCAAAGCCGTCGCCAAGCCCAATTTCTTGTACACACGACGATCGATCTCATCTATGCCTTTTTGCTGTAACACGTTCGATGATTCTATAAATAACAGAAGAAGTAACTCGTCACTAAGTTTTTCAAGTAGAGGCTTATAAAGCTTTTCGAGTAGTGGATTGTACGTGATCCCTTTACTTTCGAGTTTCTGCTGCGGGTATATCAAGTAAAACTTTCTGATGAGCAATTTCGCTAGTAGCTGAGGATTAACCGTACCAAGTTCAACTAAATCGTTCACACATTTTCTCAAAGTTGTTCGATTTGAATCATTATTGTCTGCGAATAATGGAGTATCGAGCTGATCTTTTCGTATTCTTTTGAAGGTTCTAAGATTCTCATACACTGAAAACCCATTAATCAACTCTTGATAATGGTTGTATCGGAAATTCACAGCTTCGTAATAAACGTCTGCCTCGGGGTTCACGTCTTTGTCACCTTCACATTCGCTGTCTAGTTGACTCCAGTAATTATCATATAGCCACGTCAATGCATCCTTGGTTGCAATCCGCAATATGTCCAAGCTGGGTAGGTTCTCGTGTGTCCCCATGTGTCTCAATTCAACAAAAAAAGTCGGTAGATTCAACTGCTTGGCTAGCAATTGCATAGGTATAGCATAGTTTGATTGTTGAAATGGATCCAATAGTCCATTCACAAATCTTATCAATGCCATTGTATATGAAAGCTGGGTCACATTCGTATCGGTGTCAAAATCCTTGTCATCGTCATTCAAAATCACCGAAGTCAAGATGGAAGTTGCTTCAATGCCATGAGGTAATCTACCTCTTGTAAGAAGTACTTTAACTCTTTCGATGGCTCGTTTGCGGTTGTCACAGGTACCATCAAACTCATAGAACCATTTTTTCAATTCAATGAGGTCCTCGTGTGACCTATATGCTGTTACGACTGGGGTTTCCTTCATTCGTTGACACCACCCTGACAATATGATTAAAGCATTGCAATATTTTTTTTTTTTTTTCAAACCGAGACCATCACGTGCCACCTTGAGTAGTTTCGTATTGTAGAGTTCAGAGTGCTACTAGACAGACTTAGATCTCCTCCGGAGATGTTCTTAAGCGAAAGAAGAGGCACGATAGACCATCGCCTGCAAGCTCATCGTCAAAGCCGTTCATTTATGAGGAACTCATGTATTTAAGACCTATGTTGCAAATTGCTCTTGAACATGATCCATCAGAAAACTGGTTTAGCAGAATTGGCTGTTCTCCTTTCTCTTGCGCTTGTTGTTCTTGTATTTGTGTTTGCTTTTGCACAAGTAAGTCGGAGATATACCTCGTAGATCTCAATCGGAGATAAAAGGTCAAGATAGTAACAGCGAACAACATTTTTTTTATCCAATTGGTATGTTTAAAACTCTCACGAGTGTAACCTTTGAATGAGGTTATCCAAACGACTTGGTAACAGCAACTCAGGTCAATATTATTTACACAGTCTGTATGGAAGGACCCGTCCCCTAACCCCTCCACCCCAACAAATTGAAAAAATGAAGCTGCCGCGTACAACAGATGTGGGGTTTTCGCAGACGTTACACAAAACGTAAGCACAGAAAATTTCACAGCGTTAAATCAGAAGAGAATCATCACTACTCTATACAAGTATACATATATATATATATATATAAATAAGTGTCACATCGCTGCCTGCTGTTGTACACATTTGGAACATAACTTTTTTATCAAACTACCTTCCTCAAGTTAACCTTTTTTTTATTCATTCACAAGATTCATTATGTTGGCTGTTACCGCAGGTGAGAACCCCCGTCCAGATTTTGAAGAGTCTTTACGTGTTGTCAAAATAGATGACACCCACTATGTTGGTGCACACTGCTTGAGAAAACCGGTTTCTATGGCCAGAGGCATCTATGGAGGACATATGATTGCGCAGTCTTTGTTGGTAGCTATTGAGTCGACGAAATCTGAAGTGACTGGCGAAGTGATGATTCCAGATTCTTATCATTCGTTCTTTATCAATGCAGGTAATAACAAGACGCCAATGGAGTATGAAGTGTTGAAGCTTTATGACGATGAAAACATGTGCAAAAGATCTATTGTTGTGACCCAGCATGGAAAGAATAGACTAACCTGTCTTGTGTTGTTGAGGAAACAAGGCACTAAACCATTACACAACATCGAAGATAGTATTCCTCCACCAGAGATTCAAGTCAAACATCCTGATCCTGATAAGTTACATCAAGTTCAGCATACTGATTTTTGCAGGAATGCATTTGACGATGATTTTGTTGACTACAGGAGAACACCCGAGGAGAATAAGTTACATTTTTCAGAACGTTGGATATCTCTCTTTACCGGGTTGAAGAATATCCCCGAACCAGGCACAAAACCTGAAAAAGTGAAGGATGCTCTACCAGATGCATTGGATAATGTGCACACTTTTGAGCTTGATATACTTCGACCCAAAAACTCGCAATCGGTGAAGAATCCTATATTCAACTACGTTGGTCTTGGTGAGATTTCAGATAGCAGCTTCATTACCACTATGGCCCGCGTTTTGCACATTCCTTGGGCTCCATCTCTTGAAACGGGCCAAGAGTACGATCCCGATCGTGATGCAACATACTTGATGAGATCGTCTTTGAATGCGCTCCACGTTTTACATTACAATGCAATGTCTTTGGACCACCATATTTATTTCCACAACACTGAATACGAACCTACAGATGGCACGGCGTTTGACGTTGGTAAGGATTGGTTGGCATTTACTTATCAAATGAAGAGGTATAGCAATAGTAGGGTCCTTGCTCGTGGCTACATGTTTAACGAAAACAGGAAATGCATTGCTACAGTTGTTCAAGAAGGTTTGGCGATTTTGATGGACGGTGTTGCAACTACCGCGGATAAATCACGTTTGTAGAGTTGTAATTAGACCCTAAATTTAAAAGTGACTGTTGCATAACAGAGAGAGAGAGAGAGAGAGAGAGAGAAAGCTTTTGTCTTAACTCCGTCGGAGTTTGGATAAGCATTTAAGTGTTTGTGCATGGAGAAGTCATGTGAAAATTTCACAAAATTCAAAATGCATACGAGCTGAGTAATCGGTTTCCATTGTTCTTCGGATAAAAACTCCAATTTGATGGAATTTCGAAATAGAAAAGAAAGCAGAGTTTGAACAACCAGTGGTTGCAGCTAGAGCTGGTCTGAGATAACTTTCACTTCCTCTGAGCAGCAACATGCACCTGAAATGCACTCTTGCGACAATCGCATCCCGCGACGTATATAAAGTGTGGCTGAATCACTGCAGTTTGCATGCTTGCAGGTAGCTCATAACGCACAAGTTCGTCAATGCATAACATTCAACCTCAGAAAAGTGTAGAGTTAATCTTGTCTTCTTGTCCCACGCACACACACACTGCCTCCCCCTTCCTTCTATTACAAAGCTTATTTGTTAATTGCTTACGGTTTGAAATGTGAATGACGTTTTGAGAAAATACTTGTGCCTCGGTCGAACTTGAATAGTAGTACAAAAAAAGAAAAAGAAAAATAAGTATGCATTCTCTCATCGGTCGTATAAATTTCCCACAGTTCTTCTCTTTTCCTTTATCATCGTTTCACTCATCTTTCCCATTACCTTTTATCCAAATATGACCACGCCCTTAGACAAGTTAAAGAACGATGTATACAACAACGACCAAGTAGGGAAGATTGAGGCAAAGACCTCAGTAAGATTCATTTCAGAAGAAGGCAACAGAATGATATACGAAGGCAACTATCCAGTAGAACCTTTTAAAGAAGGGGCAAGGGGTACATATGGTGGAGATTTCATTGCTCAAGGTATCAACGTTGCTTGGGAATCCATTGGTAGGCCTGATTTTCAACCTCATTCGGTACACTCGTATTTCGTGAAAGCTGGTTCGCATGACAGTGTTCTCCGATGGGAAGTGATTAAAGTGTCAGATTCGAGGAATTTTTCAAACAGAATTGCCCTTGCGTATCAGGGGCATACAAACCAGTTGTGCTTCACTTTGCAGTGCTCATTCACTAAGGATAACAATCTTGATAAGAGGGATGCGGATCATCAGAAACTAATTGCTTCGGGTGCCGATATTAAAACGGTGCCATTCCAATTCAAGAGGAATCCCAACCCCAAATTCTTTAAATACAAAGACAGCATCGATGATCTTCTTTATTTCGAGCATACAAATGGAAACATTGCCCATGCTGTCCCCAGAGAAATTTTCAGCACAACAAAGAATTTCGATATGAACAAGATTGGCGATGAGGAGCTTGGGTTTTATGTCAAGTTCTTGGATGATTACAACTTGGGCAAGGATTATATCAGACAATCGTTTTTGGGGTTGGCGTTCGCGTCAGACTCATTATGGTTGGCCACTCTTGTTAAGGCGTTGGGACTACCCGTAACCCAAAAAGATGCTGATTTTTTCAGAGTAAGTTTGGACCACACCTTGTATTTCCATGACTTGAACTTTGATTCAAGTACTTGGATATATGTTGATTACCGGTTCTTATCCATGGGAAATAATAGAATTTTGGCTGTGATAAATTTTTACACGTTGGATGGTAAGGCCATTTGTACTGCTGTTCAAGAAGCTTATGGATTTTTGCCGACGGAGTTGGTAGAAAAGTCTAAGAAACTTCACGACAAATATCACGGGGAAAAGAGTAGACAACTTGCGGCAAAGTTGTAATGTATACGTTTAATTTTTTTACAATGTTATAAGGGAGCGGAGAGGGCGCATTTATGGCTACACATATATATATAGAAAACTATTCATTTCGTCTTTTTGAGTGTCTGTAGTGTATACTTCGCGGATTTATCTGTGGTATATGTCGGGTTTAGATTCAAACATTGCATCTATTGTGGAGAGGACCCCACGTTTGAAAAAAAAAAAAAAAAAAAAAAGAGAGAGAGAAATCGTGGGAACCTCGGTTGAAAAATCCGCAATTAATAAAAAACAAAAGATAAAAAGAGCCAGAATCTTGGTAGGAAGAATTCAGAAGGATTGCAATAAATACTTTGCGTTCACATAGAGTTGTACAATATACATATCAATGGGGGAGGTTAGTTCAGAAAAAGTGTTGCCACCATTGGACGCAAAGGCTGTATTCGATGTGGTTCAAATTGATGAGCAAACTTATCGTGGCATCAAGCCATTAAGAAAGCCATCGAAAGAAGTTAGAGGAGTATATGGAGGCAACATTGTAGGTCAAGGTATTCTTGTTGCCATGAGAAGTGCTCCAGGGTACACTCCGAATTCAGCTCACACCTATTACCTCAAGGCTGTTAATGAAGAAACTCCGCTTACTTGGAAAATTGAGGACATCTCCACAGGAAAGTCATTTGCCACACGGAAATTATTTGCTTATCAAAACGACGTTGCTGTATTTTCGGCAATGATCTCATTGACCACTAAGAACTCGGCATCGAGAACTGGATCTAAGGACAACACACAGATGGAATATAGCATACCTGCTGGAAAAACATTGACTACGCAAAGCCTCAAGGGTGTACCACTGATATATGCTGCTGTTCCCTTATTCACATACATGAGAATATATGAAGAACAGAGGGACAAGGATACATATGCGTTCCAATTGCGGTGGGGTATCAAAGATGACCCAAACTTCCATCAAGAACTCAAGAATATTACCCCAGAATACAAGTATCTTGGAATTAGTGTTTTAACCGACTGGGCAGGAGTTGACTTTTTGGCACATCATTTGGGAATCAAGACTTTACCCAAATTTGAAACTTCCATTGACCATAGCGTCTATTTCCATGAGGACGATTTTGATATAGATCAATGGTTTACGTATGTCATTGGCTTTAAATGGATTGGAAATGATCGGGCTTTGGTTAAAGCAGATTTGTACACGGAGGATAACAAACAAGTCGTAAGTATTGTTCAGGAGAGGTTATATGTAACCAGTTCAAAGTTGTAACAGGGTCAGAGAAAAAGATATAGCACATATAGAATTTTAGAATGATACAATTCGCGACGTATCTTTTGCATCAACTTGCGTGAGTTTACATCTGTGTAGATCCACTAGTCCGATTCATCTCTTAGATTGATCTATTGATAACCATATAAGATTAAAAATACCTAAACAGGCTGCAGCGTTATCTTCATGCCGTGGTGGATGTTTTCTCGGTAGTCGCGTTTTGGGTAATGCTGTGGCTTATGATAATGTTTTGTCTCTTGTTTTTTGTTTTTTGTTTTTTTGCTTTCTATCTATGGGAATGACAATTCAAATTCGATAAGCGACGACAGCATAAAAAGCGGCATTACGGAAAAAAGAAAAAGAAAAAGAAATTCTTATATTCTTTTTCCATGCAATGTTAAAATATGTATATGTATATATGTTTATGTATATATGTTTATGTATGTATATATATATATATAGCCATGGATATGCTTTTTTGTTTTGTTTTGTTTTTTTTTTCAGTTATTTTCTTAACTCAACCCCTCCAATTTCTCACTTGCATCAACGTTTTAAAGTCTCTTTACTAAACATGTATAAAGAGTCTCAAATAATACCTTCCCCAACAGCAGCCACTAGAGTCAGCAGCATGGAAGACCAACCAATGATTATTGATCCTTCAAAGCACCAAGTGCCTCGCGTGGAGCCCAAGATTGCAGTTGACTTTGTATCTGAGATTGATGTTGAGAAGAGTTCCGATACTGAATACCGCGGGAAGCTCCCATTGAGAAAACCTATAGCAACTCGTCATGGTGCTTATGGTGGAGCATTGTGCTCTCAAGCTATTTTGGTTGCCATGAGATCTGTGCCTTCCGGTTTCAGGCCTCACTCAATCCACTCATATTTCACAAAGGGCGTGCATGAAGAGTCAGTTATAGAATGGAAAGTGCAAAAGATATCTGATGGTAAAACTTATGCCAATAGAATTGTACTTGGTTGTCAAGAGAACGAAGTTGTTTACACTGCCAGTATTTCACTAACCACAAGAAACGTGACCAAACCAAGAGATGATGGATTGGTACCCTTTAGTTATCAAAACGATGCCCCAAGAGAGCTTTTGCATTACGACATCAGCAAATTGAAAGGGATCGCCAATCCAAACTTGCACATTACTCTTCGAGAAACTCCCAAATCCAAAGTTGATGATGTTTATCCATACTTGATCAAATTTGGTATTCCAGAATGTGAGACTGTTTTGCCAGTACCTGAGGAGTACAAGTACTCATTATTCACTTGGATCACAGATTGGATGTTTTTATCAAGAGCATTTGCTAGTGGTATAGGAAAAAGGGTCAAGGCTCAATTTGATGTTTCTTTGGATCACACAATTTATTTCCATGACGATGATCTAGATGCCACAAAATGGGTTGGTGTTAGCATGAGACCAGGTAGATCTGAACATGGAAGAACCTTGATGACTTGTGATTTGTACAATGAAAAGGGAAAGCATGTTGCTACAGTAGTTCAAGAGCGGTTATTTATTGTTAAACCGACTGCACATTTATAGACAATTTCTAAAGGGACTTTTATTTGATTTCACTTCTACTTTTATCTTTTCATAGACAGTTGAATGTATCCGGCAAAAGGTTTAGATGTATTTTAGAAAAAAGCGTGTGAAAATAAAATTTCAAAAAAATTGAAGCTCGGTCTTATGAGAGTTCTTTTTGTGTCGAGCGAGCGAGAGAGAGAGGAGTAATGTGTATAGTGCGTAATGAGTAATGTGGGGAGGGGTGGAGTAGAAAAAATAAAGAGCAACAAATTCGGTAGTGGTACTGGCGGGCCCATTTAAATATTCCCATCTCTGATCTTTTATACAAAGAGAAATATACACAACGTATCCCCACAGTTACCCGCATTACCGTGAAATGAACAACGAAAACTACGTTAGAGGAGAAACCATTGATGTCCAAGCAGAATTCGGCGTGATAGACAAGGGTGATGGCAAATACGTGGGTAAAAAGCCGCTAATCAAGCCAATTCACTATGCACCGGGAGCCTTTGGAGGTAACCTTGCAGGACAAGCGATGTTAGTTGCTATGAAATCAACTCCTCCCGAGTTCAAGCCACATTCATTACACTCGTATTTTGTCAGAGCTGCCACTTCCGACCTACCAGTTGAATGGGAAGTTGATAATATATCCAGTGGTAAAACATTTTGTAATCGTGCCGTCAAAGGTTTACAAAATGGCCAAATTGTTTATTTCGCCAATGTTTCATTAACCAGGAAAAACTCGTACAATGACAGTTTGGCAAAATGGGAATCGGACATGGCTAAGTTTGAACAAAGGGGTAAAGATGAGGGTGATTCTGATGAAGAAAACGAAGACGATGATGATGCAGAAAAAGCTCCCCTGAAACCATTTAGATTCCAAACCCCGTTGCATGAATGGGTAAAGAAATACGGTGAGGAAAGTTTAGTTGTTTCGCCATGTGAGTCCAATATGTTGAGTTATTTCAAATTTTGTCCCGAATTTATAGATTTGGACAAGTCCAGCTACGAAGAGAAAATACCAGTTGCTGAACGTAGGTTTGCGTTTTTGGTAAGATGGGGAATTGACAATGAACAAGGGTATAATCAACCTTTGAAAAACGTTGATGAACAATTTCAATTTGTGGGGTTGGCTAATCTTTCCGATGCATTGATTTTAAATGTTTTGGAAAGAGTTTTGAGACTTAATGGTGTGTCAATCAAAGATAACATGAAGCATTTCTTTGGAGTCAGTCTTGATCATGTGTTGTACATTCATGATAATGATTTTGATGTGACTAAATGGATGACGTATTCGTTCAAGACAATACGCTTTTCTCATGATAGAGTTTTGTTTGAAGGCGAGTTGTATAATCATAAAGGTGTGCATGTCGCAAGTGTTGTTCAAGAGGGCCTTGCAAGGCTTGCGGGTGCAGAAAGAGATGCAAAGTTGTAATATCGCGTAACCTAGTTATAGAAGCTGAATATATTTGTAACCGATTGAGATAATGTGCTGTCGACAACTCTGTGGTGGGTAGAAATGGAAAAACAAAAAACGAAAAAGAAAAAAAAAAAGAAAAAAAGAACTGCACAAAATAAAGCTCTCCTCTGTGCAAATGACCCAATGACCAAGACAACTCCACTCGACTTGAATCATTTCAATGAAGTCACACGTACCAATCTCCTAAACCTGTTGAGTAAGATCTACTCAACCTCAAATTTACTAGTCTTGGATCCGGTTCTTTCACCATTGATAAATAGTCTCACAACATTTCTGATCATCAAGGAACATGGCCATTGTCAGAATGTCGCCTGGTTGAATGACGAATTACTGGAGTTACCATCCACGGTGCTATCAAAATACACGAGCTTGATCATTTTGATCCCTGAATCAGAAGCCAATTTGGCCAAATTGGAGAAAAATATACGACATATACAACAAGAAACCCCTAGTTTGAAATTCAACATAATAATCAAGGATCTAACCAAGTCCTTTGTGTACCAACTCAACAAGCTTTTCAATGGCATTTTGGATTTCGAAAAGATTTTGGACTTGTCAGAGCCACTGAAACCGTTGAGTATAACCTCGAAAATCAAGGTGTTCAATTGGTCGACTGAGCCGTTGTACGCAGATGGGGTATTGATCACTGATATCAGCCAGTATTCAGGTTTGGATGACTATTACTCGACACCGATTAAGCTGATAAACCAATTGACCAAGGCCATTTTGCAAGTGTTGTTTGTCGGTATCAAAAATGGTGAAGATGAACATAAACACTATTTCAAGCTTCGAAACATATTTGGTAAGGGAAACCATTCGGACTTGTTGATCAAGACCCTTTTACAATCTCAGATACCCAGTTTTTTGAATGAACATATGGCACCATCTGAGATTGAATTTTATGAGGAGAGGTTGCATAGTAATACGGATATGGTTGTTATTGAACGTAATTTGGACATGATGCCTGTCTTGTTTAGTCAATTGACATACCATGGCATAATTGATGACTTGTTTGATATTGAATTTGAGTCTATTGTCAATTTAAAAGACGAGGACAGTGTCAGCAAGAACCTCACCAAGGATGAATTGTATAATCGAGACTTGAAGCATCTAAATTTCTCAGCTATTGGATCGAGGTTGAACAAGATGGCAAAAATTATACAACAAAAGTTCAAAGACTCTGGAGCTTCAGGAGGAGATACAAATATCGATGACATGAAAAATTTGGTGTCCAATTTAGGGAGCCTAACTCTACAGCAAGATTTAATCAAAAAGCACACCATTATTGGAGAGTCGGTACTTTCCAAAATCAACAATGAATATGAAAAGTTTCTCACTTTGCAAAATGACATTTTCGAAATGGATTATAAGTTGCAAATGTCGAAGTTGAAGTCATTTATTAATGCCAATTATCAAATTGAATTCATATGGCCAACGATATTGTTGATAGGATATATCAATGATGGTGTTCCAAGTAAAGAATTGGGAAAGCTTTCAACAGACTTGCAAGATAATTACGGACTATCTGCGTCAATTGCATTGGAAAAATTGGTTGATTTGAAGTTGATTAGAGTTATACACGATTCGTCGAATGATTTCTTCACGTCTTTGGGGTGGACAGCCCAAAAGAAGCATCAACCTGTTAACGACTTGCATGAAAAAGATGACAGGGAAGTTGCAATTTCCGGAGGTAAAGATGTGTTGAGGAGTAACTACACCCTAATCAACAAATTCTGGAATTTGCATCCCTACGACGACGACTCAATTGAAAGCAACAACAACGCAAATTCTTCAACAAGAGATCTGACAAACCTTTTGCAATTATACCCCAACCCGTCATTCACATTACCGGGAAATACTGTTCCGCTAACTTTCCGAATCATTGAATCCTTATACTTTCGTGATTTTTTAAAGTACAAGCCCGTAAACAATATCAAATCACGACCAAATTGGGATAACCTCGGTTTGAACACGATGTTGGCTGGTAAAACAGTCGATATCAACTTGGACAATGTCAATGATGATAAACTGAAGTACTTGATAGTGGTGGTTATTGGAGGAATTACGAGAAGTGAATTGACGTGTTTAAAGTATCTTGAAGAGAGATTCAAAGCGAAAGGAACACCAAAGGAAATTATTGTGATTTCTAATGGGATCATCAACAACAAAGACCTATGGCAGTTCATCACTGAGTAGTGGGACTTATCTACACCCTTGTATAGCATAGCTTTCTTGATAAATAAAAGTCATCGTTTTATGTATATTCAATCCTTGCTCACATAAACATCAAAATTCTCCTCCGCCTCTCCTCCGCCTTTCCTCCGCTCTGCTCTGTTCTGTCGCTCTCCTTTCCCAATTCTTACCAACGGTAAATGCAAAAGTATCTCAAATCACACAACCGGTCCCTAAGCGACATCTTCAGCTTGCTTTTGTTTTTGCAATTGAGCATAGTAAGCTTCTCTCTTGGCAACGAGTGGAGTGTGTTCGGTGTACCAGTACAAAGTGGCCAAGGTGAAGCCAGCAGCAAAACCAATGGTAATGTCAGTTATGATCTTTCTTTTCAAAGTACCTGTAATTGGAGCAATAGCCATGGTGTGTGTTGTGTTGTTAGTTATATAATGTCTGGATGTCTTCTGGGTGTCTTTTTTTTTTTTCTTTTCGTCCCAATTCTGTTTGGTTAAACTAAAGTATGGGTGGTATGCTACCATATGATTTCTAGCATAATAGAAAAAATAATAAGGTGATCCTCTATCTCTCTCTCTCTCTCTTACTCTCTTACTCGCTTACTGTGTCAACTTTTCATTGGATGTTCTTCTTTTCTTTTCTTTTTTTGACTACATCCACACGACCACTCTGTTGTAAGCCTATAAACACAATTTTTTCATCAACCAAACTCAAACATCAGACCACAGGTTTACACAAGTCCACCATCTTCGCATACATCTTCACAGACACGCAATGTTTACCAGATCGATCTTACAGAGAGTCACCAAGACCCCGGCCCAACAATTGACCTCGTCAATAATCCCAAAGAGATCATTCCAAATGTCATCTAAATTGATGAGCGAGATGGATAAGATTTGGGGTCATCCAGAAGAAGGTGTTTACTCAAACTTGCCATTCAAGGTCAAGAACAGAAAGTTCATTCCATTTTCAGTATGGTATTGGGGTGTCATGGGATTCTTTTTCGCTTTCCCTTTCTTGAGTTCAACTTGGCAAATTTACAAATCTGGTGGTTTTGCTAAACAGGCCGAGTAAATCGAAGAAACACAGTGTGGTTTTCCCTTTGTAAATTGGGTGAATGAGATGCAACGGGGGAATTAGAGAACATGTGGAGAACTATACTCGACTCGATATATATATATATATTCAAAGATTTGATAGTTTATTTGTCAGTGAATAAATGGAACTTTAACGTGATTGAAAACTCAGCAGGTGGGGTCGCTTGTCTGGTGTATCTACTAGTTTCCGATTCTTGTCCAGTTTATTTTCTCTTTCAAGTCCTCTGTCTTAATGAACAGGGTCTACGATTCCTCACACAAAGGCTATATTTAGAACTTTTATTGGCAAAGGGTATCAATCTTTTCTGTGCGTGATGCCGTATTCAAAGCTAAAGTAATGCGGGATCCCATCTCACCCTCTTTTTCAGTTTGCTCTCCCTTTCGACAGGTGTTCGAAGAATCGACTTCAATCCCGGTGTTGAAGAAATGTTTCCAACACCTTGACTTGGTTGAGGTTGTTGTGGTTGTGGAGTTGAATCATCTGACAAAGCAGTAGTTTTAGGTTCACTTCCATTCACCAGAGCTGGCTTTATTGTCACTGGTGCTGCGTGAATATCAGATTTTTGCCTCTTCAACTTAAACTCGCTGAGACTGAGTTTTCGAGCAAGTGCGGGTTTGCCGGGATATGGTGCGGATGCTTCTACTTTCACCTCCAGAGCTACATTGTCGATTCCTTGAGGAGTAGGTGGAGTTTCGCCATTTTCTGAAAAGGAAAGTGGTTGTTGAGGAGAACGTAGTGATGGTGGTGGTGGTGGCGGAGGAAACTTTGGTTGCTCAGTATGTGACTTTGGTGAATGTGAGGGTGGTATATGCAGTGGTGGCGTTTGCGGTTCTGGAGGCGGCGTTGAGGTTGCTACGGGTGCAGCTGCTGCTGCTGCAGTAACACTAGCAGCTTCAGTAGGTCGCATATTTAAATCGGGGTCCACCAAAGATTGTGAGCCTGACGTCTTTGATCTTTTCGGTAATCCTTCTTCGTCCCCCAGGGTTGGTCTTGATCTCTTGAGTGGATTGGAAACGTGCAGTTCGGCCGATGTTTTGACCAATGAAGTTACTAACTTAGCATGAGCGTGTGAAGCATTGGGAGGTGTCGGTGGTCTGAAACCAACTTGTGAAACATCAAAATCCGATGACTCAATCTCAGGACCGAGATCTGAGTTTGGTTCTTGTGTATCGGTGGCTGGTGCTGAACGAAGAGCAGGTGGAGTGGGTCGTCTAAGTTTGGCAAATGGTGTATTTGAGTTAAATGATGAGTCTTGCTCAGCATATTCTTCACGCAATTGATCAGTTGGTGCGGGAGGAATTGGTGTTGGAGTTGGAGCTCTCACTTCAGCTAAGGGGATGTTGGAGTCAAATGATGCATTTTGCTGCACAAGTTTTACACCTGATAGAGGGATTGGTTTTGGTGCCTCAACATCTGTCATACCTACATCCGAGTCCTGTATATTCTCGTCAGTTGATGGCATTATTTCTTGTTTGTTTTGTGCAGCCTCCATATGTCGTGACTTGTGCGCGTTGCTCAATAGATCAATTGTAGTGAGGTTTCGATTTGGAGATTCTTGTTCTAGCAACCTCAGCTCAAGCGGGAATGGGTGATCATTGGGCTCCAGTATAGGTAATGATGGTTCCTCGTTGCGAGAGCTGCGTTTATCCTCCAGCTCTGACTCTTGAATGTAATCTTGGTGTTCCATTTCAGCGACTTCAATTTTCGGTTGTGGTTCCTCTTTTGGCCCCATTCTTGACCCTGCAAAAGACGATAGCTGTTTAAATGGTTCTTGCAATCCATTTGCGGTGTTTTCCAAGTCGTCCCTCCTTTGCAGCAGTGACTTCCTAGTCTGCTCTTGAGAAACAATCTCGGGGTTTTCAAGATGGTCATCATCCTCCACCTTCTCATCACCTTCTTGTGGTGCAACTTTATTCTGCTCTTTCTGATCAGGTTCGGGCTGCTTTGAATTTTCATCCACGTCATGCAATGGCGCCGTAGAAGGGTCTCTAAATACACTCTCGGGATCGTCAAAATCGTTCTCTATACTTTGAGATTCGCCCTCTGATCCAGCAGAGATTGGTTGCCTAACAGTTTGTATCCCATTTGAATTATTAAATGGGTTGTCACTCTTCTTGGTTTGCCCGTTAGGATCCAAGGAACTATGCGGAGACTTTCCCGAAACATTATCTCCAATAAAATCACGAGGCATCTGGTTTTCCTTTGAAATATTCGAATTATCACCATTTCTTGAATCTCGCTTTTCATAATTGACATCCGGAAAAAGTAATGACGAAGACACCATGCTGGTGGGGAAACCACCCTCTTTTTCTTTCTTGATGACGATTTTGGGTTTCGGTGATTCCTTCCCATTGAAAGCTAAGTCATTGGAGCTTGAACCATTCAGCTCAATTCTGACTGCACCTTCTGGCTGTCTCGTGGTATCGACAGCATCTGTCATTTTCCGGAATTGATCTTGTTGCAGGGTCTCATCTTCATCAGCATAACAGGATACAACAGACTCCACGTCACTATCAATGTCAACAACACCACCATCTTTTGCAACATTCACGACATCTTCCACTTGGCGAGAGCGGTGCTTTCCATCACTGATACCTCTTTTTACAACTCGCCGTTTCTGCGTGTAATCATCTTGCCTTTCAGAAGCATTGTTGGCGGGACCATTATGCCCAAATAATAAACTTTCGTTTACAGTCAATTTGCTCCTTTTGGGTTTAGGGTCTCCAAATAGACTACTGCTAGAAGTACCGAATAACCCTAACATGTCATCACCAAGGGCAGGTCTTTCTGGCTCTCTGATGCCCTCTTTTTTGACAGTGATCACCTTTTCTTTCCCTGGCTTAGCGGCACCTCGGCTTGATATCGAATCTATTTTCTCCCCTTCACCTTCTCCATTTGTAACTTTCCGAACAGAGTCCTTATCCACGGCACGCTTTCCAAACCCTTTAATCACATGTGCAAAATTTTTCGAAGACAATTGAAAAAACTCCGTCTTAGGCACAAGAGAGATCACAACTTCATTTTCTCGCATAAACTTTTCAAATCGTGACCTCCTTTGTCTACTTTTATCCCCCTTCAATTCTTCTTCCTTGAGTGTGTTGATACGTGTGGTCATGTCCTCTACGAATGCAGCTTGTCGCCTGTGAAGATTATCCAAAGCCATCTTTATGTCATGCAAATCCTGGCCGTGGCTTTGTGCGCGAATCTTGAACTCATCTGGTAACTGTACCGACACGGGCAGTATATTCTCGCCATTAGATTTAGGTCTCAAATCATCTTGAACTGCTTCTAAAACGTCGTTGATTTTGATCACCAACCGATTTCTCTCCCTTAAAAAGTGTTTATACAAGTTGAATTCTCTCTCATTGAGATACTTTATATCAGACTCGAATGCATTCAAATTCTGATCCAAATACAACGTGTGTCGTAGCAATTCTCTTCCCGTGTACGTCAATCCATCGGGAGTTAATAGCGCCTTTCTTCTTTCCATATCGCTAACTTGAGATGCCCGCTCGAGAAATCCTCTGATCTGGTCCAATATTTCATGAGGAAAGGAAACAATTTCACCAGTCCATGTCCCATATACAGCCTGCAATTTCCCACGATGTTCCATTGTGCTGCAATTACTGTAGGCATTGACGAACAACGAATAAATTCTAGGAGTAAACAACGCATTGTAAGTGGGAACACTTTTGATTATGCTGTCAATGAGATAGAATGTTGAAACCGTGGTGTCTTTTGAAGAGTTGGCAAGCTTACGTTCAATCATCTTGGTTATCGTAAGGGCTTCACTCTGTGCCAATTCTGCCAATCGTGTCATATGCTCTATGACTGCCTTCTTGGCCGTCAATCGACTCAAACCTTTCTCAAATTGCGTCACATAAGGCACATCTTCGAGGATCTGGGGCTCTTTCTCCTCAGGATTTGACATGGGGTTGTAGATGATTGATGTGTGTGGGTAGAAGACTTTTTGGTTTTGTGGCTAAATTGGTAGCTCTGGCAGAAAAGAATGTAATGTTTATGTACACACGAAAGGTTTTGGTTGATATTCGTGAATAGTACAGTTGTATTCAGATTGTGTCGCTCCGACTAGAAGAACAAAAGTGCAAAAAAAGAAGTAGAAAAGATAATCAAACTGAATGATAAGATTGAACAAATCTTTGAAATCCTATCAATAAAAGTTTTGGACCTGAAACAACCCCTTGAAATTTATTGATTATTTGATAACTTTTGGAGTAAATTAGTTATCCACGTAAATCAATCGATTAAAGATATGAGTGAAAGAAAATCGAACTGAAAAAGTATCTACTTTTTGTTGTGAGATCTTCTTTCCTAAATCTTTTGGGATGGTTTCAGTAAAACTATGATTAGCTTCTTCTCCTTTAAAAGAGATGGTGAAGAAGAAGAAGAAGAAGAAGAAGAAGAAGAAAGAGTGGCAGACCGAAAACGAAAAAAATCAAATGCAAGTTTACAGTGCTTGGAGAGACCCACACACTCACTCACACACGAGTGGCACCGTTATAACTATACATTACTAGAACACGTATTATTATACGTGTAGACATGACACACCCATGTCAATGGTCAGGGATGGGAGGAGCCAGACTAACCTAACAGCAACCGATTTGACCATTTTGCACTGTCTAAGCACCAAAATCTTTAATGAGCAAAATGTCTCGAAGATCCCAGTGAATGCTTTTTCAATATCCGATTCAAAACCGGACCCTTGCTTATCATGTTTGAGTGAACATTTGCCATCCGAAACGCACGCGCGCCTTCGTTATGATACTCGCTACTCTGATTTGAAGTTCCTACGCGCATGTTGGCAGTTATCCTTGATGCTAATTGACTTGTAGCAGCTCTTCCGCTGGGGTATCTATATTTGTTCAAGTTTAATTTCTGAAAATTTGCTCGAGAACTAGATATTGATGAAGTCGTGCCTGAAGATAGAAGTGGCGGTGGTGGTGGCGGTGGAGGTTGTGATGGTGATGGTGGTAGTTGTGCTGATGGTATTCGATGCTGCCGTGCTGTGTTTAGCTCCCCAATTTTGGTTGATTCGGCATAAAAGGACCTCTTGTTTGGATGGTGATGATTTGTTGGTGCTTTTGGAGCAAATGTGTCCAATTTTTTCCCCATCGACTGTTTATGAATATTGCTGATGAATGTATTCAGAGCAAAGTTGAATGGCTTTTCAAGAGCATGTTTCGGCACTGGTTGTATAAAGCTATCTTCCTCCTTTTGCTTGTTTCTGCCGTACTCAATTTCATCATCATTGGAGAGCTCAAACGTTTCTGGACGATTGTATTCCTTTATTTTCTGTTTGAGTCCTTCCAACTCTTGCTTGAGGTCCTCCACTTGTGATTTGTACTTGTTCAAGTGTGTAATTTCTTCTTTAGCTGCGTAGAGAAAGTCCTTTTGCTTTGCAACTTTTTCCTTTAACTTTCCATTGGTATGCTTCAAGTGGTTGATCTTTTCGACAAGGGTGATGAATTGAAACTTGCATGAGCTATTGAACTCGTCAACTTGTTGTGTTATTGGAGTAAAGAATCTTTGCAACTCTGGTGGTATTGATTCATCAATCACAACGGTGGTGGTATCTGTGTTCCCGCATACAGGACAATGGTGTGGCTTGTTTATGGTAGATGCATTACCTAGATCAGGTTAGGAAACCCTTTTTACTGAGCAGTGTTGTATATCACTATCGTTTGTAACTCACCATTTGTAAAGTGACTACCGCAACTAATGTGAGCGCACGAGGTCATCAATAGCTGGTCATTACATTGCTTTGCCTCCGTGTAGGTGTTGAAGCATATTCCGCAAGATATGTAGTGTGAATTGATATCCATGGCGTAACAGAGAGCTAGAGTGTGAGTGGAATGGTGTACATTTTATCATGACTTTGCAACCAAAAAATAAAAAAATCGAATTTTCCCACTCCGCGATAATAGTTGTAGACACAAACAAAATACAAAGGCTTAATAGTTACAACAACAAGAGACATGGCCACACTTACAACTTAAACTGAACCGTTGCGGCTTGGACAGATGGGGTTGGTTTGTAACACCTTGGTATCAAAAAATAAGAAGAAAAAAAAAAACAAAATCAAACTCCACTAGTATCCATTTTATGACTCAATGAGAAGCTCGGCCGGTATCGGTGCACCGCGCTAAACTTTTTCATCACTCTTCCACCAATCGACCTAGAAGAAGAAAAAAAAAAAATAAAAAATAAAAAAACTTTCAGATTTGTCAACCGCAATCGACTTGGACTCGGCAACAGCAGTATATTCCCCCAGTAACCATGATTTCCGCATCTGCCTTCAACCGTGCAAAGATGTTGCAGAGCCATCTTCGCTCTTTCTCCACATCTGCAACTATATCAAACAAAATCAACGTCAAGAACCCAATCGTCGAGATGGATGGTGATGAAATGACAAGAATCATATGGCAAAAGATCAAAGACGAATTGATTCATCCGTACTTGAATGTCGATTTGAAGTACTACGATTTGGGTATTTTGAATCGTGATGCCACCAGTGATCAAGTCACCGTTGATGCTGCTCATGCAATTCAAAAATATGGGGTTGGTGTCAAATGTGCAACTATTACTCCAGATGAAGCTAGAGTCAAGGAATTTGGCTTGAAGAAAATGTGGGTTTCTCCAAATGGTACCATTAGGAATATTTTAAACGGTACTGTTTTCAGAGAAAGTATCATCATTCCAAGTGTTCCCCGTTTTGTCCCTGGATGGAAAAAACCTATTGTTATTGGAAGACACGCATTTGGTGATCAATACAAGGCCACAGACTTGGTCATCAAGGAGCCTGGTACTTTGGAATTGAGGTTTACACCAGACAATGGTGGTGAAGCTCAAGTGCACAAGGTGTACCAGTACACTAGTCCTGGTGTTGGGTTAGCCATGTACAACACTGATGAGTCGATCACTGGGTTTGCTCATGCATCATTTAGAATGGCATTGAGCAAAAACTTGCCATTATACATGTCCACCAAAAACACCATTTTGAAAAAATATGATGGTAGGTTTAAGGATATTTTCCAAGAAATTTACGACAAGGAGTACAAGGAGCAGTTTGAACAGCAAGGATTGTGGTATGAGCACAGGTTAATTGATGATATGGTTGCTCAAATGATCAAATCACAAGGTGGGTTTGTTATGGCTTTGAAGAATTATGACGGTGATGTTCAATCCGATATCGTCGCCCAAGGTTTTGGTTCTCTTGGTTTGATGACTTCGGTTTTGGTTACTCCAGATGGTTCAGCTTTTGAATCGGAAGCGGCTCATGGAACAGTCACTAGACATTTCAGATTATACCAACAAGGTAAAGAGACATCAACCAATTCTATTGCTTCAATCTATGCCTGGACTAGAGGTCTTGCTCAAAGAGGAAGGTTGGACAACACCCCAGAAGTTGTTGAGTTTGCTGAAAAGTTGGAGAAAGCAACCATTGACACTGTACAAGTTGATGGAATCATGACCAAGGATTTAGCTTTGACCATGGGCAAGACTGATAGATCTAGTTATGTGACTACTTTTGAGTTCTTGGATGCTGTGGCAAACAGATTGAAACAATAAAATAAGAAAACAAAACGGTTATTATTATTACGTATAGATGCAAATATTTTTGTTTTAATGACAATTGTATATGAAAGGAATATTACACATGGATAGATTCTTTCCTCTCTGGCGTGAAGTTATCTTTACGTGGTTTTCTTTGCTTGGTCTCGTTCAAGCTCCTTTCTTTCCAAATACTCCCATGTATATATCAATCCATAATACGAACCAAGTGATAGAGCGCAAATTTTCAAAAACGGTTTCGAAAATTGTCGGTAAAATACAGTCTGTAAGGTAGTGTTAGTACTTTGTCATTTATATCACATTTTTCTGAGTGTACATAACTGCTCTGCTGCTGAATCGAAAGGAGATGACGCAATTGGCTAAAAAGGAGTGGATTTCAATTGTAGCGCTGATTGTGTAAAATAGGAACAACTGGAAATAGTCAAAAAAGGAGTCGCAACCAGATTACGAAAATAACAGGTTTGTCATCTCNTTTCAATTGTAGCGCTGATTGTGTAAAATAGGAACAACTGGAAATAGTCAAAAAAGGAGTCGCAACCAGATTACGAAAATAACAGGTTTGTCATTTCATCAGTCACAAGTTGTGAATATTTTGGGCAGTGCGTTGCTCTCAGTGAGGTTCAAGTAGCAGTGCGTTACTCTCAGTGAGGTTCAAGTAGCACTGCCACCTCCTGTGATTGCACCTGTTACTAAGTTAACTAAACGACTTAAACTACAGTTCGAACATTCTTCTTTCGTTCCGGGATCTGTGTTACACATACATGTGGGTTGATCCTTGGTTCTGGATTCTGATTCGTTGCGTAGTATCTCTGCTGCATCGAAAATGGGTCTGTTCTTTGTGGTGGAGGGGAGGAGGGGGGGGTGTACTTTTCTGTACTTTTAGGTCTAAGCCCAGTCTCAGTTTTGTAGATCGTGAAAATTGGAAAATAATTCGAAAAATCGATACGTTCCTGTATATAATCAACCACACTTTAGAACCTTTGGATTGGAAGATAGACTGATAACCAAAGAAACAAGCGGTAAAGTGATTGTAATGGCAAATCACACTTAGGCCCTTGTTAGAAAAATCTTTTCTTGGTACTAGGGCAGTCAAGCGGCAAGCTTGTTTGGCAAACCGTGTCCCAAGAGCTATGAGATATCTGCGAACCACACTCTTGTTCACTTGATGTCCCTTCCTTGAGAACCATCATTTGAGAGGCCAACTCCTTTAAACGGAGACAATGTAGAAGCAAGTTAAGCCGAGGAAGAAGAGCTGTAATATGGATTGACTCTGGTTCTCTTGTCAAACCTTCATGGGCTCTTATTTGCGGAGTTCTCATTACAGAAAAGACTTTGTAGAGTAGGCAGATATATACCAGGATACCGGGTGCAAAAGTAGCTCTAGTACGAGAGTTACACAAAAACTTGGAAGTTTTTAAGTTGCTTTTAAATCAAAAAAATGATCAACGTTTATGTGAACCTCTAAGTATAAAACTAAGCTAAGGTTTCATTTCTATTTGTTATAGTTTAGATTTGGAGACCCGTTTGCTCCTCATTAAAAAAATAAAAAACAATATGTACCTGCGCTAGTCCGAATAGCCGGAAAAGAGAGTCAATATGAGAGATCAAGCTTCTATAGATAAGTGTCCAAAAGTCATATGTTTTCAATGGGTGTGAGGGGGTGACAAAGTTATATTTTAATCACTCTGCTACAGCTCTTATAATACCTGAATGAGATTCGCATATGCAAAGTGAATACTTTTGTGTATCATTTCTCGGCCCAAAAAAAGTTTTTGCATCCGCGCAATCAACATTATCAACCGTTTAGGGTTCTACCGCAAAGTAAAGTTCAGGAGTGGGCTATTAAAAGTAGTAATATTTCTTGTAGCAGGACGACTATGTAAATGTTTCTTTTTTTGAGACACCTGTATATTATTGAGTGACACAAGAAATGATATATATATATGTATATTTATATTCTGATAGCAAACTTGACTAAAAACCTCGAACGTTACTCTCGCGCACTGACATCACCCATGTCTTTCTCTCTCTTTCTCTTTCTCTTTCTCTCTCTTTTTTTTTTTTGTTTTGTTTTCTTCTTTTTCTTCTTTGTTTTTCTTTTCTTTATTGTTTTTTATTGTCTTTGCGCTTTTTGTTTTCATTTGTAGAATTTTTTAACACCACAGGCATCATGTTCGTAGCATAGAGAACAGAACAGAGATGGAGCAAACTGAGCTAAAGTGGGCAGCAAATGTGAGCAAATGTTTCATAAAAAAAACAACAGCACAGCACACAAGTTAAGGAGGGGAATGGTTGCTGCAAAAAGAAACGAAACATCGCTGAAAGTTGAAATGATGTAATGGAGACAAAAGTAATTAACACCAACTATCCCATTTACACCTTAATTCTCCTGACACCCCCTCCTCCCCCCTTACACTCTCATACACTCTCTTACACACACACTCTCTCTCTCTGTGTCAAAGCAAGTAGTGCTGGCCTTTTCTCAACAGTCTTTGTAACTAACTTCAAGTAGGGAAATGGAGACTTTATGAAGTATTAATTTATTCAGTATCGCTTGTGTTTAACGAGAGGTGTCATACAATTCGTGCAGTTGATTCCTTTTGGTCTAATAAATTTGAGGGTGAAAAACTGTATATATCCACAGTCTCTCATTTTACAATTATATGATAACAGATAATAAATTGCCTTGGTGTATTTAACAGAATTTTAGACCAATTTCAAAATTAAGTTGCGATTCTCGAACAAATTGTCTCAAAGACAGAATAAAGTAAACAACGTAAAGCAATGTAGAACAATTTAAAAAAAAAAAACAATAGGAGAAGAAGAAGAAGAAGAAGAAGAAGAAAAAGAAAGACAACAGATAAATTTGTATGTTTTTGTGTAAGCAATTCAGTCACAGACTCATAACACCTCTAATTCTTTTTTTTTTTTTTTCTTTTTTTCTTTTTGCTTTTTCAACTAGAGCCCAATGTATACAGGAGTACATCCAACATGCAGCAAGCGTTTGGGGCTTTTTCTGATTTCTATAAAATCATTCCTATATATATATATATGTATATATATTGAGACCCTTATCCGTTCAGCTCTATCTTATATACTTTTGGACCGAATTTTAACTGCCAAAGTCAAGTCCCTTTTGAACTGTGTACCCCACACTTACCAGAACCATCACCCAGCCAACAAAACAATTCACCAACACCGCACACAGACTACTTTTGGATCGAAAGAAACTGTTGAGCAAAATCAAATCCAAGTAGTCTAAAGATCCCTCGATCACGAGTCTGGCGGAAAATTTCAACCAATCATAAACTTGACTACAATCCATTACGAGTTGAGAGCCCATTGGGTGGAGTGAACAACGCCAGTTTCAATACCTACTCGGTACAATCTAGTGGAAACCGACCAGATAGAGGGACGCCAAAACGATCTGCCAGGCTGCACAAGCAGCTTACCAATACACAACACGAGAGACATTTCCAATTGAGAGTGTTCTTTATTTTTTTTCACACAAGAAGAAATTTAAAAGAGATAGATACTAACACATCTGATCTTCGTAAACTGGCAACACACCTCCTTTCCACCCCTAGTCTTTGTCTTTTCGAATTGTTCAAATTTGGGTATCATAATTTTTTTTGTGTCTGTTAGGGTAAAACATTTAAGGATTATTATAACTTGTCAAAAGATTAAGAATTAAAAATTATATTACGTACAGAATAATTACATTGGTAGGAGTGTCATTTTTGTGTCTGATTTTAGAGTGAAAGGTGAAATATTATATATATACACACACACACACACACACACACACACAAAAGGATTAAACTTTTTTACATCACAATTTCAAATTTTAGCACAGGTCTAACAACAGTAGAGTTTTGTTGTCCTTGTTGTCCTTGTTGTTTGGTCAATTTTAGTTTGCACAAAGTAATCTGTCGTTTTGGTTTTGACGCTTGCCTGAACAACCTTTTTATTTTTATTTTAGAGTTTTGCTGTCGAATTTAGCTTACAAATTGTCAAATAAAAGGATTGAATTTCTCATTTTTGAGAGTGAAAGTCAAAGTTGAAGGGGCAATTACATAACGAAAAGGAGATAAAGATTAAAAGGTCTGTATCACAAAATTACACCAATACAGATTTCCATTTTTGGTCGCCTCGATTCGAAAATAGTGAAGAACTATAAAAGGGCAGCAATATCTACTCGGATTGGCAAATACTACAAGATCCAGCAAAAATTCAATAGAAGATACGACCAAATATCCTTTGCTAGAAACCTTATCTCACAAACAAGGAAGGTCAATTTTCATCAAAATACAACATCAATTTCAAACCATGCTTCCGAGTGTACACCATCTCAACTCAGATCACACTTCCACCTCGGCTACTATCACCACCACCACCACCACCAACAATAACAACAAGAATAACTCAATTGGCTGCACCAATCCCGCACTGCCACAACTTTCTCTAGAGTATAAACCAAATCAACCTCCATCTATGGTATCAGCAGCATGGAATAATCCAAACAATACTTTTACTTTTACCCCGAAGTTACCATCTATTCACCATTTAACAGGCCAAGTTACTACCGGCACTGGTGGTGGCATACTGCCTAGAGGGAACCAATGTCAATTGCCGCAAAAATTGCCCATTCTTCCACCTGCACAATTGGCAACGCCAGTGCCACAAAATCAACTGAAATTTGAACAAACTCGTGTCTCTTTACATTCGCAACCACCATATCCAATCACCCTGTCGTCACATACACAACAGCATTTGCATCAGTTGCGCCTGCCAGTCAACATGCAATATGTATTTACTCAAATCTCTCCAACCTCACCCATTTCACCAGTCCTATCTCCCCACTTTGTGACACAACAACAATCGGAGCACACATATAGTCCACCGGCAACTTCAACTTCTTCAGTCATGAGTCTGCCAATGCCGCACACTACCAACTATCAGCAATTCCATTTCCGCCAATTGTCATTGCCGGGTACTACTCAGTCCGGTGTTCCAGGCAGAGTATTTCAGCCGGCTCTGCTCCCAATCAATCAACAAGTTAACTTCAAGGGCACTATAGACCCTGCCTTCGAGGTCAAGTCTGCTGAATCGGCAAAAGTTTTGAAGCCTTTTGAAAAGTCAAAGAAGAAAAGAAGAAAAAGAAGGGGAAAATCGGCTCCCAGTACAGTAGCATCATCTAGCAAACTGCTGCAACACAAGACGATATCACCAATCTACACCAGGAAACCGAGACAAACTCTTGTCTTTAACGAAGACGCAATCCATTACCCTGTTCACAAAGACCTTTCAAGTTTGATCAACTCCAACCAAATCCCACCTTCCGTTGTCGATCAACTCAACACATTTGTCTATCCACGCATTGACACAAAAAAGTATTCAACTTCAGCCTTGGATTCACAAAGAAACTTTCTCACGGTGTTTGAGTACACAATCAATGACCACTGGGTGATTTGGGACTATGAAACGGGGTTTGTTCATTTGACGGGGATTTGGAAAGCGTCTTTAAATGCTGATGGTGCTGTTTTATCAACATCTTCCCATTCAAAAGCTGATATTGTAAAGTTGCTTGAGTCTACACCTAAACAATACCAAGCTTACATAAAGCGCATTAGAGGAGGGTTTTTGAAAATTCAAGGTACTTGGTTACCTTTCAAATTGTGCAAGATACTTGCAAGAAGATTCTGTTATCATATACGGTTTGCATTGATACCAGTTTTCGGTACAGACTTTCCCGAGTCATGCTTACATCCTAGTGATCCTGGTTATGGAGAATTGAGGCTAGATGAGTTGAAGAATTATGAGCAGGGAGACTTACCAGCTCCTTCAGTGGATGAGAATGCCAGTCGTCAAGATCAAGTGGACAAAATGGGTGGCGATAAAAAGGAGGTTGAAAAATGTGAATCGGTAGTGTCGGAGCAGAATCATGAGCCTTTGCGGACACCATCCACCAACACCATTACCACAAACGCCAACACCACCACCACCTCTGGGAAACAAACTACAAGCTTGGCATCGCCTGTGAGATTAAACAATGACTTTGTGAAAGTTGCTAAAGCTGAACAGCTTCCTCCGATTGGCACTTTTTCGCCAGTGTCAACTAAAACTAAGGCGGTGGAAGATCCCAAGAAGAATTGTACAATAGAAACAGCAAGTATAGACTGGAGATACCAATCACCTCTGCATTCTGGTACATCGAACTATAAGTTTGGACAGCGCGAACCACTCACTTCAACAAGCAGTGATTCATTAAGCTCAGTTTTCACTCGAAATCCAGCCACTCAACAAACTAGTGGAACCAATATTGAATCCTTCAATGACCTCGTTGACATTGTGAATGCTTCAAGGTGTCTTCAATCATTGAGACAAGAACAGGGTAACTGGAAGTCCCTGCAACCGAGCACAAACACTCCTTCACAAAGTTCTGTAGTATGGGAGGAGGAGACCGACGACGAGAGTGACTACGTGACAGCTCATAAAAAGTGTTCTCCCAAGAGCGTTGCGGAAATTGATGATGGTGGCATTTCCTCCATTTTGATAGCTGCTGACCTAAACAAATCTTTTGCATACAGCTCCAATCTTCGATCGAGAATAAGTATCAAAGACTTGACTACATGAGATTTCCTAGTCCCCTTCCTTTAAATTTTCAATTGTGCATTGTTTTTTTTTATTTTCTTTTGCGGTGATTATTTCGTTTCAGTTCGGTGCAGCAAAACTGTCCCATTTGGGACAGTGATTTAGACAAAGAGCGCTTTATTTACGAACATGCGTGAGACTTTTTGAGGATCTTTTATCCAATAGCGGGCATTATTTCAATTCTGTGTGTATAGCTTTAAATATTGATCATAATTATATACAAGTGGTTGTTCAAGCTGTAAAAGAAACAATGAAAAACGAACGTGTTAAAACTCTCGCCCAAAATTTGGTTGTGGTTGTCAAAAACTTTTCCACAGCCAGAAGTTACCTCGTCAAATGGATTTCGTGGAATTCGACACTTTCAATGCAAGCGATAAGGATGTCAACTTACCTCAGCCACAACCGGCATTGTCACTACCAATAGCTTCAAACTTAGAAAGTTTCAGCAAAAAGTTTTCTGAGTTTAGTCTATCAAGAAATTTCACCTCCACCAAAAATGAAAACACCAACACAACAGATCTTGAGTCACAGGGGGATGATGTTATGGACAAATACGCCAAAATCTCGTTGTCTCTATTACAAGATGAAGAGAACGTGACAAGCTCGGCTTCGGGAAATCAAAGCATTACCGATTCTCTAAGTGTACGATTGTCTAGAGTCTTGAATGGTTCGATTAGCGATTCCCGAATGAGAGATATCTTTACAAGTCTTGAAGGTAAGTTGGATCACGATGTGGAGCTCTACAAAGAGCTAGTTGAACCAGGGTTCATGGGTACTGTGTCTAGGAAGAAACTAAGGGGTCGTGTTGAACGCGAATTGATAAAAACCCAGTCAAATCTTTTAAAGGAGTATCTGCCTATTGTGAAACAATTGAAACATACAGAGGCCAAGTTAAAGAAACTAAATGAACTAAACACACAGACTAATGAACGGCTACAGAAAAACTTTCAGTTTCTGCACGAATTCAACACCACTGTCAATAAACTATACAAGGATAAGCAATTGATTGGAATAAAAAAGGATCTTTTGGAAGCATTTAAAAACAAATTCACATTGAGTGAATATGAAGAATATGTTTTATCGCAAGGAGACTTGAATGATGAATTTTTCACTACTTTGGCCAAAGCAGAAGGCATTGTGGATAGCTGCTCAATATTGTTAGCTGAGGATAACCCTCAATTGGGTTTGAAAATTTTTTCCAAAACAAATGCCGTTATCACTAAAGCTATAGAGCGAGCTATAAGTTATTGTCATCGGACTTTGGACAATTTGTACTCACTAAATTCCCAGAACCGGTTGATTACGTTGCACAAATGTTTTCTATTGCTAAAGGAAAAAGATGGGTTTGATGAAATAATCGACAAATTTAGCGACTCGAGATCAAAGGACCTACTACAAGAGTTTTACAACCAAATTCAAGGACAAAATGAGTCACTGGCGACCGAGAGAAGACCTGGTGTGAGAAGTGCGGCATCGAGTTTGAGCAGCACCGATGTCAGGCCCTTGTTTTTGTCGGCACATGATCCGGTTCGCTTTGTAGGTGATTTTCTTGCATATATTCATTCGATTGCTGTCAATGAATCCGAAACAATTACCGGTATTTTCACCATGGGTGATGATGAAGACCATCAATTTGACGCAATTATACAAAATGTCACGAATAAAATTTTAAAGGCTTTGTCGAAACCTATTAAGTCTAGAATCGAACAAATAATAACAAGTGAGACTAAATTGCTAACAATTTTCCAGATATTCGATTTGGTTGAACTATACTCGATGATGTTTGATAAACAATTGCATCAATCCGAGGATCTAGTTTCAACAATGAAGCTATTGGTTCATGCATGCCAGGATCGAATTTTTACCATTGTTTCGAATAAACTCGCCGCCATCTCATCGAGCAACCTGGCGAGGTTGGAATTGAACTTGGATTTGCAACCGCCCGAATGGATAATAGACTTTTACTCGGAAATATTGCCAATGGTTGATCAAGTTACCGGTGAGACTATCCTTCAATTATCGAAAGAAGAGAATGACCGATTCCTTACTTTAATAATCAACCAGCCAATCAAAGTGTTTACCGAACATGTGCATGACAATAAAATCTTTTCCAATCGTGACTCCATCATTATTCGATTCAACTTTTTAGATTTAATTCAATCTAAAATAATGCCAATTTCGCTACTCTCGGACAAAGTGTTGGAGCTCAATGATATAAACAATGATTTGATTTCCAAATTGGCTGAGTTGGAACTCACAAGCTTACTTCAGAATAGTGGGTTATATGATTACTACAACATCATCAACATGATTTGTCCATTTTCGGATGACTTTTTCGAACCCTCAATTTACGAGCCTATCAAGGAAAACAAATTGTATACTTTGGAAAGCTTGCAAAAAGTAGATGCAACGTTGCAGGCCTATGTGCCTAATGCAATGATTGAGATTCAGCAACTGTTACTTCGACTAAACTCACCAGTAACTGTCACCGATGTGGTAAACAATGTGTTTTTAAAGTTTGTCAAGTTTGTTGAGAAATTGAATTCAATCAACAGGGAATACTTAGAGTACAGCTTCGCATGGTCGGATTACGAATTGGCAACCATGTTGGGTATTGATGAGGTTTATATATCGTATAAACAAAGCCTGGAATAAATCAACAAAGACAACACACACACACACACACACACACTTATTCATTTTCTCTAGCGGGTATCTGTCCTCTACCGTATCCATCTTTGGCATAGTAATCCATAGGGTAGTATTTCTCATCCCACATTGTATCCTGCTCAAGCATCACCATTGCTTCGTAAGGAGTTAGCAATGGTTTGTTGAATGCATAACCCCAATCAATGGATAGTCTTGGACAAGCCACTTGTACAAACGCCTCAACATCGTCAAACATGGACAACTTTTGCGGGAAGATCTCACTGAGAATGATCTTGACAACCTGAATTCCTCTTTGTGAAAGTTGGTGTTCCAACTTTTGTAGCGTAATGGGATTACCCTGTCGACCCAACGCCCCAAGAATCAATCCAATCTTCTTTGCTTTTCTAGCTGTCACGACTGCATCTTCCCTCACCCGTGTCATTTGCTTTTGATCGTAGTACTCACGAGTAAACTTTCGATCGTATGGATCGTATCTGTATGCCGGAATATCAGGATTGTGAATCATTGAACTTTCGAGATGAAACCGTCCATCACCAACGTATATGGTCGCTTGTATGTGGTCCTTGTTCAATCTGGCTGACGTGCACCCTAGCAACTCTCCCTTCGACAATGGTCTTGTTTGTGGAGGAATTAAATAAATTGGTTTTTCCGGATCAGTTTCCAACACAGTCTTGACGCTGTGGATTGTGGGGTTGAACTGAATAGTACCGAATATGGCAATTTGTGCACCTTGGTCGAAATTTCTTTTTATCGTCTTGATCAAATGGGTTTCGTCAATGTTGATGGTTACAAACACATACAACACTTTGATCTCAGTGACATCAATAGGGACAAGACACGAATGGGCATAATGGACTATAAAATCACAATCTAGTGATCTAGCTGTGAAGTCATCGATGCAGCACGCACCATAGGATACATCACCCATAACCAACGTTTCAACCTGGCAAAATTCTTCCAATATGTCAGATATGATCAATGAATAAATAAGTAGACCTTCTGGCATCTGTAATGCCACTCGTTTGGCATTTTGTTTCCGTATATTCCACACAGTCTTGTGTATTTCGAAGTTGTAGTTGGAAGGTAGTAGTTTTATCGCCTCGTTTAAATCTTTATCGTTTAGTATGTCATCGGGAATTTGATTCACGGCTCTACCAATGTGACGTTTTGCACTCGATTTGACTAATGGTTGATCTTCGGATCCTGGTTTGACTTCAGGGCTTGACTTTTTACCAACAAATCTCCTTTTAACGAGTTTAGGCTTGGCTGTATCTGGTTGGATCTCGACAGGGCTCATGGTTGGAGTTGATGTAAGTTGTGGAATCTGTACTTCTATTTCTCCTTTTTTTTTTTTTCTTTCTTGCATCATCTCTGCCCTCTGCTCGCTGCTCTCTGCTCTCTGCTCTCTGCTCGCTGCTCTCTGCTTTCTGCTCTCTGCTTTCTGCTCTCTGCTTTAGTTTGCAACTCATCACCAAAATATAAAGTTTGTCATTGACCAAGCAACCCACATTCCACCATGCTCACTCCTTACTTCACAATCAATCAAGATGACGAGTTCATATATGTTGACGTAAAGATCTCACATGTCAGATTCAGTGCCCCTAATATTGAAATGACCGTTGACAATGACATGTTCAGGTTTTCACTTCCACCTTATTACTTGCGATTGCGTTTCCCTTGTCCTTGTGTGGATGATGAGAGGTCTCATGCTGAATATGACTCCAAATCTGAATGTGTCAAGATTAAAATACCGAAGGAGAACAAAGGACAATTCTTTCCTGATCTAGATTTGACGGCAAAGTTGCTTGCAAGAACGAATGAAAACAAAGTGGGGGAGCAAAAGGAAAGGAAACCATTGATAGAAGAAATGGATGTCAATAATGAGGTGAGTAATGATCAAGCTGAGAAGGACTTGCAAGAAGGAGAGGATTTTAACTGGGAGATTAAGCAAGATATGCCTCCAAGCTTGGAACCACTTGGCACGGAAGAAAGTTTGAAATTAAGCGCAGTTAAATATGGCTTTAACAACCAATACGATGGAATCGTCGGTGTGAGTGTTTCCAATGGTAATGATATCAATGGGCTAGGTGACCCTGAATCCACACTGGAAAATGATCGTATTATTGAAAGACTAATAAAGGAGAATATTCAATTCGATCCAGAAATCTATGCCGCTGACTACATAATGGAAAAGCATCCGACTCCAGATGACGACAAGAATTTCAAACAATTGCTTGAGTGGACTAACCCCAAAGTTCAAAAATTTCTCAAATGGTACAAGTCACAGCAGCTGTTGAATGAGGAGGAAAAAGTTGCAGTCATGCCAATCGAATTTACCAAGGAAGAACAAGAAATAATGTTGCGTCTACCCAGAAGATCCTACCTACTAGATGACCAATATAAACTAGAAGTGTTGGTGACCATTATTTGTCTTCTATTCGCGTACGAGCTTGACCTCAGGGAGAATGAAGGGGAGCACAATGTTGAAAGTGCATGGACAATTGGGAAAATTGCTCCTCAGTTTGCCTTTTTGGACACGAAACTAGTTGTTGACAAGTCGGAAAACTTGTTAAGATCTGCAACAATAACTTGTGATCGAAGAGCGCTAACGTACCCACTTCATCGAAGTTTTGCATTGTGTGAAAAAGTTTGGAGTGACGTATACTATATTTTACGTGGAGGAAAAAGGCTTGTTCTTCAGGCTTTATTAGATTTGAAAGAGTTGTTCCGGTTTCACGACGTATATTATGTTTATGATAAGATTTGGTTGGAAGATTTGTGTGCCTATTTGATCAGTGATAATGTCACTGAAGGACAGCTTAGGAAACTTGCGCATGGTTTGAAGAAAACTGTTGAGAACGTGACCAAATCTGATATCACTTTTGAGAAAGCGGACGAGGACGCGGAAATGGGTGACGATGAAGATGGTAACCAAAATGGCAACGATGAGATGGTTGCTCTATCTTTGGAAGATATTGACAAAATGGCGGAGGCGGTGTACGATAATATAGACCAAGAAACCTAATGGATACCCGGTCCTGCGGGCTCCCAATCACTTAACCATATAGCTCAATCCTTGGCCAACGACACCTCTAAGTCGTTTGGGGCTCAGTCTCGCAAATGCCACCAACACGGCAAAGCTCACACTAAACGCGATTGTCTCCCACTTTCTTCTCTCGTCATTGTCTGTCGCCTCGAAGAAAGTGCCCAATGCCTTTGGTGTTATAAACAACATCAAATCGTTACGCCTTTTGGCACTTTCAAACAACACACTTAATCCAGCAAGTGCTGACCCCACTCTTATGCCCAAAATGTCCCAAAATTTCTGTCCGTACCACCGGGGGTGATAATTTCTCACAAGACATATACAACCCCAATGAATTGTTGTTAAAGAGCTAACAAATAATGATGATTTAACCGTTTTTATCAACAATTTCTTCAAGTTTCCTTTGAAACCTCTGAAGAACACAAATGTGAACAAGTTGATGTAAGAGTATAGTTTTAAACTGGAGGCGAATTGAGATACAAAATTGTCAAGCGCGTGCTTGCAACAACTTTCTGTGGTAAATTCATGCAATACCTCGCACGGTATTCTATCATGTTGAATCAAGTCTCTTGTTTGCAAGTTCTTACCTTTCTGATATGCAAAAGTTTGAAACGCTTCAAACGAGGCTCCATTAATAGAGTCTTGGTGTAGCTGTTGCACTCCTTTTTGTACTCTCGGATCTATACGAGTCATTTTTGTTATCCAATTCACCATTTGAGGACTAAGTCTTTTTGGCCGAAGCCACCACGCAGTCATCACGCAATACGTGGACACCAAGATAACCAACAAATCAGCCATATCATTTGTCTGTGATGACAAGTGGGGAGAAACTGTTGCAGATATCACGGAATCGATTGCTTTTGTAGCTAAAATACACGTCCAGTCAAATGTGTAGAACCTATCATTCTCTATTTTTAGTTGCTGAAAACGAGGAAAATGTAACAACGATGATATCAACCCTGCGAGGAACGTGGTTGTAAAAAGAAAGTATTCCCCATCGATATGCGGATACAATGCCTTCATGAATAACGGGTTCAAAACGTTTAATGTTGCCACTAAGCGGATCATAAAAATGGGCAGACGATCAGCTTGTAGTGGAGCAATAAGTATCCTCCAAGTTTCACTCAGAAGCCCCTTTGCCTTGAGCTCCAACAAATGTTTGGTTGTATTTCTCGCTAAATTAGGTACAACTTCGCATAAATAAGCAAAAAGTGCAACTACTATGGTGGATCGCTGAAGGAAAATTGCTCTAATAGCTTTGATAGCATTTTTAGTACTGATACGGTATATGTATACGATAATTCGTAGGTGTCGTTGCAATACGCCTGATATGGAAGTGAGCGGCTTGAGCTGTTTGATATAGCGCAGATATGTTTGGGGAAGAACGGCTGGTGTCTGCATTTTGATCTCTATGGAAAGTCCTAAATTAGATACGAGGGTAGTTATGAGACGGCACAGAATCACTCCTTCTATAGGTCTCACTATTAGTTGTGCCTCACGTACTGATGCCAGTGATGCCAGATAAAGATAAGTTTAATATTTTTGAATACGAGCAAAACTCCTGGAGAATAATTACACAAACATGCTAAGTACTGCAAAAAAAAAAATAATGCCAATAGTGGTAAAAAAAAAAAAAAAAAAATTAACATTTCAATGAACATTTTGGGGTTTATTCAGCTAAGTACGGCTAGAGCATACCCCAATCTTGGGAATTTTGACTGTATTTGGGAGATTCAAAGAAATTCTCCAATTTCCTGGGGCTACGAGGTGAACATTCAAAAGAGTTTTCCAAAATGGTTTTCAACTGATTTTGTGCAAAAAAAATGTAAAGGATTGTTTCTTGCAGAACAATAATTTTTGATCATGAAGGAGTCTGTAATATGTAGTCAAATCCGGAGAGTAGTATGGCTACTATTTATTAGCAATAGATCATTTTCTTGCTAAGATAATAGACATTTCGTTTCTTGTTTCTGTACAGTATCACTATCTAGTGTATTTTTTTGTCAAAAAATGCTCTTATGGCCAAGTTGCATTCCGTGGAGTGATCATTACTCCTCTAGCATCCATCGAATCCTGCTGAGAGCACACGCTAGTCTTTTTTTTTTGCAAAAGTTGTAATATTTCCTTTTACTTTTTTTTCCTTTTTTTTTTGAATTCAATTTTTTGTCTTGTAAAATTTCACCACCTATCCCCTTGCGCCAAATTGAAGCACCAATCAACCTTACTTCACAACATGTCCAAGGAAGAACCAGAACTTGACGAGTTATGGCGTGAATTCCAAAATGCCAACGATGATATACAGGAGAAGAGAAACAACGTTATCAAAGAAATAAGTAAAAATACCATTTTGAATGAGTACCCTGGAAAATTATCCATCATGACAGCTTTAGATGAGCTAATTGCTTGTTTTTCGTTGGGGGGCCAGTTCAAAAACTACTACAGATACGGCTCTTATGATTCATGTCAAAGACAAAGGGAGAAGTTTTGGTTTGCTATAAAACATGGATCGTTAGTTGAAGGGAAGGATAAACCGTTGGATGAGTTGAATGATAAAGAATTAAACAGTCGAGTCAAAATACAAGAATTCTTTAAAAAGCGTCTACTAGAGGACAAATCCAAAGGAAGTTCAGAGGATATTTGGGATGCGAGAAAAGAGCTACAAAGCTATCCGTTTAAGTAATTTTTGTTTGCACCTCTGTTCATATCTTTTACATTACTACACAACTTTTTGACTCTTGTACATCGTCGTTTGCTCCCTTTGGCTTTGCGTTCAACGCAACTCTAGCTGCCTCTGAAAATGCTTCATTGACTCCTCTATTTTTTTTAGCCGAACATTCCAAGTACCTTGATGCATTTATCCTCTTCGCTACCTCTAATCCTTGTTCGTAGCTGATGAGTCTCCTTTGCGACGAGTATGGGTTACCCTGATTGAATTGTTGAGTTTGGTGCTCCTCATCTTCGTCATTCCTCAAATCACATTTTAATGCAACCAAAACAAGCTTCACACCCTCACAATGATCGGCAATCTCTCCCACCCACTTTGATTGTACATTTTCAAGTGAGTCCGGCGAGTCCACAGAGAAACACAACATTATACAGTGAGTGTCTGAATATGAAAGAGACCGCAATCGATCAAACTCTTCTTGCCCTGCTGTATCCCACAAGGATAACTGGACAGATTGTCCATCAATGAATATGTCATGAACATAGTTTTCGAAAACGGTTGGCTCATACACTTGCGGAAAGTAGCCTCTTGTGAAAACGTTCAATAGCGAAGTTTTACCACACGCACCGTCTCCTAGAATGACGATTTTCCTCTGAACTGATCAAATAGTTAGTACAAATCACGAGGGGAGGCTTTTTCTTTTCATTTCGTAATACATACTCGTTTTAGGTGAACTTCCGCAGAGGGGCATTGATAACTGGGGAGTTAGAAAGTGACTATGTAAGGAAAAAACTTGATCAAAAAACGAGTCTTTCACAGGGCCAAGCTGGTGTCAAGAATTGGTGAAATACTGTCGTAGCCGTCTAAAGTCGTTTACGTGGTGTGTTTACCTTTTTTCCTCTTTTTTCTTTTTCAAAAAAAAAAAAAAAAAAAAAAAAAAAAAAAAAAAAAAAAAAATTTTTTTTTTCCCGTTCTATCTTCACTATGTACTTGAGGCGTTGTTAATTACAGAATACGTGTAGAGGGTCTTGTGTATGTAGACCAAGGACAAGGTCGTTTCTGCAATTCAGTTTACAGAATAAGATTCTACCTTAGGATATCTCACCCAATAGAAAATACTGTATCATCACTCCACGACACAGATGCTTCTCGAGCAGTATAAGTCGTATCATTAAAATACAAATAGAATCGAACTAAAATATGCTATTCAACAATTGTAGACTGAACAAGTCCATCAAAATGTTTGTATCATTTCTCCACCAGACACTCTTCCAACTCTAGAACTGACACCAACTCTATTAATAATAACTTGCAACCACCGTAATCATGAAACTTCACCTTAATATTATACATGTACCACTCTCTTGATATTTAATACTGTATCGAATCTTCTCTCTCGTCACCCACCTTTTTTAGACAATCAACTTTGCAACTTGAAAAATGGATGGTTCATAGCTTCCTTAGCGGTTGGTCTCAATTGATGGTCATACTGTAACAACTTGTCGATCAAGTCCAATACTTCGTCACTTATCAAGTATCGGTTCTCATTATTTACAAACGACTTCCATGATTTCCTTGGATAGTTTCCCAATATTCCATCATAATCCAGGCTTAGCTTTATCCCGTACTTGTTGACGTACTTCATCAACCCCTCTGTTCCCAATACTTTAGCTATCTGGACCAACTGGTCATTGTTTGAATCTCCCCTGAATAATGGCTCCTTTTTGAAGATTATAGCTCCCAACATACATCCAACCGACCATAGATCAAGTGAATAATCGTATTGTTGCAAATTTACCAATAGTTCGGGTCCTTTGTGGTATCTCGATGCCACTCTGACGTTGTAGTCCATACCAGCATGGTAGAACTCCGCCAAGCCCCAATCAATAAGCCTTAATTTCTTGTTCATAGGATCAATCATTATATTTTGAGGTTTCACGTCTCGATGTATTATCCCCATCGAATGCGAATAATCCAAGGCTATCAAAAGTTGCGTGAAGTAGTATTGTATGTCCTTGATGGTGAACTTGGGATACAAGACCCTAAAGTCAACATTGTTGACCTTTTCAAATATCAACGCAGGTATTTTCGACTGCTCATCTCGCACAACATCCAAAAGCCCCACTACGTTTGGCCCTCCTGTCAAATTTTGCAAAATCTTGACCTCTCGATATATTTTCTTCAACTTTACCGGCTTCAATATCTTAATGACACATGGCTCATCGTTTAGAATATTTATTCCTTGGAATACCTCTGAATATTTGCCTCTCCCTATTTTGCTCACTATCTCGTAGTTCTTTATATCTCCCCACCCTATCTTGTGATTCTCGTAATCCCAGTACTCTGAAGGTTTCTTAGAGTTTACATCGGCGTAAACTTTTGATATCGAATACACTCGTTGCTTGGTTGTCATTACTCAGGGGGTTTTTTTTTTTTGATTTCTGTGGCTAGTTCTTTTTCTCTAATCTGTGCAGGCAAAAAGGATGTTCTTGATTAAAGTTTTGATGTCGTTGTAAATGCGTGGAAATGCGTGACCCAACTAACTCTCTAAATGATGTAACTGAGGTATATACAAACAAACAAAGGGGTCCAAGCGTTCAAGTTAGAAAGATAGCGAAAATGTGATATGACTACTTTAACCTCTAAACATCATCGGAGGAAGAAACTTGGGATTTTTTTTTTTTCTTTTTCCTTCGTATTCTTTTTCTCTATTTTTTTTTTTTTTTTTTTTTTTTTTTTTTTTAATTTTTGTTTCTTAATTNTTTTTTTTTTTTTCTTTTTTTTTTTTTTTTTTTTTTTTTTTTTTTTTTTTTTTTTTTGCCTCTTCAATTTTAATGCTGTCGAAGAGAGATACCGACTGAGACACAACGGAAAGGGACTACACATTCCTCTTTCTCTTCAATGCGCTTGCTTGCCATATGAACTATCTATCGTCTACAGTCCTTCATGTAGGAGACAACACTTTTGACGATGTTCAGTTTTGGTCAGATCAAACTAGTGCTATGATGAAGATAGATGCATGCGACTACTTGACATCCATTAATTGCAACAAAATCCCAATCTATTTAATAAGTGGTAAGCCATTTCTGATTTACACGAATGATTCGGAAACAGAACAGTACTTCAAAGAAAGGTTTACGCGATCATCGTCGGATTTCCGTCATGGACTTGTAACCAATGCCGGCGAGCGGAGATTTATCGTATTCTATTATGATAAAGAAGTTAAAGGGATCGTTTTAGATTTCACCAAGTTGGAAAAGATGCAACAAACACTTGCATCAGGTCCTACATTACTATTGAGCAAACATTTTGGCGTATGTTTTTGAGGTTGGAGTGTCCGCCAATGCGCATTCGATAGAGTTTTACAGAAGAAACAAGAAGGTGCCAATACTTTACTTGCTACCCAGCCCAAAGTAAAGAAGTCGCTGGTTTTATCCACTCAGGAACAAGTCAGCACAGCCGTGAATAAAATCATCCAGTCAGGCTTGCGAATCCGCGGGCTAAGATACTTAGTTTGACCCAGTTAGTTGCTGTTCGATTTTTATTTCCTTTAAATAGAAATGACACATAAAGCAGCAATGTTTTCAATAAGGAAGTACAACTACAGTTTCAACAAGACATCGAGAACAGAAAAGATGCAGGTGTCATGGAGTGAATTACAAGAAACTGTTGAGAACTTGCTACATTTATTCATTGACGTTGACTAGCACTCTATATACATGCATTCCTTTCTTTTCAAGCCAAGTCCTTTACACTAACGAGCTTACTCGTAGATTGAAAGTTGACAGAAGATGCTTCTTTCAATTGCTCCAGTAATGATTTAAATTTGGACAATTTCTTTTTGGGTTTTGCCGTTTTCAACTCTTCACGAGCCTTATCCAAGTGATCCAAAAGAATCGAGCGATCCTTGTGCAAATATCCCCTCTTATCTGGATCTGAATAGTATTGAATATCTTTTTGACTAGTTGGTCTTGCTTGAAGAGGTACATAGCCCTTTCTCAATAAGAAATAACTTGGATTAACGAACGCTCTCAAACCCAACTTTGAAAAATACCTCGCGGTGAAGGACATGTTGGCGTTTTCAATTTTGTCTATTGCTTGATCAGTCGCTTTTGATGCCTCAATATTTAGTGGAACATTGTAATCGGTTGCAGTTTTACCCAAAATTTTCACGCCATCTTTCAAACTTCCGGTAATGATTCCACAGTCCTTCATTACCTTGATAGTGAGTGTCTCCCCCTCCTTCAACGGAATTCTTCCAGTATTCCAAAAATCCTGGATCTTGCTCAAATTGACTTCGTGGTATTCTTTTGCGTTATGTGCGTTTCTGAAACCTACCATCGGCATCTGCTTGAAGTACGGAGTTTGACCACCTTCCATCCATATAGGTACTTTTCCTCTAGCCTTTTGTCCCTTTTGTCCTCGTCCGGAAGTTTTACCTTTGTTCGAAGAAGGTCCACGACCTAAACGTTTGTAACCCAGAGTAGATCCTTCATTTGGAGACAAGTAACCCAAGTATCCAATTCTTCGCGAAGTCGTTTTTAGTTGACCAGCACAAGAAGAAGCTAACCTGCTAACAAGGTGAGACCCAATGAACATTTGTTGAGCTATTCCTTTAGTAAGTACCTGGGAGACCTATGAAAATTTTTTGTCTTTTGTACCAAGCAAAAATAAGAAAAGAAAAAACAAAAAAATACAGACTGGAAAAAGAAAAAAATGAAAGCGACTACACGCAACTACCGAATACGCCACCGAATAAGGACACATTCTAAACTACCAACGTCAAACTTGCGTCACCCACGATCCAGCTCACCAATTACAATGTCAGCTACAGAACAGAAAGTACCCCAAGAAACTCAAGCTCCAGCAGCTGAAGAGCTGATTATCAGATCACTCGAAGAGGATGACGAATTTGAGGATTTTCCAGATAACGATTCAAAATGGGTCGCCGATGCCAAATTGAAGGAAGAAGCACTTTGGGAACAAGATTGGGACGATGATGATAACCAAGACGAATTTTCACAAAAGTTGAGGGAGGAATTGATAAAATCACAGAAAACAGCAAACTAATTGGTATAAATGGAGAATATAGACCATTCACAGAGTTAGAATGGTATTGGGACAGCTAAGGATGTTATGCAGAAGACCGTATTGGATACCATCCCCGCTCTCTGGGTGTCCCGTAAGTGCCCCTTTTTATTTTTGTTTCTTTTTTGATCAGAAGCTTACAACTCACATGGGAGATACTTTTGCGCAAAGAGCAATTAGTTGGAGCACAGAATCGGATGCAGCTGTTTTAAGCTCGAAAAAGTACATAGTATTGATTACAAATGTAAAGTTTCACAACAAACAAGTGGATGATCAATCGGCACCGATTGCATATATTCTAACTCTATTGTATCGAGAGATCTGCTGTCCTCTCAAATGACTTCTGTCCATTGCTCTCTACAGATTTTGAGGGCTCAGTGGCTCCGATAGTCATATATAAGATGCAATTTGAGCTAAAAAAATAGCTTAAAATTTTGCAGCACCTGGATAAATACTACGAACACAACCTCAACGAAAAGCGCAAATGGTTTAGTGGTAAAATCCTTGCAACGGTAGCAACCCGGGGGCCAACGATTCCGGGTTTGCGCATTTCTTTTTGATTTTTTTTTTTTTACACATCGTTCATTTTTATTGAAGATTGACAAAGGAGGTAGCAGTTGAAGATGTGTTTTCCAACGTTGAAGTGTGTGTGTGATTCATATATACAGAAAACAGAGGGTGCACTTTCTTGCATTTGTTTGGGTTTTTTTATTTTTATTTTCGATTTTTTTTTTTTTTTTTTTTTTTTTTTTTTTTTCTGTTTCCTTTTCAATT